TTCTCATTATGATCAGTTATGAAGGCGACACTGCAGGCAAGCATTGTCAAGCGTATCAGTTTCGAGAGCTATCGCAACTTGACTGATTTTCGAGGCCTTGTTTTGCTGTGGTAAATCTGTACAGTGGGAAACTATGCTGTGCAAAAACATTATAATGTGTTGTTTAGCAGCAGACGATCAATCATAATGTGCCTCAGCGCTTAACTCAATAAATATTCATGTGTTTTCTAGAGTCTGGGAAACTTTCATGCTGTGTTCAATGGAAAATCTCAAGTCTAGGATTAATTACCAACTTGAAGATGATTTTGAAGTAATAAAAGGAGATGAGGGATGATATTTATTTCTCTCTCTTTATGGGGTAGATTCATACTTTTTTGTGCGTTTGCAATGTGCTGCAGATTAACATATATATTATATAATAACTTTAATATATATAACTTTCCAGTCTTAGCCTGTTTGACTGCATATAATTGCAAAGAACTCCATCATTTCCATTGAGTAATGATGCTTTGAGCAGAAAAAATAGAAGATGGCATGCTGTATTCACCATATTTCAACATGTATTTCAGCTCCTAATTCTTTAGCTTTATTGTGAATTATTGTTATTTAAATGTGTTTGAAACCTCTGATGTTGGTCTGGAAAATGGGGTCGGACATTTAAAAGTACAATAAAAATACATTTATATACAGTGCATGCGGGGAGTATTGATAGCGCTTCACTTTATCCACATGTTTTTATGTTCAAGCCTTATTCTAAAATGGATTAATTTAATTTATTTCCTCAACATTCTACACACAATCCCCCATAATGACAATTGTGAACAGAGTTTTTGAAATTGTTGCAAATTTATTTAAAATAAAAACCATGTAAATCACATGTACATCAGTATTCACAGCATTTGGCTGAAGCTCTACACTGAGCTCAGGTTCATTCTGTTTCTACTGATCATTCTTGAGATGTTTCAGCAGCTTCATTGGAGTTCACCTGTACTCAATTCAATTGATTGGACATGATCTGAAAAGGCTACACCTGTCTATATAAGGGCCCAGGGTTGACAGTGCATGTCAAAGCACAAACCAAGCATGAAGACAAAGGAATTGTCTGTAGACCTCCAATACTGGGTTGTCTGGAGGCACAAGTCTGGGGAAGGTGACAGAAACATTTCTGCTGCTCTGAAAGTTCCACTGAGCACAGCGGCCTCCATCATCCATAAGTGGAAGATGTTTAACCACCAGGACTGTTCCTAGAGCTGGCCGGCCATCTAACCTGAGTGATCGGGGGAGAATAGCATTAATCAGGGAGGTGATCAATAACCCGATGGTCACTCTGTCTGAGATCCAGCGTTCTTCTGTGGAGAGAGGAGAACCTTAGAGAAGGACAACCATCTGTGCAGCAATCCACCAATCAGGCATCTGTATGGTAGAGTGGCCAGACGGAAGACACTCCCCGCTTGGAGTTTGCCAAAAGGCATCTGAAGGACTCTCAGACCATCAGAAACTAAACTCTCTGCTCTGATGAGACTCAAACTGAACTCTTTGGAGTGAACGCCAGGCGTTACGTTTGGAGGAAAGCAGGCAGCGATCATCACCAGGCTAATAGCATCCCTACAGTGAAGCACGGTGGTGGCAGCGTCATGCTGTGGGGATGTGTTTCAGCAGCAGGAGCTGGAAGACTAGTCAGGACAGAGGGAAAGATGAATGCAGCGATGTACAGAGACATCCTGAATGAAGACCTGCTTCAGAGTGCTCTTGACTGTGGCGACGGTTCATCTTCCAGCAGGACAATGACCCAAAGCACACCGCCAAAATATCAATGGAGTGGCTTCACAACAACTCAGTGAATCTCCTTGAGTGGCCCAGCCAGAGCCCAGACCTAAATCCTTTTGAACATCTATGGGGATATCTGAAAATGGCTGAACACCGTCGCTTCCCATCCAACCTGATAGAGCTTGAGAGATACTGCAAAGAGGACTGGAAAATTCCCAAAGACAGGTCAAGCTCGTGGCATCATATTCAGAAAGACTTGAGGCTGTAATCGCTGCCAAAGGTGCATCAACAAAGCATTGAGCAAAGGCTGTGAATACTGATGTACATGTGATTTTACAGCTTATGGGGAATTGTGTGTAGAATGTTGAGGAAATCAATGAATTGAATCCGTTTTAGAATAAGGCTGGAACATAAACGAATGCGGAAAAAGTGCTATCAATACTCTCCGGATGCACTGTATATTATGTTTTGTTAGTTTAGTGGCTAATTCATATAAATTTCTACGAGTTCAGTCATACGAAAATGTGTGATATTAAAAATGAGGCTTGGCACCCAGCCCCACTGCCAAACCCAACCGTCATTGAGGATGAGCAAATCATACCAAATTGTACAAATGAGATTGTATGCTTTTATACGATTTAGCCACTAATTTAAAAAGTTACGAATTGCTGTGGGATAGCACTGGCATGTGATACAAGTTACATGGACAACTGAGTCATATCAGCTTTCTTCAGTAATCCTACAAAGGGATTCGATATTTTAAAAAACTTTGGGCTCTCTCTTTCAGTGTGCTTCCCTCTCTGAATCATTGCCTGTTTCTTCACGCTAGCTGTATTTAGCAGGTTAGCTGTGGGTTAGGAGCGCTTAGATTAATGCAGCCATCGCAGGCAAGGTCACGACGAGAGGAAAATCCACTCAATCTGTGCGCAGTGGAGTGGGGAAGACCAGGCGCTTTTTTTCCTCCAGCAGATGATGGAGCAAATCAGCTTTTCAGCGGATGAGCGTTTACCGTGACCTTGAGGAAGACGCTCATACTGTCGTCACGTTGAGGATTGGGTTTTAATTGCAGTCATTTATCCAGATGTGATGGCAGATGACGGATGATTCTGTCACGGAGGCTTTTCTGGCTTTGTTATTGTTTTTTCAGTTCATTTACTGTACTGTACTGCACTCTGGCAGCTTTAATATGGAGTAAATAAGATTCTTTTAGTTATTACAATTGCTGTTTGAACACTTCACCTATATGCTATATAGCTCTGTTTATATATACTAACTTTAGGCCTGTTATGATATCTATTTTTTTGTTGTAGGATATACGGCACCAAGATATACTGTGCCAAATGATTTTATTGTCATTTTAAGACTATTTTTAGCCACTAATATATGTGCCTAATGCATGTACACTCCTCCAAACATTTTAGCAACTTTATAATTAGGCATTGTAATCAGAAAGTGAAATCACATATCATAAACAAATAATAATAAACAAATAATAATAAATGTTAACAAAAAAAATGACACTGACAACTCTGATAGAGATGATGCACAATTAGCTAAAATGCTGCTAGATTTGTTTTTGTTTTTTTAATGTATGGGCAATATATATATATATATATATATGAAAAATGATTAAGGTCATGCCCATGTGTTGTGCGATAAGGGGATATATTGATTATTAAAAATAAAATTAATAGAATAGAGATGAGTTTTGACACGTCACAATAGGAGTCCTTGAACTAAAATGATTTTAAAATATGTTGAAAATCTGTCCATCAACCTATCCATCCCTCCTTCCATCCATCTACGGTTCTATCCATCCATCAATCCACCTAGCCAACTTCCCATCCATCCATCTATCTACCTAGCCACCTATCCATCCATCTATACATCCTTTCATCTATCGTTCTGTCCATCCATCTATATGTCTATTTATCCATCCATCCATCCATCCATTGTTCTATCCATCCATCTATCTACCTAGCCACCTATCCATCTATCGCTCCATCCATCCATTCATCCATCTATCCAATAATCCATCCATCCATCTACCTAGCCACCTATCCATCCATACATCCTTCCATCTATCGTTCTGTACATCCATCTATATCTGTCTATTTATCCATCCATTTATCAATCCATCTATCTATCCATCCATCCATCCATCCATCCACCCTAATATCTGTCTATTATTATATCTATCTCTAGCATATCTATCTCTAGTGTTGTATGTCTCTAGTTACAGTATATGTTTCTGGTTAATTATATTACACATTCATAAAATATGTATTTAGGTTTTTACTGTATTTTCAGAAACAATTTAAATTATGGTTTGATTTGTTTCATGATAAGGAATTGAGCGTTATTAATACAGCATTTCTTAATCTGTTATAGTCTCGTTAAATCCTGTTCATTCATAGTGTCGTATAACTTTATATTTAAAAATAGCAAATGTAGAAATAAACAGCATGAACTGCTAAATCTAGTTTAAAATGTTTTCATTATACAGAAAATACAAGCAAAATGAAAACTGAAAACAAATTAGATGGTTAATAAATAAGCAATAGCATCTCAATGAGCTTACGATAAACCTGATTAATTGAAATGACTATCAGTTAACACCATAGCGTCTCCTCACACTGCTTTTCGTGACATTAAAAAAACAAACCGTGTCCATCCATGTGATTTTGAAATGTAGTTATTCAATCTGTTATCCTAAGATGACCTTGTGAGTCAATAGAGACTGATTCAGCTTCCAGGAGTTGTTTCATTAGGTAAATGTAGTGCACTGGTTATCCTCAATGTGATCATTAAAGCTTTTGATAACGTAAGTGAGTCTTACTGCTGCTGTATTACATTACAGTCTATTTGGATCAGATTCAGATTACAGCTGGGGACAAAACTGGTATGTGTGAGTGTGTTTATGTGTATACCTTGCAATCCAGACCAAATGTCCCCACAAGTATAGCAATACCAGTACATTTTGACCTTGTGGGGACATTTGTTTGCTCCCTGTGAGGGAAAACGGCTCCTAAATTACACAGAATTAAGTATTTTAAAAATGTAGAAATGCAGAATGTTTTATGTGAGGGTTGTGTTTTATCATCATAGTTATGGGAAGACCCCATAAAGATAGCTTTACAAGTGTGTGTGTGTGTGTGTGTGTGTGTTTATTATGACTGGCAAATTATTAATTGCAACCAATAAAAGTGTGTGTGTTGTTTGTGTCTCAGCAGGAATGCACACCAGCATCAGTGAGATCTTGAAGGAGAAAACGCTCAAGTCGTCTCGCCGCAGTTTGCCGTGTTTGGCTCAGAGTCAAACGCATCCTGAAAACCTCAACCACTTCCTGTCTGTGCCTCTGAGTCCTGGACCCAAATCATACACACACAGCAGCAGCGTCAGTGCCTCCTGCACACACATCACACCTCCGGCCACAGGTGAGCACTAATCAGACTAGCCTCACACTGCTTTATCTAATGGTATTACGCGGCTGCCTGGAATACTCGTTTCTGATTGGTCAGTTGCAACAATCCGTGGTAGGTTATTCCCAGATAACAACCGCTAAATAATGCAGGCTCATTGCAATCAAACTTGCAATCACTTTGACCATCAGAGAATACGTTCACGCTTATATTTACATGCTCTTTTTATGCGTCTGCTTGTTTGTTGATTTTTGACTGTTTGGCACCATCTTGTGAGTAAATAATACAAAGGTTTGCCAATGCTTTATTCAGCTAGTTAGTTTCAGTTAGCTTTGCGTTTTTGACTGTTTGGCGCCATCTAGTGTCTGAATAATGCGCAGGTTAGTGTATACTCCATCAGCTGTTTTCGTTTCTGTCAGCTTTGCATTTTTAACTGTTTGGCGCCATCTAGTGTCTGAATAATGCGCAGGTTAGTGTATACTCCATCAGCTGTTTCTGTCAGCTTTGTGTTTTGACTGTTTAGTGCCATCTAGTGTCTGAATAATGCGCAGGTTAGTGTATACTCCATCAGCTGTTTCTGTCAGCTTTGTGTTTTGACTGTTTAGTGCCATCTAGTGTCTGAATAATGTGCAGGTTAGTGTATGCTCCATCAGCTGTTTTCGTTTCTGTCTGCTTTTGGTTTTTGACTGTTTTCCACCATCGTTTGTCTGAATAATGTGCAGGTTAGTGTATGCTCCATCAGCTGTTTCTGTCAGCTTTGTGTTTTTTTTTACTCTGTCTTCATCTTGTGTCTAAATAATGCACAGGTTAGTGTGTACTCCATCAGCTGTTTCTGTCAGCTTTGCATTTCTCACTATTTGGCGCCATCTAGTGTGTGAATAATGTGCAGATTAGTGTATACTCGATCAGCTGTTTTAGTTTCTGTCAGCTTTTAGTTAAAGACTTAATTAATGATCGTGCCTCTAATTTGTGTCTAATTTTTATGTTTTGTGGCAAGTAGCAGTGTAATGTGCGGGATCAAGTACATCCTAAGTGTTTTTGTTTTTTTTTGTTTTTTTGAGAATAAAGCCCTTGAGTCTTATACATCAGTGCTCTGCTTCGCTTTGGACTGCAGGTTTACCCGTCAGGCATTATTCTGTAATTAAAAACCTCCTGGAATTACTTATTGGTAATATATTAAACCTTTCAATATTAGATACTGATATACTTCTAGCTAAATTAGGAAATGGTGTGATGTTTTTCTAACAAAATCAGACCAGTTTATACTTATTAATATATGGGTGTGGCTTATTATATAATTTGGAAATAATACGATTTTAATCCTCACAAATGCTGTTTATTTACTTTTTGATTTTTTTAAAATGTAGTTTAAGAAAGTAAATGCAGACTTGGTGAGGAGACTTTTAAAACATTTATTCATTCATTGATTTTTGCCCACTTTTCCGGGGTCGGGTCGTGAGGGCAGCAGTCTCAGGAGAGAACCTCAGACTTCCCTCTCCACAGACACTTCCTCCAGCTTTTCCATGGGGTTTCCGAGGCATTTGCAGACCAGCCGAGAAACATGGTTTCTCCAGCATGTCCTGTGTCTTTCCTGAGGCCTCCTCCCAGCGGGACATACCTGGAACACCTCCATAGGTAGGCGTCCAGGAGGCATCCGAAATAGAAGCCTGAGCCACCTCAGCTGACTTCTCTCAATGTGGAAGAGCAGCGGCTTTACTCGAGCTCCTTCCTGGGTGACAGAGTTCCTCACTCTATCTATAAGAGTGCGCATTTCAGTCGCTTGTATATGAGATCCTGTCTCCAGATCACACCTGGAAAGTGCTTAAAGTCTACAAGAACTGGAAAATGCGACCGTTTTTTGGAATAGAAACGGAATATTAAATGAGAAAACAGTGGGTGTGGCTTTTTTATACTGCGAGCGGATTGGATGTAGTAAAGTATGCCTTTCATTTAGGAAGATGGGAAAAAGGGTTTGTGGAGAGTTATTGCAACCTAACAGACTTCTCCTCCTTACCATTTCCGTTTGTTGTCATAGCATTGGAAGGAATTGAAGGGGCGTGATTAAGTATGTTAGCCACACCCAATACCTCAGAAAAGGTGTAAGAATCCTGTTTTCAATGCGTCTTCACTTGAAACTCTTCACTCTTTAAAATTTCGACTAAGACAACAATAATGCTGTGATCGCCAAAATCCTTCTAGTTGATCTCTGCGAACCCTCATTGGGTTTACAGACAAGACGTCTCATTCCGGGAGCTGCCTCAGAGAATATTAGCGAAGACGCAGGAATCATGTCCAACTGCTGACGCCGGTGCAATCCTCTAAAAACAGCGGATCATTCCCTCCGGAGCCTCTAATGGTCTTGATCCTGCCAGGAGATCTTTTAGCAGAAGCACCTGATCTGATGAGCTCCACACAACAGCACCATGAATTATGGATAATGAGATTGTTCCTTCTCCTCCTCCGCCTGATGGCTTTCATAGTTACTCGGTGGCTGTAGTCCACATACGCTGAGATATCCGAGGTCTGCATTTTGTAGTGACAGGAATTCGAAGTGAAGTGAACCGTGACTTGCAGTAGGTGATGATCATTCATATGTGAATTAGGGGTTGAAGGACTTATGTTATCAAAGTCAGGTCATCAATAAAACACAAGATGCTAATGTTTTGCAGCATTTCATTATTTCCTGGAAACATATGCACATGTTATTTGGCCAATCATAACACGCTGCAAAAACAATTCAACATTACCAATTTTTGTGCAAAACAAATGCACTGTCAGCGACAGCCAGCTCTCTGCAACGCAACCGATCAGTACCTGGATGGGAGACCACATGGGAAAGCTAGGTTACTGCCAGAAGTGGTGTTAGTGAGGCCAGCAGGGGGCACTCAACCTGTGGTCTGTGCGAGTTTTAATCCCTCAGTATATTGATGGGGACCCTATACTGCTCAGTGAGCACCGCTTTCGGATAAGACGTTAGGTCCGACTCTCTGTGGTCGTTTAAAATCCCAGGATGTCCTTCAAATAAAAGTAGGGGTTTAACCATACCTGCCAATACTCCTGTTTTTCCCGCTATTCTCCCGTATTTCAGACCCATCTCCTGCCACCCTCCTGTTTTGTTATTTCTCCCGGAAAACTCCTGTAATCCCCTAACCCCCTCTATATATTTATATAAGAAATCGTTATTATTATTATTATTAATATTATTATAACACTTTCATTTTGTTAATGTAACATTAGCACCTAGGCTAATTTTACTGCTAAACAAAGGCAGTCATCACATTGATCACTGCACGTTCTAGTAAGACTGTTATAAAAACAGATATTTAGTGCAAAAGTAATGCACACGCCGTCAGCACACAGACTCATGTGAAGTTATTGCATAACAACATAACGCACGATAGGCTATAACATTACAAAACAAAAACATTAATAAATACATCAGGCCTAATTTTACAAGTGTCAATCCTTCTTTAAATCTATATGTTTCTGAAAACATATGATTGATACATTTTGTCGCTAAAAACCGTGTCCTCTGATGCGACACGTTACGCATTTTACGGTCAGCCTTGACAAAAATTAATATAATCAGTATTGACGTCATTTAAAATGCAGTAAATGGTTAAACATGTCTTTGTCTTCGTAGACCTCTTGTTATAAAAGCTGTTGTGTAATTAATTGTTTTTTTTTTTTTTTTGTTAATATCAAAATATCAAAACTGCCCTGTGGTATGACCGTCTCAAGCATAGTTCAATAAAATACAGTACAATAAATCGGGCAATCCTCCTGCAGCCCAAGACCACATGGGAAAACTAGGTTGCTGTTGGCAGTGGTGTTAGTGAGTTAGTTTGTGCTGACCCTGGCAGAGCATTGACCCTGGCCTCACCCATGACACACCTTGGCTATCTGGATTTGTTGCTGGTAGCAGTCTGCATCAGGGATCACCAAATTTGTTCCTGGAGGTCCGATGTCCTGCAGATTTTAGCTCCAACCCTAATCAAACACACCTAAACAAGCCAATTAAGGTCGTACTAGGTATACTTGACTTGAAACACCCAGGCAGGTGTGTTGAGGCAAGTTGGAGCTAAACCATGCAGGGCACCGGACCTCCAGGAACGAGATTGGTGACCCTTGGTCTGGATGATGCTTTTCTTCTTTGGTCCGGAGCACACAGCATCCATTTCTCCCCCCAAAAAACCTGAATTATATTCATCTGACCACAGTACACATTTCCACTATGTGATGGTCCATCTGAGATGTCTCTAAGCACAGAAAAGTCGACGGCACTTCTGGACACTGTTAACATAGGGCTTTCTTTTGGCACAGTACAGCTTTCACTGGCGTTTGTGGATGTAACTATGTATTAAGGTGCTTGACAAAGGTTTGCCGAAGTAGTCCTGAGCCCATGTGGTGATATGACTTATAGATTAGTGAGGATTCATGTTGCAGCGCCCCCTGATGGATCGGAGATCACAGTTGTTCAGCTTAGGCTTCTTTCAATGATGTTCTGCACTGTTGACGATGAAATATCCAAATGTCTTCGGATCTTTCTCTGAGGAGCATTGTTTTTAAACATTTCAATCATTTTCTCATGTACTTGTTGAAACTGGCGATCCTCATCCCGTCTTTGCTCCTGAACGACTAGACCTTTCTTGGATGCTGCTTTTGTACCAAATCATAACTGTTGACATCACCTGTTTCAAATCACATCATTATTTTACCAATTTACCTAATTTTCTAGCCCTAAACTGCTCCTGTCCCAACTTTTTCTTGGAATGTGTTGCAGGTCTGAATGACAGGAAAGGATGTATATGTACAAATGAAATGAAGTTGACCAAACAAGCCATGAAATATTTTGTGTTCATATCGTCTACAATGAAATACAAGAGAATAACTCTGGATGTATTTTCTCTCTTTGTCAGACACAGGTCAGGATGTCTACACTGAAGAGAGGGAGACGGGGGGGTTTGAGCCGAAAACAGATGAAACTCTCCTCGTCCAGCAGAAGCCAGTGAGCAGAGGGAAACTAGAGGCCCGAACTGACTCCGTAAAGGTACAAAAAGCAGCTCTTCTCTCCATCACAGCTCGCCTGAGGAGATGCTGACAACTCTATTAGTGTTTGATAACAATGAATACTTAAAGGTGCTTTCTTTAGTCATCATTGTCAAGTTGAATCAGCAGAATATAAAGATGTTTAGTCATTGCAAAATTAGACGTGTGTTTTTGATTTACTCTACTGGTCAAAACACCTTTCAAGTGTAAATGTATTTAATCTGCAGTTAGACAATATATGTGTGTGTGTGTCTGTGTGTGTGTGTGTGCGTGTATGTATGTATATATATATATATATATATATATATGTATGTATATATATATATGTATGTGTGTGTGTGTATATGTATGTACATTTTAAAAAAGGGGATATGAGATTAACATTAATTATGGTAATAAATATCATTAAAATTTCAAATAACTCTTATAATGCTAATAATAACTAAAAACTCAAGTTTTCATTGTCGCATGATCCATTAGAAATCATTCCAATTTAAAATAACACATTTTGTGATCAGTTATTATCAGTATTATGAAAGGAAATATTGTCTCTGCCAATAAAAATATTAGGTCACAGGGTTGTTGTTACACCTCAGGTGTGCATTATTTTATAATAATTCAACCCCTCTTAGTAATATGGCAATAAATGTCATGTAAAATGGTATTTAAACTCACAATAGGAACATTTAACACTGACGAAAGCCCATAATCAGTACCTGAGGTGATCTTTGTCATAGTAGTTTATGCTGTTGTTCTGCCACAGCGTTTCTAAAATAGATGAAATAAATTCCAGACTCAGTTATTCCGCTTCTTCTCACCACCGCTGCTCCATTGTTCAGATGTTATATTTCAGTCATTTGTCAGTGTTTTGTCCTCAAACTGCTCCTGTGTGTAGCACTAGTTTCCTCCACAGCTCATTCAAAGCCTTCAATTGTGTTTTGACGTGATTTTTGACTGATGTGGCTGATGAATCCTTCAGGGGTGTCATATGGAGCTGTAAAAACCTGCCGGAACTACTTTATTTGTTTTCTTATCTGAAATGACGCCACACCTTAGAATGCTCATCAGCCAATCAGAATCAAGCATCTCATGTTATAAGATGAAATAGAGCATCCTTGGTCTGTATTCCACACTGTAGACATGCCTCGGTCACACAGTTTACTTAACTTAATAGTACAAATTTAAGTGAATTAAATAGGAAACAACTAGGTTGTCCCTCCCAAAAAAACTCAAGAATTGTGTTGTTTCAGCTTAGTTTAAGTTAATTGAACATGCAGAGAACGTCAGTTTTGGTGTGTATCAAAAACAATAATACTGTTTGTCCATCAGTGTAGGGATTAAAACACGAGTAATTTCTATCGCTTCATAGATTCCAGTGAAATGTTGTCTTATAAGGTAGGGTTGTCCAAAGTATCGAATTCGGTACTAGCTGGTACTGAAATTTTCATCCATTACATCCATTTCCCAACACGACTTTAAAACGCTCAAGTGTTCACGCATCTGTGTTTGCACTTGATAAACAAACGGTGAACAGTTGTCAGTCGATGACCTTTACAGCCAATCACAGTCATTTCCGTTAAGCATGTGAACAAAATAGCCAATCAGCAGCGTTTAAGAACTCGCTCAGATGTTAGCAGGATATTCACTTCAGCACCGATTGCTACTCGATACCTTTGACAACTGAAATATAAAGGATATTCTGCTTTGTTTTTTAGGGGAAAAATCTAGAAACCCCCTCGGGTCTGATGTTCAGAGATGGAAAAAAGCGTATCGACTATATCCTGGTGTATAAGAAGTCGAGTCCGCAGGTGGAGAAGAGATGCACGTTTGAGAGGAACCTGCGGGCTGAAGGACTAATGCTGGAGAAGGAGGTACACAATCGTCCTTTACTTTGGAGAGATTATTTTCAGCCTTAAGGATAAAAACAGAACTATCACCTCTCTATGATCTGTTAAAACACTTGGGATATGGAAGCATAAACTCCATTCATTTTCTGCATAGAGAAACTGGTTTCTTTTGCTTTTAACGATTGCATCGAGTGTCTTTAAATTGTTTTCTCCCAGTACAAATGATATATAATTCAAAAGCTTTCTGATTATGTTTTGCAACATCTTTCATGTAGAAAACTTTCGGTGTTGCCTACACAGGGTGCTTGCTTGGTTTTAGAAAAGAAGCAATGAGTGTCAATAAAATAATATTAGAGAGTAAGTGACTGTGAGCTGGCTTGTGTTCTATATTAGTAGCTGAACACCTGAACTCTACTTTATCAAGCCTGCTTTTCTTCTCCCAGATCTGTCACGCCGTTTTTATCCTGCAGCATTATTCATGCAGGTTTTCACCTCTGCTGCTCCTCTGTAGGTGTGCTCATAATGTCTACACGTACAGCAGAGGAAGTTTTGCAGAACTTGGACACAACATCAGCTTTAGTTCTGTCAGTTTGCACAAACTTTAAGAAGGGTATCTGGAAAAAAGATTATTTTTATGCGGTATTAGTAAAGTTAGATGTTTAGCATTCAGGATATGTGCAGAGCTAGTGTTTCTTCCCATATTGATGAACTTCCGGTAAACGGTTAATGTGACTGTTCTCCATTTTATACAGTTCCTTTTTTATGTAATTAATTTTTATGTAATTAAAATAAAAAACCTGTCAGGATTAGCAGGCTAGTGCAGAAGCTCCATTGAATATACTGGAGTAAAATAAATGTTCATAATTTTAAAGACATGGTGGGGGGAAATGGAATGTAATGCAGTGCAATCTGGGACCCACTTTATATTGGATATCACTCACTCAGCCAGTGGAGATTCAGATTTTTAAAGAAAACCGACCTTAAATGCAGCGATTTTTGTAACGGCGTACAGTTTACTGGAAACGCTTGACCCAGGTTACTGACAAATTAAAAGACATCTGTCCCAGATGAGGCTCAGCCATCAGAACCTTCTTGCTGTGTGGCGATAGCGCTACCCACTGCTCTACCCCTATTGCTGTATTATAGGATCTTTTTAAATGTTTTTAGTGAACGACTTTGATCTCTGTATTTATACTTCAGTGGTTAACAGGGTTATTATTTATTAAATTAAATTATTTTTAAAAATGTCATTATTTTGTATTAAATGTAATAAAATTTTGTTTTAAAATGTAAATTTTATAAAATTAAATGTGCAATTAAAATGTTTATTTAATGTGATAAAATTTGTATTAAAATGTAATTAAATTAAACATAGTATTAAATAACAAAGTTATTTTTAATCCAATTTAATAAAAATAAATAACATTTAATGAACAAATGTAATTTATTTGCACGTTAAATAAAAAAAAATTATTAAAACAATTACTTAAAATTAAATAAAATAAAAAATAAATAAATACTAAATAAATATGTACTAAAAATTACATTTAATTAAATTACACATTAAATAAAATTAAAATGAAATTAAATTAAAAAATAAATAAATAAATACACACAAAAAATGTATTTCTGATAATGGCACAAATGTTTAGTTTAACACGATGTCGCAAAAACAAGTAAAAATTTAATTAATGTTTAATTAATTTGTATAAAATTTGTATTAATGTAATTAAATTTAAAAATGTAATTAAATAACAGGCTTATTTTTAATTCAATTTAATAAAAAATATTTAAAAGAATAAATTTAATTTAATAGAAAAAATTGTATCAAATTACACATTAAATAAAAAAAAGTATTAATAAATTAAATAAATTAATGAATACACACATGATTATGATTTCAGAAAATGGCACGCTTGTTTAGTTTAACACAATGTCTCATCAACAAGTAAAAATGTAAATTGAATGTTTATTAAATATTCATTCGTACATTCATTTTCTTTTAAGCTTAGTCCCTTTATTAATCCAGGGTCGCCACAGCGGAATGAACCGCCAACTTACCCAACACGTTTTTATGCAGCAGATGCCCTACCAGCCGCATCACTGGGAAAGTTTATTAAATATGATTCAATTTAATAAAATTTAATGTTTAATTTTAGTTAAATTTAATGAAAGCACAATGTCGCAAAAACTAACAATAAAAAAATTACAATAAAAATATATATATAATATATAATAAAATCTATTATATTTAAGTATAAATTAAGATGAAGATGAACATATTTAATCATATTTCTAATAATTATATCTACTTTTTTTTTTTTAAATAAAGTCCAAATTTTCATGTTGTAACCAGATCTGCAGAAAAACTCAATATTATGTTTCGCATGTAAAGATTTGCACTATTTTCTGATGCATCTCCAATGCTATTACATGCAGCCCCTGTGAGAGATATTAGAAAACCAATGCATCATAATTAATTGCATGCACATGTCTGTGATCTGCTGCTGCTGATTTGTCATTCTCTTCGGCAGCCCTCATTAACCAACAGTGATATCATGTTTGTGAAGATTCATGCGCCGTGGGACACGCTGTGTAAATACGCCGAGCAGATGAACATCAGGATGCCCTTTAGGTAGAGCTCAATATCACTGTACTACAATATCCATCAATATATCACAATACACAGTGAACTAAATACTGTACATCAGTAATATTATTATTTATTCTCCCAGGAAAAAGTGTTACTTCACTGACTGGAAGAAGAAAGCTATGGGCAGGTAGGACATTGTAGTCTTATTATTCTGTGTTTTGCATTTATTGTAAATGTTCATCAATGTAAACTGAAATGTAAAGTTTCTATTGAACTTAATGTTTACCGAAAATTACAGGGGTGCTTTTATTTGTGCACAGTCCTATTTAACAAACAAATATAACATAATGTTGAATGAATATAACCACTCCCACTCCCTCATTATCAACTTCTTGTCTCTGATTGGTGTTTACTGGCCTGAGGGCGGGATCAAGCTGTCACTCACATCAGATCCACCAATAGCACAACACAACCATCCATAAACAAAATGTAAGCCCCGCTCAACATTTGCTCTATATTAACGTTTTGGAGTGGCCCAGCCAGAGTCCTGACTTAAACCCAATTGAGAATCTGTGGATTGAGCTGCAGATAAGGGTGATGGCAAGGAGATCCTCCAATTTGAAAGAGTTGGAGCTCATTGCTAAAGATGAATATGGGCACAAATACCAGTGGAGACATCGAAAAAGCTGCTTGGCAATTATAGGAAGTGTTTGATTGCTGCATTAGCCAAAATAGGCTTTTTATTGATTATTAAGTAGGGTTCTAATAATTTTGGGCCGTTAATGAACTAAGTTTAAGCCCCGCTCAACATTTGCTACATATTAACTTTAATATAATAACATATTAACGTTTGGAGTGACCCAGCCAGAGTACTGATCTAAACCCTATTGAGAAACTGTGGAGGAAAGGATCATGGTGATGAAGGAAATCCTCCAATCTGAAAGAGTTGGAGCTTATTCCTGTAGATGAATATGGGCAAACATAGCAGTGGAGACATGCAAAAAGCGGATTGTTTGATTGCTGGAATAGCCATTGAAGGATTTTCTATTGATTATAGATGATTAATAATTTTGGCCCTGACACTTTTTATTCATATAAAGTTAAAAGTCAGGTAAATAAGAGCTGGGAAATATTTTCTTCCCACAATGATGCCTCTTGTACTAAATGTACACTGTTTATTTTGCTAGCGCACATGGTCTTCAAACATCTTAAAATGATCAATTAATGCATGCAAATGAAAACAAAGCAAAACCATGTGCTATTGTAATCTTTAATCAAATTCTGACTAACTGCTTTAAACCCAGATTGGCGGGTCTTCCTTGAGGATGTCATTCTGATTGATTGATATGCTTAGCCACGCCCCTACTAACCATTAGTTTGCTGTGAGTGAAAGATTAGAGGAGGAGCATGAAAATAAACCCCGCCCTCTACTAAATATTCAATTTTAGTTCGAATGACATCATCATACTGAAATTAAACTAGTGATTGTTTTGCTGAATGCTAACACACCGATGTCTGTTTACAGTCGATTTCAGCTGAGGTTTCGCCAGCTGAAGAGTTGGCTGCCCAGGAACCCGATGAAGCTGGATAAAGAGGCTCTTCCAGACCTGGTGGAGACGGACTGTTATACGGCACCCTTCTGCAGAGCCAGAATGCACCAGTACGTCCACCTCTCATCACCTTCTTACAGTCAAACATTACTTAGACACCATTGTTGACATTTGCTGCTTGTGGGTGTAGAACAGTTTAGATTAGAGCATTCTACTGTTAAAAACTAGCCAACAGCAGCATCTACTGTTTAAAAAAAGTAACCTAAAGGGCCATCTGCTGACAAAAACCAGCCTAGTGGGCTGTCCACTGTTAAAAACTGCCCTTAAGCACCGTCTGCTGTTAAAATCTCGAGCGACATCTACGGATTATAACTAGCCTAGAACGCCATTTGCTTATAAACACTAGCTTAGAGCACCATCTGCTGTAAAAAGCTAGCCTAGAGCCTTGTCTGCTGTTAAAAACTAGCCTAGAGCACAATCTGCAGTCAATAACTAGCCTAGAGCGTGCTGTTAACTGTTAAAAACTCGCATAGAGCACTGTCAGCTGTTAAAAACTAGCATAGATCGCTCCCTGCTGTTAAAAACTAGCCTAGAAACTAGCCTAGAGCACCATCTGTTGTGGAAAGCTAGCCTAGAGTGCCATCTGCTGTAAAAAGCTAACCTAGAGGGCCGTCTACTGATAAAAACTAGCCTAGAGCGCCGTCTGCCGATTAAAAAATAACCTAGAGCGGCATCTGCTGTAAACAGCTAGCCTAGAGCGCCACTTGCTGTTAAAAACTAGCCTACAGTGCCGTCTACTGTTAAAAACTAGTCTAGAGCGCCATCTGCTGATTCAAAACTAGCCTATAGCACCATCTGTTGATAAACTAGCTTAGAAACTAGCCTAGAGCACCCTCTGCTTTTAAAAACTAGCCTAGAGCACCAGCTACTGTTAAAAACTAGCCTAGAGCGCCCTCTGCTTTTAAAAACTAGCCTAGAGCACCAGCTACTGTTAAAAACTAGCCTAGAGCGCCCTCTGCTGTTAAAAACTAGCCTAGAGCCCCGTCTGCTGTTAAAAACTAGCCTAGAGAGCCATCGACTGATTAAAAACTAGCCTAGAGCGCCCTCTGCTGTTTAAAAACTAGCCTAGAGCGCCATCTGTTGATAAAAAACTAGCTTAGAAACTAGCCTAGAGCACCCTCTGCTTTTAAAAACTAGCCTAGAGCACCAGCTACTGTTAAAAACTAGCCTAGAGCGCCCTCTGCTTTTAAAAACTAGCCTAGAGCACCAGCTACTGTTAAAAACTAGCCTAGAGCACCAGCTACTGTTAAAAACTAGCCTAGAGCGCCCTCTGCTTTTAAAAACTAGCCTAGAGCACCAGCTACTGTTAAAAACTAGCCTAGAGCACCCTCTGCTGTTAAAAACTAGCCTAGAGCGCCTCTGCTGTTAAAAACTAGCCTAGAGCACCAGCTACTGTTTAAAAACTAGCCTATAGCCCCGTCTGCTGTGAAAAGCTAGCATAGAGTGCCCTCTGCTGATCATTAACTCGAATGACTTTAACAAGAGTCCAATTTCATAACCATTTTCTGAGCTATAGCAAATAAGTAACGAATGAAACACACTCAGCCGGTTGTTATCGCATTTGTTGTATTGGACAGTAGAAAATGACATTGAATAATCTGAAATGTAGGACAAGACAAGCATTAAAGTCTGACCCACTGCTTATATAAAACCTTGTGTCATATACATTTACAGATACAGAACAAAAAAATCTAATTTCCCTGCACCTTTAGTTCCTGTGAATATGATCCTGAGATTAAATATCCGCGTCCTCATATGCATTTGATGATGATCTGCTGAGTGAATCTGAAACTGCAGTCGCTGTTTTAACCTTCATGCCATAATAAATGTGTTTATATGAGCGCCAGACAGTGATGTTCTTGACCTGGATGAGTGTTTGTGAAGGCAGGAGACTCGCTGACACCCTCTTTACAGGTCTCAGATCAGTGGATATGTAGGAGTTTAGAGGAAACTCTGGCTGTAGAGCTCGATTTGTTAAAGAAGCGCTGTCAGTGAGGGTTTATTTGAGGACGCGCTGAGGTTTTGTGAACACAGAAATGTGGGATGAGAGTTTAATCTGTTCTTTTTTTCCGACAAGTAAATTTGTAATAACTTATGAAAAATGCAGAAACCCATTAAATTGTATTGATATAATATACAATAATAACACAATAGATAAATAATAATAATAATAATAATTATTATTATTATTATAAATGTACAATAACCCAATAGATAAATAATAATAAATGTACAATAATAACACAATAGATAAAAAATATATATATAATAATAATAATAAATGTACAATAATAACACAATAGATAAATAATAATAATAATAACAGAAATAATAATAAATGTACAATAATAACACAATAGATAAATAATAATACCAATAATAATAAATGTAAAATAAAAACACAATAGATAAATAATGATTATAATAATAATAACAATAATAATAATAATAATAATAATAATAATAATAAATGTACAATAATAACACAATAGATAAATAATAATAATAACAATAATAGCAATAATAATAATAAATGTACAATAATAACACAATAGATAAATAATAATAACAACAATAATAATAATAATAATAATACAATAAAACACAATAGATAAATAATAATAATAACAACAACAACAATAATGATAATAATAAATACAATAATAACACAATAGATGAATAATAATAATAATAATAATAATACAATAATAACACAATAGATGAATAATAATAATAATAATAATAATACAATAATAACACAATAGATATAGGATGATAATAATAATAATAATAACAATAATAATAATAAATGTACAATAATAACACAATACATAAATAATGATAATACAATAATAGCACAATAGACAAATAATAATAATAGTAATACAATAACACAATAGATAATAATAATAATTATATTAATAATAATAATAATAATTATAATAATAATAATAATAATAATAATAATACAATAATAACACAATAGACAATTAATAATAATAATAATAATAATAATAACAACAATAATAATAGTAAATGTACAATAATAAAACAATAGATAAATAATAATAATAATAATAATAATAATAAATGTACAATAATAACACAATAGATAAATAATAATAATAACAATAATAGCAATAATAATAATAAATGTACAATAATAACACAATAGATAAATAATAATAACAACAATAATAATAATAATAATAATAATAATAATACAATAAAACACAATAGATAAATAATAATAATAACAACAACAACAATAATGATAATAATAAATACAATAATAACACAATAGATGAATAATAATAATAATAATAATAATAATAATACAATAATAACACAATAGATGAATAATAATAATAATAATAATAATACAATAATAACACAATAGATATAGGATGATAATAATAATAATAACAATAATAATAATAAATGTACAATAATAACACAATACATAAATAATAATAATACAATAATAGCACAATAGACAAATAATAATAATAGTAATACAATAACACAATAGATAATAATAATAATTATATTAATAATAATAATAATAATTATAATAATAATAATAATAATAATAATACAATAATAACACAATAGACAATTAATAATAATAATAATAATAATAATAACAACAATAATAATAGTAAATGTACAATAATAAAACAATAGATAAATAATAATATAGTAATAATACAATAAATAAATGATTATATATATATATATATATATATATATATATATATATATATATATATATATATATATATATATATATTTTTTTTTTTTTTTTTTTTTTTTTTTTTTTTTTTTTTTTTTTTTTTTTCCAAAATGTTTTTTTGAAAATATATAATTTTATATATAACTTGATCACCACTGGATCCATCAAATGATGTCACTTCTGAATCCTAACCTTAAAGGTGCATGCATTTTATGTTAATTTTTTTATGCAAATGTGACAGGAATGACCAAAACATGGGGACAATTGTACATTTATTTGTATTAGAATATTTTTAATTAGTTCATGTGAATAATAACACCTTAAATGTGCTAATTCTAAGGTTTTTTTTTTCTAAATAACAGTTTTTAGCATAACCAAACTATTTAACTTGTAGGTTCAGTTGGGCCGAGGAAAAGGACAATGAAAGGGGTTGTACATTTGTGAAGTGTTTTTAATAAAGAATACAAATCTGAGAAGCAAATGAATGACTTATTCCTTTACAGAACAACTCACAGAAATCAACCATCTGTACATTTAAGACATTTTTTTGGGACGAAATACTTATTATTCATTGTATTTATGTGTTTATTTCAGGCACAGATGATGTGCATTTCTAGTAGAATGTCCCATGTATACATATAAAATATATATTAACATAACATATTTATTCAAATATACTAATAAAAAAAATATTATTGCTTTACATGAGAGTGTAAATGTTACATGAGAGGGAATGTTTGTCTCTTCATTAATAAGTTGCGTCAATGTCATAACATGTCATTCAGATTTTATTGCAGTATTGGACATCTTTATGATTTATTTTTTATATTTACGTAGCACCAAATCTCATGTGCAGTGTTTACTGAAACATCTGGATGAAGTCAATCTGCTGTGATCTTTATACGAGGGGTCAGCCGTGATCCGCTCCCATTTAATATTTACATCCTCCGGCTGATCTCTCATCCGCAGCATTCAGATTTGCCGTATTCAGTTCAGTAGATTAAAGCAGGAAATAAACAGGGTCTTTAAATGAATGCGCTTCATTATCTTGCAGTTTCACCATCAACAACAGAGAGACGTTTTTCTCCAACTCCACCAGAAGCAGAATCGTTCATCATGTGCTTCAGCGGACAAAGTACGAGGACGGAAAGTCAAAGATGGGTAAGAGGACGACTAAACCATCGTAAACCGGCTCCACCAGACCTGACACACACTCACACATCATCATGTCTATCTGTTATAAACACTAGTGCCTTACTTCTGTCGTAGGAGTTGTTCGAAACAAATTAGATAAAGAATTCAGGTAACATATAAAAAAAATAATTAATGAATTGCTAATTAGCTAACTAACAAAATAACTGAATGAGGTAGGGCGGCACGGTGGCTTAATGGTTAGCACTCAATTGGATGGGCTAAATTGGTTGTAGTATATGAGTGTATGGGTGTTTCCCAGTACTGGGTTGCGGCAGAAAGGGCATCCGCTGTGTAAAGCATATGCTGGAATAGTTGGCGATTCATTCTGCTGTGGCAAACCTGATGAATAAGGGACTAAGCCGAAGGAAAATTAATAATTTAATTAAGTATTTTCTTGAAGCGTATAATCAGTAGCACGCATTCATTCCGTGTTTCCGGCTTGCCAATCATGTTTCAGTGTTGTTATTAACAGGAAATTAGCTCTATATATATATTAATAATAGTAAAAATATTTACATAGATATTTACATTTATACATAATATATAGTTGTATTGTATACATGGATACTGATCATCTAAATAAAAAGGAAAAATCTCCAAAACATGCATTAATGTGAGTATTTGTACGCAAATAATAAATATACACAGTACACGCGCATATATTATTTATTTAAATCATTATTTGGATGTAAATAATTGTGATATCTATACATACAATAAAACTGACTAGCATGATAGAGCGCTGTGAGCTAAGCAAGCCACAACCGTTGACGTTTTATAAGGTTACAATCCCGGACGAGCCCCCAAATTTGTCACGCTAAAAGAAGTGAACAATTATTACCGTACTTCCCTTGATTAAAACATACCGTGATCATTTTTTATTTAAATCCGGCTTCATTGTGCATATGACAAACTGAAAATATCACAAATATGAAAAAATAAAAGCTGCTTTCGAAACATTTCATTTAGTTCATGAGTAGTATACACAGAACATTTAAATGACTAAAACGTTAGAAAGAATTTTGTCTTCTGTTTGAGTTCTAGTACAAGACTCACCCAGTGTTGGTAAATAAATTTCATAATCTAGGACACGACGAGAAGAAATCCCCCCTGTCAGTAAATGTTGAAGAGCTGTAATACAATCATTATTAATTTCTCTCTGTCGGTCCCCATAACATCACGCTCTTCTCAACTGACTTCCTTGTCTGTTTCTCTTCTGATTAAAACTGGTCTTGCGAGTGGGATTTCGATGTTAATAAATCGATGTTAACACCAGTGAGTCGATCTGTAATACTGGGAGACGATCTCTGTAAAATACTCCATAAATACCTGCAGTTCAGTTTAGTGTCCTGCTGCTAAACCCCCAAACATCTGCAGCAAATGATGCCCTTTACCAAAACTGAGAGTTTTAATCAAAAATATGCTAACAGCCGTCTGGCTCCTACTAGCATAGCATAAATCGGGGGCTCGTCCGGGATATGAACCTAAAAAATTGTGTTTAATTCAACTCGCTAGGCTCTATCGTGCTCTTTTTGGCCTAATTTACTATAAATTCATCAGCCTGGTGTCCTATGAAAATACCAAGTAGTTAAACATGACTTATAATTTAATAATATAAAAGTAGGCTGTTTGTGATCGCATCTAAAGGTTGAAAACACTATAAAATGCATCAGATGGCAAGCACATGAAATAATAATACTGATGTATTCACGATTCAATATTTGCAGTCCACCAATGGTACTTATCAGTGTATAGTTTCTAAAATAATAAGATTTTTCTTAGTTTTGATCTTACTTTGTGCTTTACTCACCAGCTTTACAGCAACCCCTGCATATCTGTCATCCCAAAAGGAAAGTTTCCCCATCATTTATTCACACTCGAGTGTTTCCTCTATGAATTTCTTTCTCCTGTTAAACACAAGACAATATATTCGGAAGAATTATATAGAAAGCAGCCATTGACATGCATAATACACTCAAAAAAAATTTGTTGAATGAACATGATTTAATCGTGGCACCCTTTATGCATCTAATCCAATCAAGTAAACCTGAACTGCTTTGAACATGTTGTATGAACACAAAGCACATTTGTAGATAAAACATGGTTCAATATGTCAGTCTAACTTCTTTGCAACTAATTGACTCAAAATGTTTGTATTGTGTTATTCTAATTAAAATGATTCTAATTTACTCAATGTAACACTAAAGCTTTACTTTAACAAAATTATGTCTTGTTAAATCAGCTAGTAATCAGCAATATTGTTGTTTAAATTCATTCATTCATTCATTTTCTTGTCGGCTTAGTCCCTTTATCAATCCGGGGTCGCCACAGTGGAATGAACCGCCAACTTATCCAGCAAGTTTTTTATGCAGCGGATGCCCTTCCAGCCACAAATTATCTGGGAAACATTCACACACACACTCATACACTACGGACAATTTAGCTTACCAAATTCACCTGTACCGCATGTCTTTGGACTGTGTGGGAAACCGGAGCACCCGGGGAGGAAACCCACGCGAAGGCAGGGAGAACATGCAAACTCCACACAGAAACGACAACTGAGCCGAGGTTCGAACCAGCAATCCAGCAACCTTCTTGCTGTGAGGCGAACGTGCTACCCACTGCGCCACTGCCTCGCCCTGTTGTTTAAATAACATTTTTTAAATGACAATACTATGAAGCAAGATTTAAAATTAAGTAATTCAACACAAAAAGGACAGAAAACATGTTATATATATATATATATATATATATATATATATATATATATATATATATATATATATATATATATTTATTTATTTATTTATATATATTTATTTATATTTATATATATATATTTATATATATTTATTTATATTTATATATATATATATTTCTTTTATTATAGCCTTTAGCAGGCACCAATCACATTTAAACAAATTTCTTCTTTAATATTCTGATACAAAATGTTATATAATATCCAAAATTGTAATATGTAATATAAAATGTATAAGAAACATTTAGCCAACAACATAACATGCATAACATTCAAGCTCTTGGGAAAACCAATTCCCAAACTGTGCCGAAAACACGCGGTGGTACTTCTTGTTGTTTTCGTATGGTGACATCCAAACGCACTACCGCCACCTACTGATATGCGCGAAGTGACTCTCCAGAGTGAGAGTTGTCGATTTGAAGCGTCTCAGTCTCATTGAATCAACATGTTCTGATCAAATTCATTTGATTATTTCTTGATTCAGTTTCAAATAACATGAATTAATCATTTAACATACGTAAACTTGATTTGTTCTTTTCAATCTGACAAATTTTTATTTTGTAAATCCAATACATGCCTAGTTGATTTTTTTTGAGTGTAGCAACAAAATATGCTGTGAAAGTTGATGACAGTCAGGATATCTTCCTTTGTGTTCAACCACAAAGAATACACTCAAACTGATTTGTAAATAAGTGCAGGGATTGAGTAAATGATGACAGAATATCCATCTGTGTTTAAACTATCCCTTTAAGCTTTATTTTCATAAGTGTGAGGCGTCATACAGGGAGTTTGTCAGCTTAAACCGTCTCATGCTGACCACCATTTTGTTTACATTTCTTTATCCATCCATTTATTGTTGTCTTTTTAGTATTCCAGTCCTTCTCCACATCCTCATCAAGCCTCGAAACTCTATTCATTAGCATCAGTAATCATTTTACAAACGTCCCGTCCCGTCCTGAGCTGAGCTCTCCCTGGTGTGTCTGCATGTCTCTGCATGTTCTCTGGTTTCTCCGCAGCTCCTCCGTTGTGTTGTCTGAATCTGCTTTATTATTATGGCCAGCACGAGCGGCTCCTCATAGGCCAGTCAGGCAGCTCGTGGGAAGGTGCGTACTGTGCCTGTGTACGGGACAGTCTCTGTTTATACAGGGTGTCCGTGGGGTCTTAAATTTCACACATTTAAGACCTACAAGACAGAAATCTCAGTGAATTAAGGACTTTTGGTAATTATTCTCATTATGTAGTCAATAACACAAGATATACTGTGTGTTTTTGGTCGTGAGACATAGTTTGGACAAAGTTGTCGGCGATTCTTCCTATAGTAAAGTCATGCATTGTGAAACCCCCTCTCGCCAATCCATCTTACAGTGTAGGGGTGTTGCTAGGCCTATTTTAGAGGAGCTGTAGCCCCCCTATATTTCGACTCAGCCCCCCTAAAACATTTGCAGATAGCTCATAAAATGTACACTAAATTATCACCTCAGTCCCCTTTTAAATTTGATATGAAAGTATTGTTTTACCTGTCACTGACAGAGATACTGGAGAAACATCAAGTGTTGTCTAGTATTAAAAAAAAATACTAATTTATTATTATCATTCAGATCGTGAAGTATGGGAATTAGCCTGTCAGTTAAAAATATTTATATTAGTGCTGTCAATCGATTAAATAAAATTAACTAATTAATCACACCTTTTAAAAAAAATGAATCTTGATTAATCGATTAATCGAAGAAATTAAAACACAGGCATGTTAATGACATTTAAATTTCAAAACAATCAATGCCAATAAAGAAAACACTGATTTCCATGTTGGATTCTCAGCAAAAAAATGCCAAAATACAGGAATTGCAGACATGGAAAATGAAAAATTATAATAATAAACTATAGAATACAAACTGTTGCACTCATTGTAAAGTTTTATTGCTGTGAGTTGAGAACATTAGTTATAGAGTAGAAACAATTTTGCTTAATCCTCCTTTACATCCTTCTATTACTATTAAATTAGTACTTATAAATGTAATATTAGGCTTTATATATATAAGGAGATGAGCCTCCCTAAAATGAAAGTCCTAAAATCGCCCCTGTTGCAGAGTAAACAAAGCAGCGACTAAACGCTAGCCCAGATAGTCATGCAGTGAGACAACATCCGTGACACGACTGCTTTGAAAACCCTGCAGTCTGAACTCGGCATGATTGTGTTTCAGTTGTAGTTCATGCACATTTCTGCTATCAGATAAAACATTTATCCTACTCAAAAATCAAGATTTATGCTCATCTTAGCATTTCCATTAGGCGCTTTGTAATGCAGTATACCATAATGTGCATAAATACATGTGGATGGAAACAGAGCTAGTCATTCAGATCGATGCCTATAGTTCAGAAAATGAAGTTTTCTTCTGTTTTCAGGTATTAATCGTCTGCTGGGCAACAGCACGTATGAAGCCGCGTTTCCTCCACACGAGGTAAAACTCAGCCGTTTTACACTGCTATCTTGTTAGTGTTTTTACTGTTGACAGAGATCTGAAAGTCTTATTTGTGTGATTTCAGGGCTGTTACAAAAGCAGACACCCGATTAAAACCCACGGCGCTCAGAACCACAGACACCTTCTGTACGAGAGATGGGCACGCTGGGGGATCTGGTACAAATACCAGCCGCTCGACCTCATACGGTAAAATCAACTCATTCATTCATTTTCCTTCGGCTTAGTGTCTGATTTATCAGAATTCTCCACAGCGGAATGAACCGCCAACTATTCCAGCATGTGTTTTACAAAGCGGATGCCCTTTCAGCTGCAACCTAGTACTGGGAAACACCCATACACACACATTCACACGCACCTATACACTACGGACAATTTAGTTCATCCAGCTCACCTATAGCGCATGTGTTTGGACCAAGATAGGCTAATTCTAAAAACGTAGCCCTGTATACATTTTTGGAGATCGTAAATTATGTAGCCAGAGCTATGTATGGCTGCATTTCATTTTTTAAATGAATGCCACCGGGCAGTGTGACATGCTTTTTAAATTTGTCAGTTGTGTTTAGGGAAGTGGGTGGGGGGGGGTCAATCTGTGCTTTTAAAACACTATTGGTTGGGTTTAGGGAAGGGGGTGGGCGGGTCAATCTGTGCTTTTAAAAAAACTATTGGTTGGGTTTAGGGAGGAGGTGAGCGGGTCAATCTGTGCTTTTAAAAACACTATTGGTTGGGTTTAAGGAAGGGGTGGGCGGGTCAATCGCTGCTTTTAAAAACACTATTGGTTGGGTTTAGAGAAGTGGGTGGGTGGGTCAATCTGCTTTTAAAAACAATATTGGATAGGTTTAGGGAAGGGGGTGGGTGGGTCAAGCAGACAGCAGGCACAAATGGCACTTGCGAGAGAAATTAGAGATTTTAAAAAGCATGCATAGCATCCTCTAGTGGATTCGTAAAAACAAAAACTGGGGAAAAAACGTAGCTCCTGGGACGTATTTTGCGCTCTCCAGAAATGTATATAGAGGTACATTTTCAGAATGAGCCTGGGTTGGTTTGGACTGTGGGGGTAAACCAGAGCATCCGGAAGAAACCCACGCCAACACGGGGAGAACATGCAAACTCCACACAGAAACACCAACTGACCCAGCCGGGACTCAAGCCAGTAGCCTTCTTCCTGAGAGGCGTCAGTGCTAACCACTGTGCTGCTAAAATCTACTTATTCATTAGTTAATGTTTAAAACATAATTGTGTGCAAAACATAAAGGCAACAGCCTTAGGTGCACTCAACTCTCGTTCACTGTCAATAAAATTGGATCAACTTATTAATATTTTGAAATAAGCATCATTTAAGTTACTGATTTAAATTTGAACCTGCAGAACCTAACCATGATGCCACAACTGCCCTATTGAACCATGTTTCTCTGTTGTCTGTTTCTCTGTGTGTCTGGCAGACGGTATTTCGGAGAGAAGATCGGTCTGTATTTCGCCTGGTTGGGCTGGTATACGGGAATGCTAATCCCTGCTGCTTTAGTCGGCCTTTTCGTCTTCCTATATGGGCTTTTCACCATGGACTCCAGCCAAGTAAGGTCAGTCCTGAGGTCGTCTGCAGCGCTCTGTGTTTTCGTAGCTTTTCTTCACAGTAAAGCACTGGTTGTGATTGTGTTTGCGTTGCAGTAAGGAGATCTGTGAGGCGAACACCACCGTCATGTGCCCCATGTGTGAAGGCAACTGCAGCTCATGGACACTCAGCGACAGCTGCGTTTATGCAAAGGTACTGTAGACGCACCGTAAACACACTGATATCAAACTCACATGAGCCTTTCAGACCTTTCCGGAGCAGGAGACACCTATTACTGTGTTTTCCCCCAGATCATAATAGTTAGTTTACAAAATTCAATTTATTATAACTATTAAAATAAATCAAAATGTTACATTTTCTTACATTTTCATGTAAGCTGGCTTGCATGACTCGCATGATAAAACGAAAAAATCTGAAAAAAATCTGCTATTATAAACTAGCCTAGAGCACCGTCTGCTGTTATAAACTAGCCTAGAGCGGCAATTGCTGTTATAAACTAGCCTAGAGCGCCATCAGCTGTTAAAAACTAGCCTAGAGCGCCATCTGCTCTTATAAACTAGCCTAGAGCGACATCTGCTGTTATAAACTAGCCTAGAGCGCCATCTGCTGTTACAAACTAGCCTAGAGCGACATCTGCTATTATAAACTAGCCTAGAGCACCGTCTGCTGTTATAAACTAGCCTAGAGCGTCAATTGCTGTTATTAACTAGCCTAGAGCGCCATCTGCTGTTAAAAGCTAGCCTAGAGCGACATCTGCTGTTACAAACTAGCCTAGAGCGCCATCTGCTGTTACAAACTAGCCTAGAGCGCCATCTGCTCTTATAAACTAGTCTAGAGCGACATGTGCTATTATAAACTACCCTTGAGCGCCATCTGCTGTTACAAACTAGCCTAGAGCGCCATCTGCTCTTATAAACTAGCCTAGAGCGACATGTGCTATTATAAACTACCCTAGAGCGCCATCTGCTGTTACAAACTAGCCTAGAGCGCCATCTGCTTTTATAAACTAGCCTAGAGCGACATGTGCTATTATAAACTACCCTTGAGCGCCATCTGCTGTCATAAACTAGTCTAGAGCGGTATCTGCTGTTATAAACTATCCTAGAGTGCTGTCTGCTGTTATAAACTAGCTTGGGACACCATCTACTGTTAAAAGCTAGCCTAGAGTGACATCTGCTGTTAAAAACTAGCCTACAACACATGTATCATTCATTCATTGATTAATTTTCCTTCAGCTTAGTCCCTTTATTCTTAAGTGGAATGAACCACAAACTTTTTTAGGATATGTTTTACACAGCGGATGCCCTTCCAGCTACAACCCAGTACTGGGAAACACATGTATCATTATATTGTAAATATTTTTATTTCTGTACTGGAACAGTAAAGCAATAGACGGTAACGCTTAATTACCGTGACTGGCCATCAAATAAGTCTAAAATAAATCATACTTCTTAAAAAATGTAACACACCAGAGCAGGCCGACAGAGTCAGATGAAAACCGCTCCAGGGTGCTCAATTACAATTTATATATCAATTAAATAACACTGCTTTTTATTGTCAGTAATGGTGGTAATGTTGTAATGGGGGAAACTGAATTCTGTTCGTAACGCCATTTATTTATAACACCGTTATTCCCATCAACACTCACAGGACAGTAACAACTTGCTGAATAATTTCTGTGACATTTCATGTTGTGTGGACAATCAGTTTAAAACCCTTTGGCTCTACATTAGTTTCCAGCCATCAAACAAATCAAACATTTTACGACACACAAAAAAACTTTATGGAAATGAAAGAGTAACTGCTCTTTTCTCCAGTAGATGGCTTGTACATCTTCAATTCAATTTATGAGCCAATTTGCATCTTGGCATTGATTCCTGTAATCAGTTCATGATGCTGTTTTCTGTGGGAACATGAAAAGCAGAAAAAAACAACAAGACAAACAGCATGAAAGGCCAGAAAACCGCTTGTCATCCTGTTTGTGTGGCGATAAATTATATTCCTGTCATCATCCTAATGTAAACACAACCGCTGAAAAGATCCGCTTGATTTACAGAACAACCAGAACGTCTCGTTTTCACATATTTCTGCTGTAGTCTCGTTAGGAGAGTCTGTTTTTGTCATGTGCTTTGAATTAGCTCTTGCTTTTCAACATGCAAATCAAACGCAGATTCTTCACCAGTGCTAAAAACTGAAAGTGGGGTTTGTGTCGTGGGAACATGGGGGTTACTTCGCCTGGCAGAAGCTCAGTTTGATTAAAATGCACATAAAATTGGTTCCTTCTCATACGAAAATGTTGTCGTATGAAAATTGCACCTTTTGTCAAAGCTTCTTGGCAATCTACTACTGTCATGAGTCAACAACGAAGCTGAAATCAGCCTTACACCTTTTACCACGTCTTCGCCGTTTGTCCACCTACACCAGTTCTGGTGGCAAAACTGTCAACTCAAAAGATCATTTTCTCAGCTCAGGAAGGATTTAATATACCTGTGTGCAGCTCTTCTGCTTTCAAAATCATCTGTTACGCTTCTTCAGACTCGCTTTATAGATTCCCTCTCCAGGTATTCTGCCATTCAAGCCCTGCCATTCCTTTCCCATCTCGAAGGATTAAATGTCAGTGTGCTCTTTCCACGCAGGTTAAATGAAAAATTATGTGAGCTGTGAATCAAACCTCCTGCCTAGACCTCAGATGCTCTTTATGAAGCTGCTCTGCCAAAATCTCCACCTCCTCAACAAATAAAGCTGCCTCCGGGGACTCAGACTATCTGCACTGTCCTAAAAGAAAAGCGCTGCAAGACTACACCCCTGGGGTACACCACCTTGCCATGGGACAGTCCATTGTCTGATTTAAGTTGTTGACAATCTCCTGTGTGGTGTGACATACAATAAAGGCTGAGAATAAACTACAAAGGTAGCGGATCTTTCCACATCTGGTGTGAGAGAAGTGGAACCAGCAAGCTGGGCAGTGCGACGCAGCCTTTATTCAGCGCGTATTTTCAGCCTTTTTTTCTTTTTTTGGACAAAAACAAAATATTTTATTTTCATGCTGTTTGTCTTGTTTTTTTTCTGCTTTTCAATATTTTATTTTAATATTGTTGGCTAATATATAACTCTTTCAGCAGTCCCTACTTCATACTCGCATCCAGCTCAGTTGGTCACGGGGGCATGAACGATATGCTGCTGAATGAAAGTGAAGCTGCCGAACTGCAGTTAAAGTCGATATATTAAAATGAAACACCCGAAATTACATGAAAGCAGAGGAAACGTGGATAGCCTGGTGACGCAATGACGTTAATCGATCTATCATCAATTCCTCATATTATTGTCTCATTCAGATAAAGGCAATTCCATCACTGATGTACATGTAGGAAGTCACAAGCCCCAACCCTAGAAAAAGCTGTTCCCTGATTGTTTTTTTTCTCTGCCTTTCCACAGGTTAGCAGTAAGCTTATGCAAATCTAATGCTGTGTTCACACCGGACACGGAACGCGCGGATAAATCGCGCTATTCGCGCGTAAATAGCCGCGTGAACATTTGAGTTTACTCGCTTCATTCGTGCGTCAAACCCCGCTTCATTCACGTGTCAAATTCACTTCAGAACAGACGCGGATTCGCGTGATGGGCAGGGCTTCTGTCTGCCCGAAGACTCTAGCTTCATAGCTAAATGGCTAACATAGATTTTATTAAGAAAATAACAGTGTTTATGTGCTTTATGAAGACTAAAAACAGCGTCGATACGTTTATGGTCGTGTCTGAGTCCACTACATCCTTTCAGAGGTGCATCCAGCTCTGTGAGCTCAAAAACTCCTCCAGAAACTGAACCTGGATGACGGAGGCTTTCAGCGGTGCTTCTGACTGAGCCAAGCCGAGTTTGATGAACTGTTGTTGGTGAAGGCTGGAGGATTTCCCTTGGAACACCAACAACAGGTTCTACGTCACAATCACGCCCCCACAAGAGCAAGCTTCTGATTGGTTAACGCGGCGCGAATGTACGCTGAAGTTCAGATTTTCGAACTCGAGATTCGCGCGAAACGCTCGTTAAGCACGTCAAACGCGCAAAATGCTCAATTCGCCCTGCGCCATTCGCGCAATTTGCACCATTCGCACGTATCGCTCCGCAGGATGTCTATTCGCGCGTTTGCATTGACTTAACATATAAATCACTCGCGCTTGACGCGCGTTCCGTGTCTGGTGTGAACGCAGCATAAAAGTCATGCTAACAAACACAAATGATCACAAGAAATATACGAATGTAGTTCAAATGTATAAATTATGAATTGATGTTTACTTTAACCCCTTCAGACCCTGTGTCCATTACAATGGACATTACGACATCCCATTTTTCTGAAATTTGGAACATAATTCAGGTCTGAAAGGGTTAAACTTTAGTTATATTGTTCAATTAATATGATTTAAAAAGTTTTTTTTTTTGTCAAATAAAAGATTTTCCACCATAATTTCATAGCTCAAAAGTGCACCGTTTTGGCAACTGCACCATTTTAAAAGCATCGATTTACCACCGATATCAAAAAACGCAAACGATGCCCAACCTAAGTTGTCACTCAATTGAGCTGGTCATGACAATGGCAATGGCATCTCAGTCAAGCTTCCTGTCATGAGCATCACTCCAAATCTGACAGCAAATTTGTTTACTCTTTCATATCAAGGTAGTTTTAAAATGTCCACTGCATTTAGACTTGATATAAACATCCGCCTTTAGGGATCTGATTACAAATGGTCCAGTAAGTGAAGTGCGGCCAACAATTTACCCTCTGCATTAAACCCATCAGAGTTAGTGCACACTCAAAGAGCGCCATATCAGTGTGTTAAAGTCGACTAGTCTTTGCAACCCTTGTCTCTGTGTTGCATTTCATTGTCAGACATACTATACTATGTCTTTTGGCTCGAAGACTCTGTGTGTGTGTGTGTGTGTGTGTGTGTGTGTGTGTGTGTGTGTGTGTGTGTGTGTGTGTGTGTGTGTGTGTGTGTGTGTGTGTGTGTGTGTGTGTGTGTGTGTGTGTGTGTGTGTGTGTGTGCAGGTGGTCTTTCAGTGCCAGTGCTTACTGTTGTATTTGTTCCCCAAAGACGGCTGCGGTTACTGAATCACATTAACTGCCTCTGCCTCATTGCTGCAAATAACTGTCAGAAAAAACCTTAATGCACAAGCCCAATTTTTCTTACTGAATTTCTTAAAAGGGCTACGGCAGCTTTGTTAGACCCTATAACCTGTTATTAGCATTTTGAGAGAGAGCCAAGAGGATATGATTAAAGTGGTGCCGTGACCCGGATGGAATTGGGGTTTCGAGGGGTGAGTTTAATAAAGGCTAGCAGGTATAGGATTGACTGCAAGTAAACCTCACTGTCCCGGACTAAAGAGGCAATGCTAATATTATTATTAATATTATTATTAGTAGTATTTAGCTTGCACATGACATACAATGCAGCAGGAAAGTATTCATAGCGCTTCACTTTTTCCACATTGTTTTTCATGTTCATTCATTCATTAATTTTCTTCTCGGCTTAGTCCCTTTAATAATCCGGGGTCGCCACAGTGGAATGAACCGCCAACTTATCTAGCAAATTTTTATGCAGCGGATGCCCTTCCAGCCGCAACCCATCTCTGGGAAACATCACACACACATTCACACACACACTTATACACTACTGACAATTTAGCGCACCCAATTCACCTGTAGCATGTCTTTGGACTGTAGGGGAAACTGGAGCACCCGGAGCAAACCCCCGCGAAGGCAGGGAGAACATGCAAACTCCACACAGAAACGCCAACTGAGCCGAGGTTCGAACCAGCAACTCAGCGACCTTCTTGCTGTGAGGCGACAGCACTACCTACTGCGCCACTGCCTCGCCTGTTTTTCATGTTACTGCCGTATAATTTTATGTTATTTCGCTGTGATCGGCCCTCGAGATCCGTGACCTTATTCTGCAACGTCTTTTGCACTTTTAAGGTGTGTAGAAAGTCGTCCTTTAGTTCATGTTGCAACACCTCCTCTCCTCGATTTGGTATTACTCTGAGGAGGGGGGTCTACAGAATTTTGGCTGCACTGAATTAAACACTCTCTTAAAACAAATTAAATGAAACATACACATTTTATCTACGTGTAAAGTTCTCATCAGCAAACAAACCACAAAACATCAAGTCAATGACCACGGCTGCGTCCGAAACCGCCTACTACTCAGTAGGTGCTGCATTTGAATGTAAACGAACTACTCGGCCGTTAGAAGAGTGTGTTCTATACAGTATGAACGTGAAAAGTATGAATGGAATTCAGACGTACTAAATCCGCCATTTTGTCATGGTCACGTGACCTACCTGCGTCAATTGCGTCGCTTTACTTCCATTCATGAATTCCCTCGCGGGGCATCATGGGATAGCGCAGCATGGCTGGGATGCGCACTCTAGAATCTCGCCGGAAGTAGTAAGTCATCCGGGTACTTCTCGCATACTGATTTTCGAATTCTATTAATTCTGACATACGACTCGGCTCGCATACTGATTTTAGCGTACTATATAGTATGGAAGTATGCGGTTTCGGACGCAGCCCACTTATTTAGAGCACTTGAGAGCGATGCAAATCCTTATGTCCTGTGCCTCCTACGAAGAGAGGTGGTTGTAAGACAGCCGTCAAGTTGCCCTGATTAAGAGAGACTTTTGCTCTCCTAGAAATTGGTTAACTTGGCTTCCTCAGTGAAAAACAGCAAGCCAACACACCCACAGCAACATATAAACAGTCCTTCTAAAACAAGCAAACGAAAATGACATAAATAACTTTTTACACACAAAACATCAAATAAAAGACACATATGTTCACAATTGAGCGATAACTTAAAGTTCTTAACCATTTGACCGAAGGTGTAGGCCGGTAGTGAAAGTGATCCATGTGGTGGACCCTCTACCAAACATTCCTACTTACTCTATGGTAAGTGACTTTTTATATAGGAGCAAATCAACCTATTGCCCCTGGAGGTCGGAAGCAGTATAACATCCACATATCAAACAAAACCCAATGCAAGAAAATAAATAGACAAATCAGAAAATAATAATAGTAACATTTAAACATGCTACAATGTTTTGCCGACTCGAGTTCAGCTATTCGCTCCTCTGCTTCTAGTCTTGTGCCAGATGACTGAATATCTTCGGAGATGCCTTCTAACTTCTGATTTATGTCGCTTTTCAGCTTGTCCACTTCTGTTTTCATCTCAGTTTTAAACTCTTCTTCGAACTGGCTGAATTCTTTTCTTAAATCCGTCTTCAGTTTGGGGATATCTCTGCTGGGTGCTCTCACTGCTCGCAAAGTTTCTGCGCCATGTTCTTTCTCGGGTAACAGTTTATCGTCGTCATCCGTCGCCTTGTTCTCCTTCTTGCTTATTTTTGGTTTTACAAACGCCTTTTAAGGTTTCGCCTAGTGCTTAATTTGTGAATTGTGAGGTCCTGGAACAGATCGGGGTAACGGATCCGACATGTTACCCGAGGATGTAGAGGTGTCGCGCACTGAAGTGAAGAGTTGGGGAGTAGAGGAAGAAAGTAAAAGTGAACAACAGACGGAGGGAGGAGGGCGGTTGAGGAGGGGGATGGGAAAAATGAGGTGCCGGATCATCGAAATGTCCCCACACTGCAGATTTAAAAGACGTCAGCACTTTCTCGCACTGTTGCCTCAGCCTCACCTCACCGCAGCTTGCCATGTTAAAGTGTGGAATGATGGTAAGATTAGATTAGTTTCAACTTTGTCATTACACGTGCAAGTACAATGCAACGAATGGTCAAGCGCCCCCTAACTTTAGAGCACAGTGATTGGATATTTACTCGCGGAGAGGAGTTTCCTCATCTCAGCTCATGGATTTAAACACACACACAGTCAATTCGGGGAGATATGAAACACACATATATTATTTAAACGCAAAACCGAGAAAACCGCAATTCACAAGCGCGTATTGAACCGGGGAGGTCGTACTATACGGTTTAATATTATATTGAGAACCGTGGCATCCCTAGAAAATGTATATTGCAATGGCAAAAATGGTTGAGGTCATCTCCAAGTATTGCACGGTAAGTCGATATACTGATTATCGTGACAGGCCTGTTTGTGACCTTGAGTGCTGTTTTAGGATTATACAGACATTTGAAGAATCAAACGCTTTTCTATCCATGTCTCGCTGTTTTATCCTAATTCTGCATCCTAAAACACATTGCCTCTTTTGTGCCCACCCAGGTGACCCATCTTTTTGATAACGGAGGCACAGTTTTCTTCGCAATCTTCATGGCAATATGGGGTGAGTCTGAATCGTTTTTGTTTCATCTGTGATCTTTCCGCAAGCTCAAAGAGAGACGGGTCAGCATTTGGTTTGAAGTACAAATGAAGTAATTATAAGAGAGCCCGCTTCATTCAGCGGACGAGGGCAGAATCTGGATCTGTGCTCTGCTGTAAAATGATTGAGCCTTTAAAGCAGAAGGGAAATGTTGCAGTCAGTCAACACTTTTCTCATGACAAGTGATCCAATTAGCTTCTCACTTACAGCTCAAACATGAACCGTTCTTAACATGAATTTTACTACACATTGAGAGATGCAGAGATCCCTGGCAGTGATCACAGGTCAGTAGTTAATGTGCTTGATATCTCTGGCCACATTAAAATGCGTAATTGACTTTCTTAAACCAATAATCCTCTTTCCAGGAGTGAAATAACAGTCATCTGTTGGATGTTTTTGTTTGGGGCGAGGCAGTGGCGCAGTAGGTAGTGCTGTCGCTTCACAGAAAGAAGGTTGCTGGGTCGCTGGATCGAATCTCGGCTCAGTTGGCGTTTCTGTGTGGAGTTTGCATGTTCTCCCTGCCTTCGCGTGGGTTTCCTCCGGGTGCTCCGGTTTCCCCCACAGTCCAAACACATGCGGTACAGGTGAATTGGGTTGGCTAAATTGTCTGTAGAGTATGAGTGTGTGTTTGAATGTGTGTGTGTGTGATGTTTCCCAGAGATGGGTTGCGGCTGGAAGGGCATCCGCTGCGTAAAAACTTGCTGGATAAGTTGGCGGTTCATTCCGCTGTGGCAACCCCGGATTAATAAAGGGACTAAGCCGACAATAAAATGAATGAATGGATGTTTTTAATGAGTTTGCATGTTCTCCCCGTGTCCGTGTGGGTTTTCCCCGGGTTCCCTGGTTTTCCCTCACCATCCAAATGTGCTCTATATTATATATAAAATAAGCCTAAACCTTTTTTATAGTGTATGTATCTTTTTTATTTTAACCCTTCTGAAAAATCCAGCTTAAACCAGACTAGGCTGGTTTTAGCTGGTGGACCAGGCTGGTTTTAGAGGGGTTTTGGCCATTTCCAGGCTGGTTTCCAGCCATTTCCAGCCTGTTCTTAGCTGGTCAGGCTGAAAAATGACCAGCTAAATCCAGCTAAAACCAGCTTGACCAGCCTGGTTTAAGCTGGACATAGCTGGTTTTGGCTGGGCTCCCAGCCTGGCTAGGCTGGTCAAGCTGGTTTTAGCTGGTCATCTCCCAGCCTGACCAGCTAATACCAGGCTGGAAATGGCTGGAAACCAGCCTGGAAATGGCCAAAACCCCTCTAAAACCAGCCTGGTCGACCAGCTAAAACCAGCCAACCAGCCTAGGCTGGTTTAAGCTGGTTTTTTCAGTAGGGAACTGTAATAAATGCTGTAAATTACATTAGTTTTTACTACAGTAAACTCTGTTTGTATGTGTGTATTGTAGTATAATATACCCTATAGTTGCAGGAAACTACAACTGGGTCATTTGTCAATATTACGTTAGCTGTTGTGTTAACATAGCATCTATACAATCACCACAACAGATTCATTCATGTGCTTTACTTTGGTATGGTTCAGCAACACTGCAGTATTTACTATAGTGTTTGTGGGACCATTGCAACTTCTGATTGCGCAATTTATTTTGGAAACAAATGTATTATTCAGGTACAATACATAGCAGTAATTTTAACTCTTTTTGAACTGTTGTACCAGCGTAGAAGTAGTTAAAGAGCCCATATTATACATGAAATAGGGTCATATCCTGGTTGTAAGTGTCTCCAACAACAGTCTAATATGCATGCAAGGTCAAAAAACACTTTCATGGTCTTATAATCTGCATTTATTTTTAGCTAATTATCCCAGCGACTCCTGTATGAATCGTCCAGTGATTCATTTGTTCCCAAACCCCTCCTTAGCGCGGAGCTAATCTGCGCTGATTGGACCGATGACAGTCTGTCGCGATTGGTCGACTGCCTTCAGTCAGAGAGGGAAATGGCCAATAGCTAATCAGCAATTTAAAAAGTAATCACAGTTCATACACGCTCGATAGTGTAGACGTGGATTTTAGCTGCCACACTATGGCGAGTGGATAGTGCCACGGATAACCGAACGAAGGAGACAGTCGTGTACTCGCCGTACCACACACACACACAAAAACACACACACACCTCCGGATGACAACGCTCCCGCTTCCGCCCGCACCCGCCAGGTTTTAGCCTGAGAACCCGCTCCGTTTTCTGCCCGCCGCGCCCGGTCCCGCTAGAGCGGAGAACACAACCAAAAATCACCCAGTATACAGTCCAGACAGCCAAGCTGTCTGTATAAACACACACACACAGCACAAAGCACACAAAGCTCGTTCGTTCGTTCGCTCTCTCTCTCTCTCTCTCTCTCTCTCTCATACGCGCGCGTGCGCACTAACACACACACACAAGCACCACGCAGACTCTCTCTTTCTAATTCGCATAGCAATATCCGTGATATTGCTAGACAGCCCGCTCCCGTCCCAAATTAAACCCGTTACCGACCGCTCCCGCGATTTATTCGGAAATTTATTCCCGCGGCTGTCCCCGCGCCAGATTTCTGCGGCGCGGGAATAAATTTCCGAATAAATCGCGGGAGCAGAACTCTAGCACGGAGCTCCATAAACAAACAGCACGCGTCGCGTTTTTAACGTGACTTTGCACGCGATAAGAGAATATATCCAGTTAACCTGATACAGTACACGCGGTTACAAGTAACAAATCACAACTAAATACACTTGCAAGCTAGAGTAAACGAGGCAACAACTTTAACCGCACGTACTTACACTTGAGAAATGGAAGAAACCCATCCTGACGTCCATCAGTTACTCTTTACTGATCCTTCCTTTAACAAACTCAGATGAAGTATTCTTTGTAGCATGTAGCTTCCAGAAGTTTCCAACTGCTTGGTTATAATGCTGATGTTTCATCTTTGGGTAGAGACTCAATATAATGTCCATCTGCAGTGTTACTTCAATCGACCGGCATGTTTGTGTGCGTGTGTTTGTGGGTGTGCGTGTGTTTGTGGGTGTGTGTGTGTGTCTGGGTTTCTGCGTCAGAGGGCGGGGCCTCAGGTTTGAAATCTCCCGGGTTTGCGCGTGCACGTGAATAACTTGGTTTCGTTCGTTCGTCATGGCGAAACACCTAATGAGTCGGTATCAAGGCGACTCGTTTGAAGCACTATGAGTCGACTCTTTTATAGATGAATCAACCGTTTTAAACACTGTATTCTTACAGATTTAAGCCTTAGCTGGATACTTCACTTCACTTAGAGCTGTGTTACACACTACATGGAGGGGGATTTTCAAAAACCCATAATATGGGCTCTTTAACTAAATTAGCATTAGCATGCACCGCATACCTCATGTCTGAATCATCTTTGCAGGTATTTCAGGTGCAGAACAGCTGGAGATGAGTGGGATCTAAACACAGAGAGCATGTTAGTCATAACTGTATTTTTATCTGTGGAAAACGGCTGTAGAAATGCGTGACACGTTCGCCACTCATCACCGGTGTCATCACCATATATAAACTAGGATTCTGATACCGATCCTCAGAACAAAAATGTTAAATCCCACACAAGAAAAATGATGCAGGAGCTGTTTTCACTCCTGGTGAATGATTATAATGAAGTTTACACACTAGAAAAACTATTTATATTCATATAGTTTTATAATTATAGTTTTAGTTACAGCTTAATACATCTACATCCTCTCCTGAAGTGATTAATGGAGTTCGATTTCTCAAAACGACCGGCTTTAGTTTGAATACAGAAGAATGCTAGAATAATAAAAGCAAAGCTCTGTGGTCAGGAGAAAGCAGGATCGTCTCTTTTACATTAATTATAGCTGAAGCTGGATGAGGACAACCATTCATTAGCACTTCTGGATATCCTCCAGCAAAGTTCTGGGAGCTTAGAAGAGAACAGGATGCGGAATAAATATGAAAAATGACCATAGATGACTGGTATATGCATTTAATGGCAAGCATGTAGTTTTTTATAGACGCCATGAAGCTTGTGAGTGCCCAAAACTTGAAATTAATATAATTTATAAATGTAAATGTGAAAAACAAACCGTTTACATCATGCGAGATTGGATGGAATGAATCAGTGATTCAATAGTCTTGAATGAATTGAATCAGTGACTCAGCAAATGACTTTTTTAGATGATCACTGCCACCTACTGGTTGTTTTTTTACAAAATCGTAGTGAATACTTGACTCAGTGGTCCAATGAGCCATTTTCATCATTTTTGAATGAATCAAATGAATTAGTGACTCAATGAACAACTCTTCAGACATTTACTGCCACCTACTGGTTGTTTTTGTTAAAAAAAAAACAGTGAACAATTGATTCAGTTAGGCCACGTACTTCATTCTTGAACTAATCAAATGAATCAATAATTTAACAAATGACTCTTTAGACATTTACTGCCACCTACTGGTTGTTTTTGTAAAACATTGTAGTGATTAATTGATTCAGTTGGACCATGTACTTTATTCTTTAATGAATCAAATGAATCGATAATTCAACAAATAATTCTTTAGAAATTTACTGCCACCTACTGGTAAAAAAAAATGTAAATCCTTGATTCAGTGGTCCAATCAGCCATTTACATCATTCTTGAATGAATCAAATGACTCAATGACTTAAAGAATGACTCTTTAGACATTTACTGCCACCAAATGGTAGTTTTTGTTAACAATTGTATTAAATAAATGATTCAGTTAGGCCATGTACTTCATTCTTGAATGAATCAAACGAATCAGCGACTCAACAAATGACTCTTTAGACATTTACTGTCACCTACTGGTAGTTTTTGTTAAAGAAATCTTTGTGAATAATTTATTCAGAAATCCAATGAGCCATTTATATCATTCTTGACCGAATAAATGGCTCAACATATAACTCTTTAACCATTTACCGCCACCTACTGGTTGTTTTTGTTTTAAAGAATCTTGGTGATTACTTGATTCAGTGGTCCATTGAGCCATTTACATCATTCTTAAATGACTCAAATGAATCAATCTCTCTACAAATGACTCTTTGGAGATTTACTGCCACCTACTGGTCGTTTTTGTTGAATAATTGTAGTGAATAATTAATTCAATTAGGCTATGTACTTCATTCTTGAATGAATCAAATGCTCGACCACCTACTTGGTATTTTAGTTTCTTAAAGTATTATTTCATACCAAAAATTATATTAGCTAGAAATAATGCCTGATTAAATCAATTAGATAAACAAGATCAATTAAATTAATGAATCACATTGTCATGTAATAGTTTAGATTAAATCTTTTAGTCGCTTAACAGAGCTTATATGTAGTTTTTCACAATTTAAACTATTTAAACAACAGTAATACGTTTAAAAAGCTAAATCACCTACTGTACAATATCACATTTTTTGTTCTGCAGAAAATAATAATAATATTAATAAAAACCCACATGTTCAATCAGTAAAGCTAGCCAAGTTGCTTTATGAGACTTCTTATTGGATTAGATTTAGTTTTTTCTCACTGCAAATACTTAAATTTAACAATATTTAATAATATTTGGTGTATTTTTATTATTATTATTATTATTATTATTATTAGATCTGCAAGTCTAAACCCTGAGAGCTGCTTTCAGGAAACTGAAAACTGGAGACTGCTTTAAAAATTCAGCGTGGTTTCTCATCTCTGTCTCTTCTCATCCAGCTCTTCTGCTTTAAACTAAAGTGGGTCATGCAGTCCTTCGGTAGAAACGGGCAACTTGTGAACCCAGATGTTTTTGTTCCTTTTTGAACAGTTAAATTTAGCAGCGAAACCTCAAAGAACTTGTTTTATTTTTACTTTTCTAAAAGGGATTTATTTAATGCCTACATCAGCGGGTTTCTATGATGGTGCGAAAAAAAATGTTTCTGAATAATCTGTTTGATTGCATCCGGCGAGATAAAATATTCATATAAAACTGAGAGGTTTAACCCAGTTTTCTAATTGGATGAACATTCAAGGCTGGTGTAAAATGCTGATGAAGATGCAAACTTCCTAAAACCAACAATATGCATCAAAAAATATATTATATATCATATTATATATGATCTATAAAATGATATATAATCTGTAAACATTTTAACATTGGAGTCAATAGAAAATTGCTCTGTTTTGCAGCCAGCCCCCAGTGGCGAGTCGATGAATTGCAGTTTCAGTTACTTTTATATTAGCTTCACAAGGTAAAGCGGGGTTGCAACTATATATATATATATGCCGAGTTCAGTGAGTAATCAGCCCAAAACCACTGAGGTGTTGTGACAGTAAGCCGCAAATAGCTGTCACTCAAGGAGCCATGCCTTTAATTATGCATATTTTTAAGGCTTAATATAAAGGAAACAGATGAGTTATAAAAATAATTTACCTCTTCACAGTTGTCATGAAGGGTAATATTAGCAATATACACCAAAATATTTTTGAAACATGCTGTAAACACCATTTTTCTGCTGTAAAGTTGGCCATTTTAACATTGGAGCCAATTGAAATTTGCTCAGTTTTGTAGCCATCCCCCAGTGGCCAGTCGATGAATTGCAGGTTCAGTTGCTTTCATATTAGCTTCTCTAGGGAGAGGGGGAGGTTGCTGCTTGATTTTCTGTCCCAAAACACTTGTCTGTGTAAACAAACAGGCAAAATGCTTAAAGTTTCAAATTTTTTGTGCTCGTGACTGTTTAATTTTAAAATTGAAATAATTGGCTTGAAATAAATACACACTCTGCTGATGGATCATTTACAAACACGCAACAACAATAATATCCATGTACTCCTGCATTGTTGTATATTTGTTTGCACATTACGTCGTATCCATAGGCACTAGTTTTCAGGTGTTTACGCGGACACGACAATGGTGGCATTTTCTAAAATTGCCGCTTTGTAACCCGTTTTCAAATGAATTAATTTTCTGTATAGACTGTAAATAAATATGGTCGTAAATATGGTGTGCTTCTGAAGAGTGCAAATGAAGTGGTCGGGGCCTACCTTTACCATCCTGCCCACGTGTCGTCGCGTCAAACTTAATTTTCTTAATCTTAAATATGTACATTTATGGATAAAAGTAAATAATAATTTCATGCACCGGAGAAATGGAGGCCAAAAGTTTGTGAGCACAATTAAGTGCACAGCATGTCATATTATCTGATAATTGTGAGTAATAATCCCAAAAGGCAATTGGCTGTGTAAAGCCACATAAAACAAAAGCAAAAATACGATATATATGCCGAGTTCAGCAGCTAATCAGGCAGAATCAGCAAGTAGCAGAGACCTAGCTGTTATTCAAGTGGCCAACCTCGTTAATTATGCAGAATTTTTAGGCCTAGTATAAATGAAACGGATGAGTTATAAAAAAAAAACACCCCCTCACAGTTGTCATGAAGGGTAATATTAGCTATATCATTAAAATTAATTTTGTTCCAGGCTGTAAACACCTTTTTTTTGCTGTAAAGTTCAACATTTTAACATTGAAGTCAATAGAAATTTGCTTTGTTTTGTAGCCAGCCCCCAGTGGCCAGTCGATGAATTGCAGTTTGAGATACTTAGCATCATGAGGGAGAGCGGGAGGTTGCCGCTTGATTATATGTTCCAAAACACTGTTGTCTGTATAAACAAACAGGCAAAATGCTTAAAGTTTCACATTTTTGGCTGAACTTTGTCGATAACTACAATTCCACTCTAAAACAAAAGTTGACTGAACATTCATCATTAAATTCCTTTTACTAATTTGAATAGAAGTGTCCTGTATCTCAAAACTCTTTATGTTCAAATCTCAGCCACGGTTTTCCTTGAGTTCTGGAAGAGGAGGAGAGCTGAACTGACCTACGACTGGGATTTGATCGACTGGGAGGAGGAAGAGGTGAGTATAATGCCTTATAAATACCTTACTCGTTTGAGACCTGTTAAAATGTCCGACTGTAACTGGTGTGTGGCCAATCTATGTGCTGTTTGTTGTATCTCCTATAGTGTAAACCCTGTGTCATGGTGTGCTCTGTGAGTGTGCCTCCTATCGTATCATGTTGTGCTGTGCATGCCTTTGCTCCCGATGGGGAAAACCGCTCGAGGGTGTTCACACTGACAGCGCTTAGACTCGAAGTGCCCGAAAGTCATTGTTCGGCTGAGAAAAGTTTAGCCGCATGCAAATGAGCAACCTGAATATCCGTCTCTTGAGAGATGCTGTCTGCGAGATGAAAAAGTAGTTCATCCAAAACTGGTAAAACATGACTGTGCCAGCTATACATGAACACGTTTAGCAGACACTTTTACCCAAACAAGTCAGGATAAAGAAGCACTTTAAAATATCAGGGAGGGCAGTATATAAATGCTATAACAAGTGTGAATTATTATTATTTTTATTTTCATATTTTATTAATTCCACTCACCTTTGTTTAGCACACTCAGAATTGTAAGATGTTTCTCGAGAAACATGGAAGGCTCTATTTTTAACGATCTAGGCGCAAAGTCTAAAGCTCATGGCACAAAAGCATTAAGAATCAACTTTTGCAATTTTAAGGACGGAAAAATATGCTCTGCGCCACGGCGCATGGTCTAACAGGGTTGTGCTTATTCTCTTAATAAGTTCTGGGTTTGTTTTGAGCATAACATGCATTAAACCAATCAGAGTCTCATCTTAGATTCCCTTTAGGAGTCAGTTGCGTCGCTCCATGGTGCATTTGCTGTTAAGGGTGTACTTACAATATGCTATTCGAACTGTGCCCAATCCGTTTCCCGGATCGTTTGAGAAGTGTGAGTGCTCTGAATCGTTGGCTGGCCCTGGCTCAGTTGGAAGAGGTGTGAAAGAGCGCGGTTCACTTGGGCTTTGGTGCGGTACACTTGTAGTGTGAGTGCAAAGCGAGCCTGAAACTGAAGACGAGATGTGACTTTTAAGGCACTGTTTAATATGGATTTATTAATCATTCTTAATGTTCAATGAATGCAAACTGTAGTAGATTATTAAAGACGCAGCCCCCTTACTGCACCACAGCTGCACCTTCAGCAAACCTCCTACTTCCTGCAGCACGAGGACTATTTATGAGCGTCAAAAGCAGCTGATCTGTTCGGCGAAATATTTGACTACGTGTCACTGCATATCAAACGACTAAAGCAATATAACTAAAGAAATCTCCACTGTGCTAAGGAAGAGAGCACTTACTGAACAGCGCAGCATCGATGACGTAAGCGTGCCCAGGCCCGAAGGTAATGTGAGGGGGGGCCGTCGTGGTAGACGGGAGTGGGGACAAGCGTGCTTTGGTCCGGTTCAAGGCAACTGTACATAGTGTGAGTACACCCTTACATGGCGACTTGTGTGTAAAAACTGAACGCTTCACTAGCGAGAAAACGGTCAAACAGAGCATCTGCAGCGCGAGGATAAAGAACGAGCCTCCTCCATTCAGCCTCTTTACTTTCACTCTCTTTCTCTAAGGAAACGGTGTTGTACGCACAGATATCCATTAGTCTAGATAATTAATTTTGTTTGTTAAGCACAAAGATTCGTGTCAACTATTTCTAAATTCAGTTCTAATCTCCAGCAAAGGAGTAAATAAACAATAATAACCAAGTTTGGTCAAAAAACTGAGTAATATCCAAACACACGTCCTGTTCTTATGCCCCATATGGTCCACAATCTGACAGGTGAACAAATCTAAGCTTGTTTTTCATAAAACAAATATAAATATTCATTTAATGTGTAATACTGCTAATAATAATAACATCATACAAAAGCAGAATGTTGTGAATAAAATGAATGAAGCCCCCTGAGATGAAGCATGGAGGCAGTGGTGTCTATAGCTGCGTCCCAAATCGCATACTTATGCACTGTTCTATGCCATTTTGTAGTATAAATAGTGTAAGTAGTGCGTTCACACTGAAAACTCTCAAAATAATAAGTACACTTTAATTACCCGGATGATGCACTCATTCAGCCGCTAAAGTGAAGTGTGGAATGATGGACAGTTCACGCACTCAACGACCACAGGTTTGCTTACGTAGCGGAAGGGGCGGAGCTATCGGGCGCACATGTTGGATAACTATTTATTTGGATGGTGAAAGCAAAATTCTCCTACGACAGTGATTATAGCGCCTCCCGATGGTGAATGCGGTTATACTCACTGCAGGTATTATTTGATAATTCGGTCGTTTATTTCACTGATTTGGCAACCGTCAAACGTCATCAGGGAAACGGTTTGAATTTCCGCTTAGTAAAAAAGCATTAGTGTGCCATTTAGGACGACACTACATACATATACTATCCTGTTGAGTGTGTAAGTGCATAAGTACATAATGCATGAGTGCAAAGTGTATAGTGTGACATTTGGGACGCAGCTATTATTTATAAAAAATAATCATTTTTGTAATATTTTAATGCTTTTATTTCTTTTTTATTTGTGAAGATATTTGTGGATTGCTGTACATCCTGTGTGTAGTAAGCAATGTGTACGCATTTAAGGCGCACACCTAACTGGACTTTGCAGTTTATTTTAGTTCCTCATAACAGCAGCGCCAACAATGCGCCTTAGCACACCTCTTTTCTGAACCAGCACACTCCTGAGTCCTCAAAGTGAACCAAATAAATTTGATATTTAACCTCCTAGGGCTTGCGTGGCCACATACGTGGACAGAACATTTGAGCTCTTAAGTGGCTATTTAAAATACTTTGAATGTTTTATATTTTGTTTCAGACATACAGTGTCTTCCTGCAATTGTTTTGCAGCATGTGAGATGTCTCAAACACTATTTTGAACTGTCCAAAATGTGAAAAAATGTTGATTTTACTTTCTGATAGTCAAAACAATGCATTAAAAACAGTCCGGAAAAGTGTGAAAAAGTGTAAATATCATAACATCTATACAACAATAACATCATTTTTCTCTAAGTGTACAACATATCAAAAGATGACACTTAGGTTTTATTCTTATTAGGTTCCAATAAGCTCAAATATCAAAGAGAAACAAAAAAATGCATGTAAAAAAACACCTTGGGCCTTAAGAGGTTAATTAACAACGTGGCGCAAAATGGGAAATTTAGGGTTGCGCTGGTCTGAGTATAGCAGCACATCGTGGCAAACACGTCTTGCGCCGGGTGTATGATAGATCCCTTAGTGTGACTGTTGCCCATAATATGCTGCTGTTATGGCAACATAAATAAATAAATAATTCATAATAGTAACTGTTCTTTTATTTATTAAATATATTGATTAGTAAACATGCTGTTTGTAAACTACTGGTGCAGTACACACACACAGATAGATTCAATGTTCCACCCTTTTTTCATTATTAAATCTCAGTGTGAACAGCCCTTCATCAATCACATACCATCCGCATGTGCAGAGTGACCGTGAGTTGATGTGTTGAGCATTGTGTGTGTGTGTGTGATGTCTGTATAGGTGTAATGTGAGGACGAAACTGCTCTCAGTAACAGTGTGATCAGTGGCTGAGTGCGTCTGGTGTCTGCATTTGTCGCTCTGAAGGACTCTGCTGCTGCTAGTTTCTGTATAACAGCGGTTCTCAAACTGTGCTTCACGTAACAGCAAAACAACAACATTCACGCACACACTTTTGGATCTTTATGGGGACTTCCAACAGACTGCTTTCTGTACAGATGGTATACAGTTGAAGTCAGAATTATTAGCCCCCCTGATTTATTAGTGCCACTGTTTATTTTTTTTCCCCAATTTCTGTTTAACCCAGGGAAGATTGTTTTAACATTTCTAAACATAATAGTTTTAATAACTCATCTCTAATAACTGATTTATTTTATCTTTGCCATGATGACAGTTAATAATATTTACTGGACACTTCTATACAGCTTAAAGTGACATTTAAAGGCTAAACTAAGTTAATTAGGTTAATTAGGCAGGTTAGGGTAATTAGGCAAGTTATTGTATAATGATGGTTTGTTCTGGAGACTATCGAAACAAAAATTAGCTTAAAGGGGCTAATAATTTTGTCCCAAAAATGTTTTTTTAAAAACTTAAAACTGCTTTTATTGTAGCCGAAATAAAACAAATAAGACTTTCTCCAGAAGAAAAAATATTATCAGACATACTGTGAAAATTTCCTGAATCTGTTCAACATCATTTGGGAAATATTAAAAAAAGAAAATCAAAGGGGGCGAATAATTCTGCCTTCAACTGTAATCTGTCCTCTACCCCTAAACACAACCCTCAAAGAAAACAATCAGCATTTTTACATTTGCAAAATACTCAATTCTTTGTGATTTATGAGGGATTTTCCAAAAATCAATGTCCTGACATTACTGGTTTGGCTATACTTGTGGGGACACTTGGTCCCTAGTATCAGGTAAGTGACTCAAGTTACACACACACACACACACACACACACACACACACACACACAAACTGCTTCAGAAAGAGAAATTCTCTCATAGTATCTGCTCTTACTTTTCTATGCTAGAAATGAAGGAGCTACTGTAGTCCACTAAGATCTGCTAATGGTGGAAAAGGGCTAGAAGGTGTGCATTTAATTAATAATAATAATAATAATAATTGATTTATTAAATGTATATGCAAGTCAACAGTTTTCAAAGAACTTTTTGAAAGTTTCTGCCATTTTTCGGCATCATTTTAAACCATGTGACTTTTTCTTCTTTCTATATAGAGTATCAGTATATATATGTATCAGAGTCAAAATAATTAGCCCTCCTGGGATATACTGTATATCTCCAGTGATATATATAATTATCTTCAATACTTATTTTTATATATTTTTTCCAGTAACTTTTTAATATGATAGTTTTAATAACTGATTTCTTTTATCTTTGTCATGATGACAGCACATAACATCGGATCAGTTATTCGTCAAGATACTTGTATTCAGCTTATAGTGACATTTAAAGGTTTAACTAGGTTAATTTGTTAAACTTATGAAGCTCTTTTCCTGTTTTAGAGCTTGACAGTCTCAGATAGCCAAATGCTTTAATCATACAAAAATAGCGCAGCATGAACATTCTTTAAAACATCTTCTTTTCTGCTCTGAAACAAACATGAACATTTTTTAAGTCTCTTATGTGACAATAATAGCTCTAGATGTCTTGTAGTTACAGCACAGTGGCTACATGGACTGCTTTTAAAACGCTTTTGGTCTGTTTTAGAGCTTGACGGTTTCAGATAGCCACGTGCTTTAATTAAAAGAGCAGCATGAACATTCTTAAAAACATCTTTTTATTTAATGGAGAAAAGAAAGGCCACTTGGCTTTGGAACATACGCAAACATTATTTCTGACTATCATGTGACAGTAATAGCTCTAGATGTATTTTAGTTATAGCACATTGGCTACACAGACTGCTTTTAAAATGCTTTATAGCTGTTTTAAGGCTTGATGGTCTCAGATAGCCAATCGTATAAAAAACAGAGCAGCATGAACATTCTTTAAAACATCTTCTTTTTATTAAATGGAGAAAAGAAAGGTCACATTTCTCTGGAACACACACAAACATTATTTCTGACTTTCATGTGACAGTAATAGCTCTAGATGTATTTTAGTTATAGCACATTGGCTATACGGACTGCTTTTATAATGCTTTATAGCTGTCGCAGAGCTTGACGAATTCAGGTAGCCAAATGCTTTAATCGTACTTTTTAAAAGTGCAGCATGAACATTCTTTAAAACATCTTCTTTTCTGTTTAGTGGAGGAAAGAAAGGCCACATGGCTCTGGAACATACACAAACATTATTTCAGACTATCATGTGACAATAATAGCTCTAGATGTCTTGTAGTTACAGCACAGTGGCTACATGGACTACTTTATGGCTGTTTTAAGGCTTGATGGTCTCAGATAGCCAATCATATGAAAAACAGAGCAGCATGAACATTCTTTAAAACATCTTCTTTTATTTAATGGAGAAAAGAAAGGCCACATGGCTTTGGAAAACACTTGAACATTATTTCAGACTATCATGTGACAGTAATAACTCTAGATGTCTTGTAGTTACAGCACACTGGCTACACAGACTGCTTTTAAAATGCTTTATAGCTGTTTTAGAGCTTGATGGTCTCAGATAGCCAATCGTATGAAAAACAGAGCAGCGTGAACATTCTTTAAAGCATCTTCTTTTCTGTTTAGTGGAGGAAAATATTCAGGGGGGCTCATAATTCTGACTTCAGCTGTATATAATCTGCTCATTGATCTGATCCGGCGTGATAATAGTTAGCCTGTATGTTTGAGAACTGCTGCCATATACAGTACAGCACAGCTTTTCTATATTTAACTCTCATTTTGCGAATGTGTACTAATAAGCGCGTCTCACGTTGAGGTGCTGAAGTGCTCCATGTTATTAACACATTCAGATCATGTGATCAGACTTCGGATTGACATCATCGCCGGGATGATGCTGAACATCCGGTGTGATGAGACTCGTTCGTCACTCGACACTGTTGTGAGATCCTCGGCTGCTGGTTTATATAATATCATGTGTGTTTGGTTATAAGGAGGAGCTGCGGCCCCAGTTTGAAGCCAAATACTCGCGGAAGGAGAGGGTAAACCCCATCTCAGGGAAACCAGAGCCTTTCCAGCCCCTCACAGACAAGCTCAGCCGACTCATGGTGTCTGTCTCCGGCATCTTCTTCATGGTGAGAAGAGTCAGAATGTCCCAGATCTGAATATTGTGGTTTTATAAACACTGTAAAAAAAAAAAAAAGGTTTGCACAAAATGTCCCTATTCTACAGAAAAAAATACTATATTATTACCTAAAAAGGTAATACTGTGTGAAGATGTAACGTTTGGTTGAAAAAGAAATGCTATCATTGCTGTTTTTTTACTAAAACAGTGCAAAAAACTGAAAACGGCTACAAAAAAGGGCCATATTATAGAGAAAAAGCTTGTTTTTTCACTAAAATGGTAATATTCTGTATAAAAGTGCATTCTGGGTAATTCAGAATGCAGTTTTTTTGACAGAACACATTTATTTGTCAATAAGCCAGATCTGAATATTGTAGTTTTATCAACACTGTAATAACAGCGATATTCTGCTGAAAAATACAGTATTATTTTTCATTAGAAAGGTAATATTGTGTAAGTATTTAATGCTAGGTTGAAAAACCAAATGCTGCTGTTGCTGTTTTATTTATTTATAATTTTTTTTACTAAAATGGTGAAAAAACAGCAGCAAAAAACTGCAACATTATAGAGAAATGGCTTTTTTCTTTCAACAAATGGTAATATTCTGTTTTAAAAGGTGCATTCTGGGTAATTCAGAAAGCAGTTTTTTTAACAAATATTTATTTGTCAATAGTAATGAGAGCAACAGCTATAACAGTAATAACAGCGATATTCTACTAAAACTACATTTATTTTTAACTAAAAAGGTAATATTGTGTAAATATGTAATGCTAGGTTGAAAAATAAACGCGGTTGTTGGTTTTTCACTAAACGGTGCAAAAAACTGCTGCAAAAACAGGCAGATTATTGAAGAAAATCATTTTATTTCTCTAAAAGAGTGATATTCTGTTAAAAAAGTGCATTTTAGGCAGTTCAGAATGGGTCTGTTTTTTCTTTTCTACACGTATTTATTTGTCTGTAAGCCGGATCTCAATGTTGAGGTTTTATCACTGTTAAAAAAAACTGCTGCCAAAAAAAAACAGCCATATTAAAGAGAAAAAGCTTATTTTTTACATATTTATTTGTTAATAAGTCAGATCTGAATATTCTAGTTTTATCAACACTGTGATAACAGCGATATTCTGCTTTAAAAAAAAAAAGAATATATATATATATATATATTTATTTTTTTTTTTATTATTAGTATTAAAATGCTGCTGTTGTTGTTTTTGTTAACTAAAACAGTGCAAAAAACTAAAAACTGCTGCAAAAAATGGCCTTATTATAGAGAAAAGGCTTGTTTTTTCACTAAAAACACAATATTTCACACAATATTCTGTTAAAGTGCGTTCTGGCTAATTCAGTGCAAAAAACTAAAAGCTGCTGCCAAATGGCCATATTTTAGAGGAAACATTTTTTTTTTCTTCACTAGAATGGTAATATTCTGTTAAAAAGTGCTTTCTAGGTAAAAACAGCCATATTATAGAGATTTTTTTTTTTTACTAAAACAGTAATATTCTGAAAAAAAGTGCATTCTGGGTAATTAAGAATGTGTTTTTATTTACAGAACACATATTTATTTATCCATAAGCCAGATCTGAATATTGGGGTTTTATAAACATGTAAAAATTGCAGCAAAAATGCCTATATTACAGAGAAAATCACAGTTTTTATTAACTAAAAAGGAAATATTGTGTAAATATTACGTCCGGATGAAAAACAAATGCTGCTGTTTTTTTTGTTTTGTTTACTAAACAGTAATATTCTGTTTTTAAAAAGTGCATTCCAGGTAAAAACTGCCATATTATAGAGAAAAAAGCCTTTTATTTTCACTAAAACAGTAATATTGCATCTTTAACATCAGAAGTCCCAAAATGCAGTCTGAAATGAACAATAAATTTAACAGATATTTTTATTAGTGTGTTACAATAATAATATCCTGTCTCCCTCTTGTGGCTGTGAATCAAAAGATGGCACAGCACCTGGGAATATATTTTGTATACATGAATTGAAAAGTCACATGGATGCGAATATTCATATTAGTAATGACTGTGTTGTTGTGTATAATCTGCTGCTCTCCTGCAGATCTCTCTGGTTCTGACGGCTGTGTTTGCTGTGGTGGTTTTCCGGCTCATTGCTATGGAGAAGTTTGTCTCCTTCCAGTGGGAGTTTGTGAAGAAAAACTGGCAGTTCGCAACTTCAGGCACCGGAGTCTGCATCAACTTCATGATCATCATGTCCCTCAATGTGGTCAGTTTCCTCAGTCTGAGATTTATATATTTATCATGTGAGGGATGCAGCTCACGCTTTGGGGACGGATTTTAATAAACAGGTTTCAAATAGAAATGTAAATGTTTGATGGCATTACAGACGTCTCTTCTGATTGAGTGTTGTCTGTATTTTCCATCACGTCAGGTCTATGAGAAAGTGGCGTATCTTCTGACTAATCTGGGTGAGTGTTGATTCAGTGTGCTCTTCAATGCTTCACAGATAAATAAAATTCATTCAGTCATTTTCCTTTGGCTTAGTCCCTTATTTATCAGTGGTCACCATAGCGGAATGAACCACCAACTATTCCAGCATATGTTTTATGCAGCGGACGCCTTTCAAGCTGCAACCCAACACTGGAAAACACCCATACACTCTTGCATTCAAACACTCATACTACGACCAATATAGTTCATCAGTTCCCCTAAAGCCTATGGTGGAAACCAGAGCACCTGGAGGAAACTGGGAGAGCATGCAAACTCCACACAGAAATGCCAACTGACCCAGCCAAGACGGAGTTTCCTCCGGTTTTCCCCACAGTCCAAACACATGCGCTGTACGTGACTTGAATAAACTAAATTGGTGTGTGAATATTAGAGTGTATGGGTGTTTTCCAGTACTGGGTTGTGGCTGGAAGGTCATCCATTCATTTTCTTGTCGGCCTAGTCCCTTTATTAATCTGGGGTCGCCACAGCGGAATGAACCGCCAACTTATCCAGCAAGTTTTTACGCAGCGAATGACCTCTAGAAAACATCCACACACACACACTCATACACTACTGACAATTTAGCCTACCCAATTCACCTGTACCGCATGTCTTTGGACTGTGGGGGAAACCCGGAGCACCCGGAGGAAACCCACGCGAACACAGGGAGAACATGCAAACTCCACACAGAAACGCCAACTGAGCCGAGGCTGGAACCAGCGACCTTCTTGCTGTGAGGTGACAGCACTACCTACTGCGCCACTGCCTCGCCCTGGAAGGGCATCCACTGTTTCAAACATATGCCGGAATAGTTGGCGGTTCATTCCACCGTGGTGACCCCTGATAAATAAGATGAATAAATGCAAGTTAACATGTCGCCATATGTTTCCGGTTGAAACCTAAAGTGGTGATGAGGTCTTAAAATGAGTGGGAAGGGTCTTAATAGAGGTCTTAAAGGGTCTTGATTTTCAAAGCATTGTTGGCAGTGTTTTATCGTGACTGTGACAGTGTTTTTCTCTTGTGACGCAGAGCATCCGCGCACCGAGTCGGAGTGGGAAAACAGCTTCGCCCTCAAGATGTTCCTCTTCCAGTTCGTCAATCTCAACAGCTCCACTTTCTACATCGCCTTCTTCTTAGGCAGGTCAGCAGCTCTTCATGATTCAGTGTTTCCTCGCTGCTTTCATTCACACACAATATACGACTTGAGCTCTGATATATCCGGTAAAACCAAGCGGCAGCCTCCCGCTCTCCCTCAGGAAGCCAATACAGAAGTATCTAAAACTGCAGTGCATCCGAAATTCCGCTAGTCCTGGCCGCTCCTGGCTCCAAAACAGAGCAAATTTCAATTGAGCCCACTGTTAGAATGGCCAACTTTACAGCAGAAAAAAAGGTGTTTACAGCCTGATACAAAAAAAGATTTTGGTTAATACAGCTAATATTACCCTTATGACAACTGTGAGGGGGTGAATTTCTTTAACTCATCCGTTTCCTTTATATTACGTTATATTGAGTTTGCATAATTAAGGGCGTGGCCACTTGAGTGACAGCTTGGTCTCGCTGTTCGCCGTCACCTCAGCTGAATCCTGCAGATTAGCCTCTGAACTCGGCATATTTATCGTATTTCTGTGTTGTTTTATGTGGCTTTACACAGTCAGCTGCCTTTTGGACTTGTTTCCTACAATTATTAGATGGCATGGCATGCTGAGTGCACTTAATTGTGCTCACAAACCATTCACGTGGCCTCCGTTTCCCATGTGAGTAAAGTTATATACTTATATACCATCTCTATACATGTATTTGTTTTATTTAAGATCATTTATTGTTCATATTTATATTTAGAGCTGTAATGCACTCCAGAATCTGTCAGATTGATTAGCTGTAGGCTCTAGATCAGTCATCTGAAGTGTTGTCATACAGTGTTATGCTGGAGTTCATCAATAGTCTTACATTAACTAACACAGACTATATCTGAAGTGTTTGGAAGTGATTTGCGTTTTCCTCCTGTTGAGAAACGTCATAAGAACAATGTTTAGTGGCTCAGTGTGTTACAGCTGTGTTTTTAAAAGTCTAAACACTTTATTGATATAGTGCACAACCAAGCACAAGTGGTCAGAACACAAACGAGTCGCAGGTGATGAAGTATTAAGCATTTCTACCAAAGTAAACCAGGTGTCTGAACCAGGTCCAAGCTAAATGCCAGCTGGTGTCTGTAGCTCCGCCCACTCTCCGCCTCTTTGTTCTTGTTTGGTATCCCGCCGTGGATGTGAAGAAGCGCGAACAAAATGGCGATGGTTGGCCACGCCTACTTGTGGCTTCTTTTGCGCTCTTTAGAAACCTATGGGTGACGTCACGGACACTACGTCCATATATTTTACAGTCTATGGGTAAAACTTGATATTAAAGGAGACCTGTTATACAAACATCACTTCTATAAGGGGTTTAAACTCAGTTGTGTGGCAGCAGTGTGTGAATAAGCAGCTTCTAATGGTAAACGTGTATTAATTGTATTGTTTATAATCAGACTTGATAAAAACCGTCTGCAGAAACACTTTGATTGACATTCTCTCCGTGATGTACATGCACATAATGTACCCTCGCTATGGCAAGCTGTTTTAACTTTTATTCCTTCTCAGGATATGTATTCTTCATATCAACAATTCAATTTTTGATATCAACAATTTAGTTCTTGATATCAACAATTACATTCTTGATATCAACAATTCAATTTGAATGAAAGCCTGTGGTGACTTTTTATTAGTGGAAATGCAATTGTTGATATCAAAAATTATAGTTTTACTAGTGGAAATTTAATTCTTGATATCAATAATTATAGTTTTTACTAGTGGAAATGCAATTGTTGATATCAAAAATGTAAATTTTGTCATTACCATGCATATTGATGAATTTATATATGCACATATCCAAAAAGCAATTTGTGAGATCTGAAATAACAATTATTACTAGTGAAAATTGAATTTCTGATATCAAAAATTGAATTGTTGATATGAAGAATACATATCCTGAGAAGGAATAAAAGTTAAAACGGCTTGCCATCCCTCGCATCTAGAGTTACACAAACACCTCTGAATTTCATGAGTGTTATACTAATGTGTGTGTGTGTGTGTGTGTGTGTGTGTGTGTGTGTGTGTGTGTGTGTGTGTTTCCTCAGGTTTGCTGGCAGGCCGGGTGACTATAATAAGCTGTTTAACCGCTGGAGGATGGAGGAGGTTTGCTCATTATTGCTCTTCGTGATCAACATCTCCCGTATCTAATATGAGCGCCGGTTATGAGATCTCTGTGATGTTACTGTATAATCACCTCAGCTTGACAACTGTGCTCCGTCACAACACCAGAGCACTGTTTAACATCTCTAGACTGTCAAATATTTGGATGTAATCAAAACACCACTTGGGGGGAAAAGAAATGCGCTTAATTGAGCTTGATGTGTTGATTATCACAAACACAAAGAAGTTATGAATAAGTTATGGGTTTGGGGTTAATGTGTGTATTAGTGAAGATGCAGCCTAAATGTACTTAAAGAGAGTCTCTGCATTTATTAACGTGTTTTGAATAGCGCTTTTTATATGTTTGTTTTATTCATATGTAGTTAAAAACAACAGTGCATCCGAAGAGTATTGATGGCGCTTCACTTTTTTTCACATTTGTTTACGTTCCAGCCTTATTGCAAAATGGATTAAATTGATTGATTTCCTCAACATTCTACACACAATCCCCTATAATGACTATGTGAATAAAGAGTTTTTCATCTTGAGATGTTTCAGCAGCTTCATTGGAGTTTATCTGTGGTCAGTTCAGCTTATTTGACATGATCTGAAAAGGCGTACACCTGTCTATATAAGGGCCCAGGGTTGACAGTGCATGTCAAAAGCACAAACCAAGCATGAAGACAAAGGAATTGTTTGTTGACCTCAGAGACAGGATTGTCTGGAGGCACAAGGCTGGGGAAGCTTACAGAAACATTTCTGCTGCTCTGAAAGTTCCAATGAGCACATCAGCCTCCATCATCTGTTAGTGGAAGATGTTTAACCACCAGGACTCTTCCTAGAGTTGGCCGGCCATCTAACCTGAGTGATCGGGGGAGAAGGGCCTTAGTCAGGGAGGTGATCAATAACCCGATGGTCACTCTGTCTGAGCTCCAGCGTTCTTCTGTGGAGAGAGGAGAACCTTACAGAAGGACAACCATCTGTGCAGCAATCCACCAATCAGGCATCTGTATGGTAGAGTGGCCAGACGGAGGACACTCCCCGCCTGGAGTTTGCCAGAAGGCATCTGAAGGACTCTCAGACCATCAGAAACTAAACTCTCTGCTCTGATGAGACTCAAACTGAACTGTTTGGAGTGAACGCCAGGCGTTACGTTTGGAGGAAAGCAGGCAGCGCTCATCACCAGGCTAACAGCATCCCTACAGTGAAGCACGGTGGGGGCAGCGTCATGCTGTGGGGATGTGTTTCAGCAGCAGGAACTGGAAGACTAGTCAGGATAGAGGGAAAGATGAATGCAGCAATGTACAGAGACATCCTGATGAAGACCTGCTTCAGAGTGCTCTTGACTTCAGACTGGGGTGACAGTTTATCTTGGAGCAGGACAATGACCCAAAGCACACCGCCAAAATATCAATGGAGTGGCTTCACAACAACTCAGTGAATGTTATCGAGTGGCCCAGCCAGAGCCCAGACCTAAATCCTATTGAACATCTATGGAGAGATCTGAAAAAGGCTGGACACAGTCGCTTCCCATCCAACCTGATAGAGCTTGAGAGGTTCAGCAAAGAGGAATGGAAAATTCCCAAAGACAGGTCAAGCTTGTGGCATCATATTCAGAAAGACCTGAGGCTGTAATCGCTGTCAAAGGTGCATCAACAAAGCATTGAGCAAAGGCTGTGAATACTGATGTACATCTGATTTTACAGCTTATTAATTTGTAATTAATTTGCAACAATTTCAAAAACTCTTTCTTCACATTGTCATGATGGGGGATTGTGTGTAGAATGTTGAGGAAATCAATGAATTTAATCCATTTTGGAATAAGGATGGAACATATAAACATGTGGAAAAAGTGAAGCGCCATCAATACTTGTACACTTATTTTGATATGTTGTCAATTATGAAACCCTGAAACGAGCATGATTCTACATTTACTGCATTAGTTATTCTGACCGTTCATTACTGCACTGAATGCGTCACATTTTATAAACATTCAAAGTTTCTGCTGAGATTTTAGAATTAAGCTAAATATGTCATCATATTTTATAGTTATTAGTCTTAAAATATTGTAACATAGCCTTAAATTATCTACAAATTACTGGACTGTCCATTTTTCACTACACTTTTTTTCACCACAAGCATGAGCTTGCTATCAAGAAAACCACGTCTATGAAATGTGGACACAAAACTGAAGAAGGATAATAATGTATAAGTAACAGGAGCTAATAATGCTTTGTTATTCTTCTGTAGTGTCATCCCAGTGGGTGTCTGATCGACCTGTGTCTGCAAATGGGAGTGATCATGGTGCTGAAACAGATCTGGAACAACTTCATGGAGCTGGGCTACCCGTGAGTAAAACAAAGCAGGACAAAAACAAAACATCCCAAAACACACACAGAGCTGCGAAGGACTGCTGAAACCGAGAAAACCTGTGTTTCACTCTTCTGCTTCGTTTTTCAGATGTTAGAAAATGCTCATGAAACGTGTCTGCATTCATTTGATTAAAATACAAATCAGCAGATTTATTATTTGTTTTAAAGCAGACCTATTATGCTCCCTTTCACATTATGCAAAATAAGTCTCTGTCTCTACAATGTGTGTGTAAAGTTTCAGCTCAAAATACCACACTGATAATGTTTTCTAAGATTATAGTGCATTTTAGTGACTGTCGCTTTAAATGCAAATGAGATTGTGCTCTCTTCAAAAGAGGGCGGAGCTACAGATGCCTGTGTGTCAGCATAGTGGCAGATTCAAAAATGAGACTAACGTCATATGCTAATGAGGGAGAGATGGTCACTAGTGGGCGGGGCTTTCCCCCTCTGATGACATCATAGAAAGAATGTCAATCAAAGTGTTTCTGCAGACTGTTTATATCAAGTCTGATTATTAAACAATACAAATAATTAATTTAACCATTAGAAGCTGCTTATATTCACACACTGCAGACACACAACTTTGTTTAACCCCCTTATAAAAGTTATTTTTGCATAATACCTTTACATATTACATTTACAATCTATTTAAAATGCTGGATTGTCATGTGGACGAACCCAACACTGTTAGTTTTTTTAAATTACACTGTTAACCCACCAGTTGGTTTCGTCCATATTTGACCAAACATTTAGTTATTTTAACATTTAATTTATTTAAAGCAATACAAAAAAATGAGGATAATCGTTTGTAAGTTATTCTAATGTGCCTGTTAAAGTCATGATACCTTTTATCAGAATAATAAAGATTTGTAAAGAAAAATGTTTATTTGAAAAGTAACTTTTGATCAAATTTAACTTTTTAAAGTGATGACGTGTTGGTGACGTATGTAATACTGTTTCCAGGTGCAAGCCGCCACTCATTTGAATTGAGAAACTATTTATTCATGATCACTTTTAATTCATATCACACAATAAAGTTAATTTTATATTAAGTCATACTGTGCACAACAATCTCTGGGCTTGCTGCATCACAAATACCAAAATTTTAACAATTTAAAAAAAAAATGAATCACTTTCTGGCCATCGGATATTACGCATGGATATATATACTGCGATCAGGATTTTCGAAAGTATTAAAGCGCTTTGTAAACGTTTATAATTACCATTTCATGAGTCTCCACACACAGTTAAATAGAGCGCTTGGACCCGGAAGCCGCTTCGAGTGACGTCACACTTAACAAGCGGATAGCTTTCACCATAAGCCATGGCTGTGTTCAAAATGACATCAATGTATTCAAAGAGCACTGCGAAGGGAGCGCAATTGTAAACACGAAGATCGCTAAAACTGAACTGTAAAAATACTTTGAAGAGGGATGACTTTAATGCTTTTTTTTAATCATTCCAAGTTTAAATGTTAGAATGTTCTAAACGAACAGGGCATAGGGGGATAACTGGGAATAGAACACAGCCAGGAACTGTTTCTAACTACAGCTCCAGAAGTGTAGTTGCAAGCATAGTGACACAGCTTGCGAATGTTCGTTGGAACGACCAAATAAAAAAAAAACTATGTTTGTAACGACACAACTTGCAACCTTAGTTAGCTTACGACGGTTTTCGGAAACGCATCCCAGATTGGCTGATGAGCTTTCTGAGGTGCGCTTTCTAAATGACCGTATTACAAATTCAGCTTTGCATCACAGGAATGTAGTGTGTGTCTTGATTATTCCAAGCAGTGTGTTCTATTTGATACCATCTGATGTTGTTATTGAGCGTATGAGTGCAGAGGTCTGTGCTACTCAATTATTAGCTCAAACAGGGAGGTGTTTTCTGCAGGGAAACGGTCAGATTGTCCTCAGTTCCAGTTCACAGGCCACTGATTCTGCAAACCCTGCAGAGAAAACTGTACAGCTCATCAGAAAGAGACACAGACCACCACACATGATCAAGACAACCGTGATAATGAGGGACGTTAGTTCAGGTTTACAGCACTGCGCTTTGTCCAGCAGTCAAAACATGCATTTAGAGTGCAATAGTACAGCGATGCTCTTTAATATTTTTCATGAAACACAGGAGAAGTGTATCCCCGGTTGTCCTCTCATAGTGTTTAATAGCAGGTTGTTTCTGTGCTGGTGCTCCAGGCTGCTGCAGAACTGGTGGTCTCGGCGTAAGATGAAGCGAGCCGGAGAGCAGAGTAACAGTAAAGAAGAGCTCCCGCAATGGGACAGAGACTGGAACCTGCAGCCCATGAACGCACACGGCCTGGTGGACGAGTACCTGGAGATGGGTGCGTTCGCTTTTCATGTACTGAGGGATTTTTGCTTACTTATATTCATTTAGCAGACTCTTTTATCCAAACCAACTTACACGAGTATTAAGGGATCACTTCAACTGGGGGTTTGTCAAGTCCATACACTCAGAAATAAAGGTAGAAGAGCTGTCACTGGGGTGCTACCGTTTTGAAAGGTACAATTTTGTACCTAAAAGATCCATATTAATACCTCGAGGGTAAATATTAGTACTTAAAAAGTACAAAAGTTTTAAAATTTTAAAGTACTAATATATACTTTTGAGGGACCAATATTGACCCTTCAGGTGCAAATGTGTACCTTTTGAAAATGACCCACCCTATTGACAGCTAGTACCTTTATTTCTGAGAGTGTAGAATAATTGACTTGATTAACGCAAACTCGGGTGTTAGAAATGGCATTAGACGGCATAATCTTGACAGTAATGAGTGCACTGGTTTGTCATATTATTTTGCGTATGTTTTGTGTTCAGTTCTACAGTTTGGCTTCACTACGATCTTCGTGGCGGCGTTTCCTCTGGCTCCCCTGCTGGCTCTGCTCAACAACATCATCGAGATTCGATTGGACGCCTACAAGTTCGTTACGCAGTGGAGGAGACCGATGCCCGCCCGAGCTACCGACATCGGTTAGTTCCTTCACACCAATGCACCCTTTCACAAGACTGTTACCATGTGTTTAACACCCATCAGAATCTTACATTTACATTTAGTCATTTAGCAGACACTTTTATCCAAAGCAACTTGCAAAATGAGGAAAAGGAAGCAACTTATACAACTATAAGAGCAACAATGAATAAGTGCTGTAGGCAAGTTTCAGGTGTGTAAAGTCTAAGAAGAAAAGCATTAGTAATTTAATTTTTTTTTTTTTTTGAGTGCAGTTAGTGGTATAGCCAGAGAGGCAATTGCAGATTAGGAAAGAAAGTGGAGACTAAATAGTTGAGTTTTTAGTGGTTTCATGAAGACAGCGAGTGACTCTGCCGTTCTGATGCAGTATGGGAGTTCATTCCACCATCTTGGCAGATTGAATGCGAGAGTTCGGGAAAGTGATTTCTTCCCTCTTTGGGATGGAACCACGAGGCGACGTTCATTCACTGAACGCAAGTTTCTGGAGGGCACATACATCTGCAGAAGTGAGAGCAGATAAGAAGGAGCAAAGCCAGAAGTCGCTTTGTAAGCAAACATTAGAGCTTTGAGTTTGATGTGAGCAGCAACTGGCAGCCAGTGCAAACGGATGAGCAGCGGAGTGACATGTGCTCTTTTACGTTCATTAAAGACCACTCGTGCTGCTGCGTTCTGAAGCAGCTGAAGAGGTTTGATAGAGTTAGCTGAAAGCCCGGCTAGTAGAGAGTTGCAATAGTCCAGTCTGGAGAGAACAAGAGCTTGAACAAGGAGTTGAGCTGCATGTTCAGATAGGAAGGATCGGAGCTTTCTAAAGTTATAGAGTGCGAATCTTAAATCCTTGATAGTTATTTTTAAAACGGATGTACAGTGGTCCCTCGTTATTTGTGGGAGTAACGTTAAAAAATAACCTGCAATAGGCAAAACTGCAAAGTAGCCAGCTTTTTAAAAAAACATTTTTTTACAATGATCATAGATGTTTTAAGGCTGTCAGCAAAAGGTTCATAAAGCTTTTGTGCGGATAATTTTGGCATCCGGCGTAATGTTCTTTATCCTGCAGTCACTGATCCACAAAGCTAAAGTAGACTCCATTCCTAAGAGGGTCGCACACTGGACGTGCACATTCACATGCTATTTAAGTGAAGTTTATTTATAAAATAATTTCGAGAGGATCACTTGCTTATGATTGCTTGCAGCTGGTCCCGCATTATCCAATTTATGATTCACCAATCAGATGATTCCTAGGCCACTATAAATACCCTCAGTTCCATATAACAGCCATCTTTGTTTTGAAGAATCCCCCCTTCTACCCTCTACTCCTCCTCCTTTCCTAGATGGGTGGCACGGTGGCCCAGGGGTTAGCACTGTTGCCTTACAGCAAGAAAGTCACTGATTTTAGTCCTTACCAAGCCAGCTGATGTTTCTGTGCGGAGTTACACATTCTCCCTGTGCTTACGTGGGTTTCCCCCGGGTTCCCCGGTTTCCTCCCACCGTCCAAAAACATGACATGTCCAAAACTTAAGTTAATTGACTAATCCAAATCAGCACCATAGACATGCTCCTAGTAAGCAGTTATCTCTTTAGAGCGATCACTGTTTGTTCATGAGCTACTACAGCAGGGGAGTTCTCCAGATCTACCTGAACTCAAACTCTCCTCTCGCCCTGCAAACAGGAGGGAGCCCCGTGCTCAAGGATCTTATGAGCTCAGGGCTCTCTCCCGGGGACAGCATGCCAAAGAAAGCCGCCGACTTGCGGTGCCAGTGTGAGTACCCTGATATAAACCTATGCAATTCTAAAATGCATGGCGCTGCGTGGCACAGCACATCCAGTGTGTGACCCCCTTTGCGATGGTCTTGCTGCGGACTACAGCCCTTCTTGTTGGAACTCACACTTTTAGCGATCGAAGATTTATGTTAATTTGGCAAGCTGGATGCATTCTTTACTGCACAGGAGACATGGAGGAGATTGATTGACAATGGTCTACAGCCAATCAGGACGCAGAACACAGCGGGCTGTAAAATAAAAACACGTTAAATTGCATGAAAAAAATCCACCAAACTACGAGGCCACGAACGGTGAATCGCTACATAGCAAGGGACTACTGTGCATTTATATGTATTTACGTATGTTTTAGAGAATCTTTGCATTAAATTACAAAAAGCGAATTACCGCTTATGTGAGGTTTTTGTAAGGCAGCATCTATGGGAGCAGGACAGTAAATTTGACGTTATTCTCTCTTCTAGCTGCCGTTATCAGTCTCACGCTATTTGTAGAAGCCGTACATTGTATTTTGGCTATTGGCCACAAGGTGTCAGTAGGAGACTATATAACTGTGGCTTCACTGCATGGAGTAAGACAGTGTTGGTAGGAAGCGTACCGTCTTGACTCGTAACTGAACGTCTCGTCTCATAACTGAGCATAACAGACAAGTGTGCATATAGATTAAGGAAGTGATTAAGTAGTTCTGTTGATTGGAAAATAAAGACGTTTTTATTTGCATCTATTTGCCTACAGACTCTGACTTTGACGCGTTAAAAAACTTGCTCACTCTACCAACAATAGCGGCATTGGAAAGCCGCTACACTATTTATTTCCTTTTTCTAAAAGTCTTGATAACACCATCCTGGACTTTTTCTGTCATTATTTCAGCAAATAGGATTGTAAAATAACGATTTGTCGTCCTCTCCCATTCACTATCCTCTGAGTTTACACACTATGACAATTTCTGTTGCGGAGAAACCCAGAAATGTGAAAAGGGTCCATTAGCTTGATGTTGGTTCATTTCAACCCAAACTCAACAAGTCATTCTGTTCAAGGCACAATCATTCTGTAATGCAGCTATTTTTTATTAGGTATCTGGCATGGTGTTCTGGAGGGAATTGGAGTTGTGGCTGTCATAACAAATGCCTTCGTCATCGCCATCACTTCAGATTACATCCCTCGCTTCGTCTACGCAATCAAATATGGGCCCTGTGTGGACAAGGGTTACCGACACGAGAAGTAAGAGGATGGCTGCACAAAACAGTTACAGAACAAAACATGTCAATAGTAAAGTGAAGCTGATTTCTTTTGTTAGCACCTCTGGTGACGGGTTATTTACGGGAATCAGCTTCATGTTGGCATGGTCAACTATTCGGAAAGTCTGAAATTCGCTAATTCCTCCTGTGAATTTGTTTTGTTCCAAATATGTCCCATTTACCAACACATTTTAAACATAATAGTTTCAATAAAAGAGGTTTTATTTGTAATAACTAACTTTTTATCTTTGCCACAGTGACATTGCTTGATATGTTACTAGTTATTTTGCAGGATACTAGTATACAGCTTAAAGTGACTTTTAAAGACGTAACCAAGTTAATTAGGTCAATTAGGCAAGTTAGATCTCCAGCTGTATGCTGCTTTTTTGCTATTCTAATACTGTATCTTTGTGTTTTGGATGGCTTTTCCCAGATGTCTAAGAGGATACCTGAACAACAGCCTGTCTGTGTTTGATATGGGTGAACTGAGAAATGGGAGTTATGAAAATCAATACTGCAGGTACTACACAGTACAGTATATTATGTCGTTATATGTTTTTTTGCTAGATTTTTTTGGATTCAAGTGCTTTTTTTGTGCAGGTATCGGGATTACAGAGCGCCTCCGTGGAGTCCTGAACCCTATGAGTTCACCCTGCAGTTCTGGCATGTTTTAGCTGCCAGACTAGCCTTCATCATTGTCTTCGAGGTCAGCGCTACCTTACGTTTATTGTATGAGGATTGTTTACATTAAAATGTAGTTTTGGGTAAGCAAAGACACAATTAGATAGTTAAAGTAGGTTCAATACAAGGTACTAGTGAAATGAAGATTAGCAGGTACAAGCTAACAATGCAGGTAAACCTCAATTCTTAGACTCAAGAAATTAGGTGACTGATGCTAATGATGCTTTTACATCATTGTAAACATGCCGACACACCCAGCAAATTCATGCCTCTTCTAGAGTGTCCTACTTGGAACCAGTTAAAGTGGTGCCGTGACCCGGATGGGAATACGGTTTAGGATTTTATGAAGGCATCTGGTGCATGGTCATTGTATAAATTAAGGCCAAAAGCTGAACAGCACTGCACAAGGATTGGGGCTGACTAGCATGCGTGTTCTGCACCTAGGTAAGAAGTAATATCCTTGGCACACCAAACTTAGTCCTGGAAGGCCGCTGTCTTGCAGAGTTTAGCTCCTTGCCTATACACACCTGCCTGGAAGTTCCCTGTATCAGTGAGTTCCATTGAGAAGAGCTCATTCCTATATCATAATCCCTTCAAAGGGTTTACCCTCCAGAGTGACAGTTTTGAAGGGATTAGGTCAAAGCAATGAGCCCTTCCAAATGGAATGTGCTGTTTGACACCAAATAACATCCCAGCACAATGGATCACAGAGGCTCGAAGTATCCATCAGCTGTACCCTTTGAAATCTTTCAATCCAAAGGGCCTTTCAAAGTGGCCAGGTTTAAGCACTTTGGTTTGGAAAACCACTTCAGTATGCCAGCCATGATTGTTTTTACTCCCATTTGCAGGGTAATTTATACTATTTGGAATTGACTGTATAGCTCGGGTATCACCAAACTTGTTCCTGGAGGTCCGGTGTCCTGCAGATTTTAGCTCCAACCCTAATCAAACACCCCTGAACAAGCTGATCAAGGTCTTACAAGGTATACTTGAAACATCCAGGCAGGTGTGTTGAGGCAAGTTGGAGCTAAACCCTGCAGGGCACCGAACCTCCAGGAAAGAGATTGGTGACCCCTGGTACAGCTAGTACTATCTTGACTTGCTTGTTCAGGTGTGTTTGAATACGGTTAGTGCTAAAATCTGCAGGATACTGACCGTCCAGGGCCAAGTGTGGTGACCCCTAGTAATAACAGCCTATACCACCAAGTGACAGTAGACACTAGAAACACTAGTGTGGATATACAAACTTTACTGTTTGCTCATTTTAAAACAATTACCATTTTGGTCTGTTGATCTTTAATTCTTTTTTTCCAGACATGTTGTTAGGAAAATATTAGCACATCTAAAATAGCCTATCTTGACCTTGTTGATTACTATTCTTCTCATTCACTAAGATGGTGCAGAACAAACCTTGCAAAAAAAACTGACCTTAGAGACGGTAATGCTCAAACCCCACTCCACTGGTCTCGAGGCGTACTAGTAGCAACTTGTGCTAGAAGCTTTTGTCTTAAGCATCCATGCCAAATATCACCGATTGAAACCAAGTAAGCCAAGCGACCCTAAATACCCTAGTACAGGAGTCACCAATCCTGGTCCCGGAGGGCCGGTGTCCCTGCAGGGTTTAGCTCCATCTTGCCTCAACACACCTGCCTGGATGTTTCAAGTATACCTTGTAAGACCTTGATCAGCTTGTTCAGGTGTGTTTGATTAGGGTTGGAGATAAAATCTGCAGGACACCGGCCCTCCAGGAACAAGTTTGGTGACCACTACCCTAGTATATTTAAAAATATATTTCCGTGCTTCGTTTTAGGGCAAACAGAACTGGAAAATGCTGAGTGGCGTACACTATTTTCAAAACTTTAATCACCTCGCGATACAGCATGAGGGCTTGTAAATATGTCACGCTGCTTGGGTGTACCATCAGAAGTCCAATCTTTACATTGGTTTTTATATTTGATGTGGACAAACACAGAATAGAACAGTGTTTAGAATGTACTCAACATGGTGGATCCTCTGCTGCTCGACCCTCCAGTGTACTTGGTGTTATTGTGTTGGACGTTCTTCCCATTTCTGAATCTGACCTCTGTGTTCTCGATTGATTCCTACCTCATATCCACAATTACCGGTTGTGAAAATTTGGGTACCAATGGTAGGTGTTTGGGAAATAATTCAATAAATAAATCTCACAAAAGCTTTGCTGTTTCGAACTGCCAAAACAAACTTAATTTTGGCCGGATTTAGTTTAAAAAGACGCAATTTCAGTTCATTCCTTGATTTCATTTGAAGTATACCAGGGCCTTGAGTATCTAATCTCCCAGAGACTGAATTGCCAAAAAGCCCAACAGTGGTTGAGAATCCAATCGTCAGTATGTTCAAATAGGCTGTCATTGGTCCAGAAAGACTATCATGGCTTTCCTTCATGAAAGGCTCATTTGTTTACTGTTATCTACTGTGGTTAGATACTCAGTGTTAAAGTTCTATGAGTAATGTTTGATTTTCTGTTGTATTCTCCATAGCACCTGGTGTTTGGCATCAAGACCTTCATAGCCCACATGATTCCAGACATGCCCAAAGACCTGTGTGATCGCATGCGCAGGGAGAAATACCTGATGCAGGAGATGGTGTATGAGGCAGAACTGGAGCATCTCCAGAAAGAGCGGAAAAAGAACGGCAAACGTTATCACCATGAGTGGCCTTAGTCGTGCCTGTCCATAAACACACACACACACACATAAATGCCCACAGGAGAACCACATACACGTCCCACGAAGCACATTAATACTTGAGAGTGGCGAACAAAACGTCTTTGCAACCTGCACAACTGCAGCACATATGTGAACACAAGACATTCATGTACAACCGGTCTGCTGCCTTGGACGGCTTTGCTTTATTGACTCCATGCATGGGCTGCCCACTTCAGATTTCCATTGCTGTGATAAACCAGGGAGCGGATTCAGTATTTGAGGTCGAGACCTGATCTCCAGGCGCGCCTTTAGAACCAAGAGTTGGCAGCTGTACTCTGCACCAAAGAGGATTTTCTCGGTCACATGACGCCTGCCTAGGACCTCCAGTAATTCAATATTTTTATCCTGTCGAGGATGTTTGTACATTAAAACTAGTCTACAGGACAAGAACAGAACAGTCTGGCAGAATTTGAAAATGGAAAAAGAAAATAGTAAAGATGTGTACACGAATCGTTTTTTTAGCCACCAGTATCGTTTTCTCCAGGTTTGGACGATCTTTTGTTGACTTTTGAGGTGGTTTGCCTGATCAAATTAAATTAAGATAAATCTGATGGGACATTTTATGGATCGAATTGTCTGAGTTCCCTTTGGAAAGAGTTGGATAAGTTACATGATGTGAAAATGCAACAAGTTTTAAAAAGCACGACTGTCGTCCTAAGAAAAGCTGCACGTTGATAAAGTTAGCTACTAGTTTGATGGAGGCTAACTGGAATAAGACTTCCTGAACCCTGTAAGAGGCGACAACAGTGGTAACTGAGCGAGAAGATGCTGTCTTTAGCATGCTTGTGTTTCAATTCAAACCCGACTGAAGCGTACTGCAAGAAACCACAAGTGGTGCCGTGACCCGAATGGAAGTCTATATTGGGAATGGTGGTAACTGAGCGAGAAGATGCTGTGTTTAGCATGCTTGTGTTTCAATTCAAACCTCAACTGAAGCCTCCTGCAAGAAACCAGAAGTGGTGCCGTGACCCGAATGGAAGTCTATATTGAGAATGGTGGTAACTGAGCGAGAAGATGCTGTCTTTAGTATCCTTGTGTTTCAATTCAAACCTCAACAGAAGCCTCCTGCAAGAAACCAGAAGTGGTGCCGTGACCCGAATGGAAGTATATATATGGGAATGGTGGTAACTGAGCGAGAAGATGCTGTGTTTAGCATCCTTGTTTCAATTCAAACCTCTACTGAAGCATCCTGCAAGAAACCAGAAGTGGTGCCGTGACCCGAATGGAAGTCTATATTGGGAATGGTGGTAGGCCAACTGATACAGGTAAAGGAAAACACACCAACTTTACATCGATTAACTAGCGGCAACAAAATGGACTGTAGTCTTGCCTTGCATCACAAGTATCTGGGTCCAAAATTAAAGACTCATTACATTTAAAAACAGGCTACAAAAAGGAATTCAGTACAACTGGGCCCACCTAGCCTTCCCAAATCTCAACAAATGTCTGTACAAGAGTCTACTCTGCAGCAAAGTCAGTTTCACTTTCCCAACCCCTCGCTCAACTCTGAAATCAATGGATTAGATTGTTCAGTGAAACTCCAGTGTGTAAGTGGAAAATAATGTTTATTGCGCATCTTTTCCAGCATGGCTTGCAGTGGCTTTGCTCTTTCATCAATTTAGTTCATCCTGCAGTTCTGAACCGAGCACTCATACGGTTGGATTGTTTACTATGCAGATGAAGGGCTTTCGGAGCTCCTGTTTTCTGCTTGTGGTCTTTGTCCGGCAGCTACACCTATCATCCGCTGTGAAGCACTTCTCTACCTGCTGTCAGCCAACGTTTACCTGCAAACGCATTTACCGATTCGCCCTCTCCCTCTTCGCTTGCCAGCATCTCACCTTGTGATTGTTGCTACAAAAGAGGTTTCTGGTAACGGTTACCAAATGAAGATCAGTTCGTTTATGCAAATGAACAAGTTTTTATGTACTACGTCGCCTTGAAAAGATATGCAGAACTGTCTTTAAATACAATAAGTCCATTTTACCAACGTACAGTAAAAAGAAAAGGCCAACTTTGGCAGAATAATAGTCAAATGCATGATTTTCGTTTGCATGCAGATAATTAGATTTTTATTATTTTATAAAAGACTGACATTGACTATGGTTTTCTAGTGTGTGTGTGTGTGTGTGTGTGCGCGCAGATTGTGAGGTGTGGTTGTATCAGCGTTTCATTGCCTGCGTTTGTTGCTTGGCTGTGATCTATTCTGTGTGCCTGTTGTGGTTCAATCGATCCTTATACTTGCCCGCCTGAGCATAAGGAAGTGGCTAATTAAGGGATAGCATACTAGCCCATCTTCCTTCCAGTATAGAGTATGTATACTGTGAATATCCTGAGCAGAGATGTGACTAGGGATTCTGGGTCCCATGCACAGGATTTTTTGGAGTTGGCTTTTGTACCAAATAAGGTCAAGTACAGTAAAATTTCAAACAGCATAGCTCAGGCCTGGATTGGCTAATCGGGAGGACCGGGAGAATTCCCGGTGAGCCAGTCCGTTTTTTGGCTGCGAGGGCCGGTGTCCCTAGCTGCTTGCACTCTCGGCAGTCGCACTTTTTTAATTTATTTAATTATTTGATCATAGCCTCACTTTTTATTCATTATTTTGCCACAGCCACGCTCTTTTTATTTATTTTCTCACAGCCCCGTGAGCAAAAAGCAGCCTGCAGGTTAATGATAACGTAACTATCATTCAACCCCAAACAGCGGCACCTTAGTGACTATAAGAATTCGAATAATTAATATTAATGATTATTACCCCTGCTCAATGAAAATCAGATGATTACGTCAATAAATCTGACACAACTTTTATACTATCGCAACAGTGTTACTGTGGTCGAGTGGTCAGCACGTTGCGTTGCGACATCGCCGACCCGTGTTCGAACTTCACTTGAGAAATCATTATTATTATTAATGTTATTTTTTCTCATTTTTATTGTTCAGACATTTAATACTGTTAGGGTTGTTGAATATTTGAAATTCTAAAGCAGCTGTTTTCCTGAAAAAGACGTGATCGTGTCATTAGAAACTGAATTGGAAATGACCTTATTTTATAGTCAGTCGTGAACTGAGGTGGGCCGGTCTAAGACTTGAAACTCCAGGGCTGAAAAGGAGTCCCACTCCGGCCCTGGCATAGCTAATATTAAAAGCAGAGTTCTGAAATGAACCTTCTGTTATTAATTACCTTCATGGCGTTCCAAAACAAACTGTGAGGCTTAGTGGTCGCCTCACAGCTAGAAGGTCGCTGGATCAAGCCCTGGCTGGGCCAGTTGGCATTTCTGTGTTTGCATGTTCTTCCCGTGTTGGCTTGAGTTTCCTCCGGATGCTCCGGTTTCCCCCACAGTCCAAACACAGGCCAAACACAGCCCACACCTCATCAGTGGTGCAATGGTAATGGTTATGATGCTACGAGTATGATTTTGTGCTTACAAAAAAAAGAAAGAAAGAAAGAAAAATTGACTCTGATGCATCTGGGCCATATTTACAAGCAGAGTAAGATGCACACTGTACTTGCCCAGACTTACCCTAATCGAACCAGAATATAGACGTCAACTGCATGAGGTCATAAAGGGTCCGGTGAATCCATGACTTAATTCGAAAGTGAAGAATTTGTTTTAAAATGTTTTAATTTTATTTTTGTGCGCGCGCAAAAGCATTCTTGAAGATTCACGAACTTATGGTTGAACCACTGATGAGGCATGGGCTGTTTTAATGGAGGTTTCGGGGCCTTCGCTGTCTATGGAGGATGAGGGAGCTCTCTCGAGGTCTTACAGATTTAAAATGACACCAGGGTGAGTAATTATATTTTTATTTAACCAACATTCAACCATTATTAATGTAGTTATTCTAAAGAGAAGTAAATTGGCACGATGGACATAAAGGTCAAATTCTTTTTTTTTTCTCGTCATTTTGCTTTACTGTAAAAATGTACATATTTTGTTTATTCTGAATGTTTAGTTTCCTTGGGGTGTGTATGTGTGTTTTTAAAAGTGTGTTTGCATGTGTGTGTGTGTGTGAGAGTTTTGTAAAGCGAGTGCTCCCAGCATGCATCACATTCTTGCACAGATTTTCAAAAGGCAGTGGCTGTGTTCGAAATAGGGTACTACCCTACCAGTAATAATAATACTATGCATGAAATATCGTGAATTATTAATAAACATGCAGTGTGTGAATGCACTGTATTCTGCCATGTATGCATATTTCAGTGTTGTTGAGCAGGGCCAGAATGGCCATAGGGAGCCAATAGGATTGTCAATCTGGCCTGCCATGGTGAATCTGGCCTGACCTCCCCCCGCTCTTCACTTACCTATTGGCACCAGCACCCTAACCCCAACCCCTTCTTGCACTTGCAATTGCTACAACACAACCCCATAAACCTCAAACTAGTCACTTACTGATCATTACTGACCCCCCCTCCCTCCCCCCACTTAGCGATTTCTCCACCTCTCCGCTTAGCAATTACTCCCCTTCCACCCCCTCCTCTTGATTGCTTCTTCCTTCTTCCCTAGTCCCCCCCACCAGCAACCCCTACAACCCCCCATCCTCGTCACTTGTGGATTGTTACACCACAGCACATAAACCCTCCACTTTTCACTTACTGCCCACTACAACACCCCGCCCCCTCTCTTCACTTACCGATCACTACCCTTCCACCCCCTTGCTTTTCACTCACCAATCGCTTCTTCCTACTCGCCTAAAGCCTGGTTTATACTTCTGCGTCAAGTGACCCACGGCGCATGCAAAATGCGTGTAGCTGTGCATTTATTCTTCTGCGCACTGTCTCTGCTGGTCTGCATTTACACTTCCGAAACGCTAGTTGGCAGTGAGGTGTAAATGTTCCTGTGTCGAGTTTCTTCGCTGCTGTTTTGCTTTTCCTGAACACTTCCTGAATGTACAAGTGGCTCAAACTCGCTCATTTTGAGGCAGGAACCGGCGGACGTGCAAAAACTTTAACTATGAGGTAAACACAAAACAAAACTTTCCATCAGGAGCTCCTTCGCAGGACTTCACACTTGTAAACAATCGCTCTATTGGGCTCGCGTCCAGCTCGCGCCATTCACGCGGCCCTCGGTCCCGCCCAGACTCGTCAGCGCTACCAAGCCGACCAATCACAGAGCTTGCGCTACGCGTCGTTGCGACGTATAGTTACAATTTTTGAGAGGTGCACGTCAGCGACATCGACGGCCACGATCAAGGGCTATGCGTCAACGCCATAGCATACACCGGCATTAGAAGTATAAATCAGCCTTAATCCCCCACCAGAAACCCCTACATTCCCCACTACCCCCCCCCCCCCCCTTTCGTCACTTGTGGATCGTTACATCATTAATGCCCCTCCATCACTACACCTGCTCCCCTTCTCTTAACTTCTTGATCGCTAGACCCCCCCCCCCCTTCTTTACTTACTTATTGCTCCTGACCCCCAAATCCCCCCTTCCCTGATGTTCCAGGTCCGTCCCTGTTGTCGAGAAAGATCAACCATGATTTCTCAACTGCTCAGTCTGATTTTGTGCAATGAGGTCATGTGACTATGTAGCTTTCTACTGTTCCATACACCATAACATAATAGTGTCCTCAACCTTGTGTGGAGTTAAACTTGATTCACACAAAACACGCAATAAACTCGAGGTTACTTGCTGATTGTTTTTACACTTATGCTAATTTTTAGCGCCAGTTTAATTCGTTGAACTTGCGAGGTGTTTTGAGGTGAATTGTGCACGTTAGCGTTGACCTCAATGTGCATTTAGTGTCGCTCACACCATATGCCCATAGTTTACCTCTGTTTGATTGCATCGACTTTGTGTGTGATTTACTTGCACAAATACTTAACTCCATGTTTAAGTTTTCAGTCTCCTTTTTCGAACACGATCACTGCATCTGTCCTCCTCAGGCCCTTTGAGTGTTTGCAGATGAGAACTTTGTATCATATTTTCCTAGCTTGAATCAAGTGTTGCTTTTTTAAGTAAATATTTTTGCACTCTCCATTTGCATGGGTACCAGCCCCATATGGGGATAGTTAGTACGCACTCAGAAAAAGACGATTAGATGGTTCTCCCACTTTATAGATTCTCCGCTCGCGCTGAATAAGAATCAAATTAATGTTTCATTTCATGGAAGCACTTTAGGAAAGTCATTTATTTATTACATTACCTCGATTTAGACAAATGTTTAAAATGTAATGGCTAGTTTAATAGGATAGTTGCAATCCATTAAGTTGGTCTAGGTAATGGGTGGCGGGGAATAAACAAGCTGAATATCGGTACTGTTTTGGGTTGCTAAAATCCAAACCAGAGTAACCACGTTATTAGAAATAAAAGTTTGCTGTAGTGCTTTATATTTCATGGACGCCACTGACAGCTGGTCAGTAAATTGAACTCGTGATGTTGATCTGAAAGAGGAAGAAGTCTGTACTATGAAATAACTGTAATCTATGCATGACCTCATTCACGAGTCCCGCACATGCAGGACTCTTGACAAACCTTTGTGTATTTGTGCACTTTTTACTGTGAAGTGTGCATGGCCTATATCTGCTTAAACCAGAGAAGACTGACCTGAGATCAGTACATGTTGTAGTGGTGAATGATCAGTTGTGGTCATCTCATTGACATCAACCTACAGGCTATGGGACGCAAATGTTCTTCAGGGTTTTGTTTTTCGAGGTACTCATGGTTGTGTATGAAATGTCTTCATTGAAAATGGCCGTCAGAAGCACATTCAAGTGATAATGTTTAGAAGAGCAAGAGCATGTATTATACCATGATGGTCGGCGCTTGCCGCTTCTTGCACAGACTCTTTGCTGTACTCAATTCTAATGCAACATCCATCATTAGTCTTACTTCTAAAGCAATGTAACTGTTACTAATATTAAAGAGACTGATGCCTATTTTGCTGTCAAATGTCAGTGCTTACAATCAGACTGTAATTAATGCATAAGCATGATGTGAAACTAGCAGAGTGACTCTAGAGTGTGGCGTCGATGGGCCTCGTTCTGAAACATGAGCAGATTACATTTACATATAAAATGTTCATAAAACCATCCTGACGTAAATGTTGAGATTCGTAGAAATGTGCAGTATGGCTTGAGTTTGTGATTTGCTAAAGCCTGTTCTTAAGAAAAGAGAGTCCAGAAGGTTCTACAGTGTTCTTGCGTCTGGGATTCATGGATGTGGGTTTTGAAATCTTTTGAATATGATAGAATTGTTTTACACACAGATTCCAGAGTTTTGTAAATGTTTCATGAAAGAGGCCTGACGGGCACTATGCTTTGGTGTGATTTTGCCAAGTAGGACTTGTACCTGGATCAACATTCCTGTCAACCGTTAGATTTTGTAGTGACAAGAAGACTTTGTAGTTTCCTGAAGACCTCCATTAGCTTGTTAAGATGTTCAATTATGGTAAAAGAACAGCAAATGCTCACTTCTTTGAAGGGCATGGGTTACCAAATCTGCTCCTGCAGCGCCACTGTCCTGGGCTAGTTACAAAATCACTCCATTGTTTTATTTTTTCTAATACACCTCCTACTTGTATAGTCTAGGAGTTAGTATATATAATAATAGTGTTTTCAAAAGCAGGCGTAGGAGAAACATGCACTGTGGACACGGTTTTACCATCATTTTACATTGCTTTTATCAGTTTTGTGAACCAAGCATTCGGTATCACAAGTACAGCATAGGAGAAAGTGAACTACCAAGCAGAATTGTTGGGATCATACTGCCCTATAGTGTTCATTGTACCTAGAAACTGTAGAAAAGTATATTTTTTGCAGTTTATCAAATATGTAGGCTGCAGCAAGTCATTCCAATAAGATGGACTTAGCTAAAGACCAGGGTAGGGTTGCACCAAAACGTTCTTGCTTAAGCCTCTACTGTGGACTCTGTTCCAGTTTAACTAGGTAAAGCCATGTATGTTGGTGCACTGCAAAAATATTTAGTGCTGCGCAAGTTGTAACCAATGCCTCATTTCTCCTGAGCCGTATGGTACAGAATGATTTGGTACGGGTCATCCTGCTCAGACTATTTTGGCACTTCTGGCAATGGAAATGTGTACTGTACTATACTAAACCATATCGCTCAGTAGAACCGAGCAATTACAGTCCATTTATTTTGCAACTACACAACATTGTAACTTCCTCTTTGTTAGAGGAAGGGGGACCCTAATATGTCCTTTCTGCAAGCCTAACCAAAACTACCTGAGCGGGCTAGGTAAGATCTTCAGGATTACAAGAAAGTTGCAGGTTGGTAAATACATTTGGTTGAGATGTAGTCCTTAAGTTATTGAACCCCACAAATTAAGGTCTTCAGACTCGTTACAAACTTTCAAGCATGCCTTGAGGAGCTGAACTCTGCAGGACCTTGGCAGGGAGCCCAAACCTGTTCTTGGAGGGTCAAAGTTTAGCTACTAACTTAATCTAATTACGCACATCTAAACAAGCTAATCGAGATCTTCAGACTTTCTAGACTTGTATGTTGAAGCTAAAATCTCTGAAATGTTGGTCCACCAGGAGCAGGATTGGGACACCCCAGATGTAGGGCCATGGGTTCGGGTTGGTACTAGGATGGACGTATCAGATGCTCATGGTCCAATTACCTGCATGGCTGAGCTCAGACCCTAACAAAACACACCTGGAAAAAAAATTACACTTGTCCTGCAGTATAGAGTTGCTCAGCCTTGGGTACCAAGCAAGAATTCAAGGGAGAATGTTCAAGCACTCCTAGTCCTAAAGGTTTGCTTGCTTTTGCAATTATCAAATATCCCAAAGTCCTTAAGTAGATTCTTCAGGTGCAGTTAATCTTTCCGGAAAAAGAGATGCCCAGACACCCTAATGAATTCCTGTGGTTTCAGGGTCAGGACTGGGGTTAGGGGTTATAGACCAGAAAATGATCCAGGAGTACATTCTAACTGGCAAAATCCCAGTCACCTCGAATAACTAAATCTCAACGACACCACATTATTTTATTGTTTATACTTCTGATATAAAAGCTGTTTATGAGACTCCTTCATCCTTGTTTACATGTAAAGCAATCAGCAGTATGCATACAAGAATTGTACAAAACATGTCTGTAACATAGATTTGGGGATCAGAGTTTTCTGTAATAAACATTGATTGTATCTTTTAAATGAAATAGTTGATGTGTTCTTTCGCTCGTTACAGCTTTTTCTGAACTATGCTAGTTTCGTTATGGTCAAAGCCGGCATTAGTGTTACCATTTTCCTGTTGGTTATCGCAACTGCACCTGAACTTCTCGTCCATTCTTAAGGTGCATCCCTGGTCTGGATGTTTCTCCCATGCCTTGCCAAAGTCTCCCACATCCTAAGAGAAGCACACATGTTCTGTTTCCATTCAAATGAATCAAATACACATTCTGCAAGACAGTCTGTACCTCTTTGCCTTCACCAAGGTCAGCTTCTGTGAATTTCTCAGTGCAGAAACACAGGACGTCCTTCACTGATCGAGTCATCCCTGGTTTCAACAGTTTCGGGTCCATTGGGCCTGTAGACACCAGAATCTCAGTTACTCCACCACACTAATCTACTTCCCACCCTAAGCATTTATGGCATAGAAAAACTGAAGAATTGTTGACAACTACTTTTGCTTTTGTTGGATTTAGAGTCCAAGTGCTGCAAATAATAGGCCGGATAATATAAAATTGGAGGTGGGAATACTGGAAAAACTTCCCATTTCTGGCACCAATCTAGATGCAATTGACAATTTTACCTTGGAGCTCTCAGAAATGATCAAACGATGATTCTGACTAAAATCAAGTTTTTCAGTCCACCTCAGCGGTGAGCTTAAATCCCACCGAGAAACCTGTTCAAGTGGTTATTTTCAGTAGTGAATTGACCCTTCGCTAAGCCACACCCCAAAACCGCCACCCACCAATCATGGCAACTATAGCTACGCGCAGGGGCTCTGTCAAGCTTTCGAGCGAGTGCACATGGATTGTGCAAATCTCACACCCGGTATCCTTAATGTTTGGACAGGATGGTGGAATTTTTTCCCTTTTCAAACCTAAAGCCTAAGAGGAGAAACGCCAGCGTGGATCAAGCTGTGTGAGGGGTGCTAAAGGAGCTAAGTTGGTTTTGTTTTGATATTCCTGACACATTCAGTGATAGACAGACGGCAATAACTCATAACCTGCTTTGTGTTTTTGTAGGAAACACAGTTTAGATCTGTTTAGGGTAAGAGGTGTGTGTTTCACAGCGGTCTTTTTCCTTTTTTTTTTTTTTTTTTTTCGGTCGATAATGTAAATAATGCTCTGTTTAAGCCTTCGCCATAACGTTAGTCATACTAATAGCGAATAGGTCATGATGACATGAGTTATTGATCCGGATAATACAAATCTGCGAATCTGTCACTAACTTTACTGAACTTCATATTTCCACCTTATTTCAAGCTACGAATAATTGAAATTACAAATCAACAGAACAAAACCGAGATATGATCACAAACTGAGCACTTACGATTAATATACTTTACCCGCAGCTGTTTTTCAGTCATTTATAAAGAGTACACACACATACTGACAGTTTTAGGTATCTTACTGTACACTGTTATGGGTCAATGATGCTAATAGTCGGCACAAATCCATCAGTTTCCCCTTTCTGGCTGCTCTTTCTATGAATGAACTATGTAAAAGCACTGTCATGCGTGTTTCCTCGTGGGTTAGTAAGGCTATATTTTATTGCACAACAATAATCTATCAGGCTTTTTGGCTAAAAATAGAGCAATTACAGTTTCATTAGTTAATATTAGATTATTAGTAAATGTCACACCTCACTCTGAGCATGAGCCAAGCTGTTGAATGGTTAGCGTATGCAGCGGCTAGGCTAAGCTAGCTTAAATTTTGATTGAATTAGTCTCATCGGTTACCGATGAGATCTAATCGGTTGCCTGTTATTTTGTGAATATACCCCTGTAATGCTCACTGCAGTCCTTTTTTGTCTGGCTTTATCTGATATTTCACCTGTTTGCCAAAAATGACATTATATCCCTGGCAAAGTCTGACACCGGCGCGCACACATTGAAAAAGCCGTGCCAGGCACGAAAGCTTGACAGGCATAGCAACAGTAACTAAGGAGGGCGGGGCTTAGCGAAGGGTCCATTGGAGAACTCCAAGTCGTGCAAGCAGATTTAGCGCATCTCACACTCCAATGTTTAGTTTTGAACACATCTCCTTAGGTAGGGGATCCTATTTCTGATGATCTACCTTCATGCGCAGTCCCAACCTTCCTGTTGGCAATTACCAAGTGTTCCTGTAGGGTTATTCAGATGAAATTGGTTGGAATTGAAACTAAACTAAACTAAACCTGCAGGAAGGTAGATCTCCATGAACAAGAATGATCACCCTTTGTTTTAGGATTGGACTGAGATTACGGCCCCGTTTACACTAATGCGTTTTCGTTTTAAAACGCTTAAGTTTTGCTACGGTTACGCCATCTGTCCACACTACGCCGGAGTTTTCGAGTGCCGAAAACGGAGTGTTTTGGAAACGCTGGAGAGGCTGTTTTCATTCTGAAGCGCTGCTGCTCCGTCTCAGTGTGGATGGGGGAAAACATAGACATCTGAAAACGGAGGCGGGGCTAATGAGATTCGCTAGCTGATTGGGGCTTTTGTGTCATTGCGTATCCTTCCCTTATTCGTCAAGCCTCTATCACATGACTATAACACATGGCTTGGGAGTAACACATGGAAATGGGAGCGTTGTTTGCACTATTGTCTGTTTTAGGCGCCATTGTGCAGTTATTCTTTTGTTACGTTTAGTAACAGCTCGACCTCATCGTCTGTCCACAAAAATACCTCTCTTGCTTTCTTTGCCATCGCGTTTACTGTTCAACCGGCGTCTGTTGACTAAAAATAACCAAATGCCGAGCGAGACACATGCTTCCTGTTTATACTAGAACGCGCATGCCCAGAGTGCGCGAATGGTCACGTGATATAAGTTTTTGGTGGCGTAGTGTGGACGGCGATATGTTCAGAAACCCTAGTGTGGACGCGGATCGTTTTTGATCTAAAACGCCGTTTTAAAACTAAAACGCACTAGTGTAAACGGGGCCTAAGCTGAGCATACATGGTGCATCACATGGAAAGTGTTGACGTTCATAACACACCAGTCTTAACAAGATAGTTCAAGGAATTTGTAACCATTGACTTCTATAGTATTTGTTTATCTTTCTATGGATCTCGATGGGTACATGTTTTCAGCATTCCTCAGGTTATCTTCTTTTGTGTTGAACAGAATAAAAAAAGACTACGTGGGTGAACTATCCCCTTAATAATACAGAACTCTATTAAGGCTCAGGGAAAAGGTGGAGAATTGCTGTGGAAAACTCCATCTGTGTAATGGATGTACAGTATGAGTTGTTTTTATTACCGCTGTGCTTTCATTCTCTGCTCTCTCAGGCGCACGCTCTATAAGTCTAGGTGTTTTGCTGCTGGCGGTGTGTGGGAGAATAGAGGAGTTATTGAAATGCGTCTCTCACCTGTCAGCAGTGTGATGAGCAGACCTGCCGCCACCGTCCCAATAAAGCCCACTGCACTGTAGTACAGGTAGGACATGGAGTACCACGAATCCGCCAGCCAATTCCTGAACACCACAGATCAGTCACATGTTAGCATCTCATCATGACACCGCATTACTACAGCACGATTACATAAAAATAAGACTGTCATTGAAATTGAGACACCATTCAAGGATAACTCTTGTACCCTATGTAATCCACTCCTAAAGAAACAGTTCACCAATTTACTCAAGTTGTTTCAAAGCTTTATGAGTTTCTTTTTCTGTTGAACACTAAAGAAGATATTTTGAAGAATGCTGAAAACCCATAACCATTGATTTTTATAGTATTTTTTTCCAACAATTGCTGTCAATGGTTACAGGTTTTTAGCATTCTTCAAAATATCTTCTTTAGTGTTCAACAAAGAATCTTATGAAGGTTTATAATTTTGAATAAGTAAAATTTTACCCAATTGATTACATTTTTGAGTGAACTATCCCTTTAACAATATAGACATCTATTTTTCCAAATATAGAAGTGAATGGTTACAGATTTCCAACATCTTCTTTTGGGTTCAACTAAATAAAGAAAGTCAAAGAGGTCTGAAACAAGTTAAGGGTGATTAAATGGTGATTTTTGGGTAAACTATCCCCTAAATTCTTTGACTTTCACTGTCTAAAAAGCTAAGCTTCCTTGATCTATGCACTGCAAAAAATGCTTTTCTTATTTAGATTTTTTGTCTTGTTTCTAGTCTAAATATCTAAAAATTCTTAAATCAAGAAGCATTTTCTAGACAAGCAGAACATATTGTCATGTTTTGAGAAATAATATGCCAATATTAAGTGAGTTTTTCCTTAAAACAAGCAAAATAATCTGACAATGGGGTAAGAAAAATAATCTTGTTTTTCCTTTTGACATAAGATTATTCTGCTCACCCCATTGGCAGATTATTTCTCAAAACAAGACAATATGTTTTGCTTGTCTAGAAAATTATACTTGTATTGAGTCCAAATATCTAAAATTTCTCAAATCAAGACAAAAAGTCTAAGTAAGAAAAGCATTTTTTGCAGTGTGATGAACGGGAAAACAGGCCGATATTCTGCTTTGCATAATATTAAGATGGTTTACGGTTGAATATCTTTTCAGGACTTTCAATAGCCACTATGAGGACAACAATGCATATTTTACCTCAGGTTTTGGGGAGAAAGAATCTGAGGTTCGTACTGTTTCGTAATGCTCCTAAAATGTATATTAACCTGGCATGTTAACCTTAATGCAGGGTTCTTACACCTTTTCCATCTTCAAATTCCAGCACTTTTCAGGCACTTTCAAGGTGCATTTGTATGCTTTTTCCAGCACCCAATAACCACGGTTAAATACATTTATATATGTTGTATGCACTTTTTAATAATAGTAATAATAATAATAAATAATATATCAACAAAACAAACCTTCAGTTATTGGATGAAGTATGCTTTTAAGTTTGGTCTCTTTCTACCTAAAGCTGATATCTCAAGAAATGAGCTTACAGTCAGATTTTGTTTGGGTGTACACTGCAAAAAAATGCTTTTCTTACTTAGATTTTTTGTCTTGTTTCTAGTCCAAATATCTAAAATATCCTAAATTAAGAAGAATTTTCTAGACAAGCAGAACATATTGTCTTGTTTTGAGAAATAATATGCCAATATTAAGTGAGTTTTTCCTGGGTAAACATGGGGTAAGCAAATTAATCTTGTTTTTTCTTTTGACATAAGATTATTCTGCTTACCCCATTGGCAGATTATTTTGCTTGTTTTCAGGAAAAACTCACTTAATATTGGCATTTTATTTCTCAAAACAAGACAATATGTTTTGCTATAGCAATATCTAACAATATAACAATATCTATAACAATATCTAGTCTAATATGATTTAACACACACTTGTGCTTCCAGAAAGTTGCCTTTAAATGTATGTTCCAGCTCTTCAGCGCTGATACTGCACCTGTCTGAGGTGAGCTGGGTCACTGTGGCGGATGTTGGCTCAAATGCAGCAGCAGTGATGTTGCAGCCTGCAGTGTTGAGTTCCAGAGCATGCGTGTTATTGCTGGGTGCTGGGTAAATGAAAGCGCCCACGCCGACCCAGAACGAGAGAGAGATGCCCACGATCAGACCCCCAACTGCCCCCTAAAGAGAAAAGACCACCAATGTAAGACATGCTGCAAGAATCACACAGCAGATGTAGACATGAGGTGGTGTGAAGCAAGATTTAGGCACTGCAGAAACACACATCTTTACTCCCGTAGATATTTAGACTAGAAACAAGACAAAAACTTAAAATCTTAAATCAAGAAGCATTTTATAGACCAGTTTAAGCGATCTGTTTTCAGAAATAATCAGAAAATTGAGCATTTTTGTGGATAAATCTGAGGTAAGTGAAGGAGCGGCGCAGTGGCTCAGTGGTTAGCACTGTGACCTCATAGCAAGAAGGTCACTAGTTTGATTCCTGGCTGGGTCAGTTGGCATTTCTGTGTGGAGTTTGCATGTTCTCCCCGTGTTGGCATGGGTTTCCTCCAGGTGCTTCAGTTTCCCCCACAGTCCAAACACATGGGCTGGAATTGACCAACTAAACTGACTAGTGTAAGAGTGTTTTCCAGAACTGGAAGGGCATCTGCTGTGTAATGCTGTGTTCACACCAGACGCGGAACGCGTGGATAAATTGCGATATTCGCGTGTAAATAGCCGCGTGAATATTTGAGTTTACTCGCTTCATTCACGTGTCAAATTCACTTCAGAACAGACGTGGATTCGCGTGATGGGCAGGGCTTCTGTCTGCCCGAAGACTCTAGCTTCATAGCTAAATGGCTAACATGGATTTTATGAAGAAAATAACAGTGTTTATGTGCTTTATGAAGACTAAAAACAGCGTCGATACGTTTATGGTCGTGTCTGAGTCCACTGCATCCTTTCAGAGGTGCATCCAGCTGTGTGAGCTCTTAAACTCCTCCAGAAACTTAACCTGGATGACGGAGGCTTTCAGCGGTGCTTCTGACTGAGCACAGCCCAGTTTGATGAACTGTTGTCGGTGATGGCTGGAGGATTTCACTCGGAACACCGACAACAGGTTCTACGTCACAATCACGCCCCCACAAGAGCAAGCTTCTGATTGGTTAACGCGGCGCGAATGTACGCTGAAGTTCAGATTTTCGAATTCGAGAGATTCGCGCGAAACGCTCGTTAAGCGCGTCAAACGCGCAAAACGCTCAATTGGGCCCGCGCCATTCGCGCAATTTGCGTCATTCGCGCCGCGCCATTCGCGCGTAATGCGCCGCAGGATGTCTATTCGCGCGTTTGCATTGACTTAACATGTAAATCACTCGCACTTGACGCGCGTTCCGCATCTGGTGTGAACGCAGCATGAAACTTATGCTGGAATAGTTGGCGGTTCATTCCACTGTGGCAACCCTTCATAAATCAGATACTTAGCCGAAGTAAAATGAATGAGTGAAAGAAAAAATTATAATTTCAAACTGAAAACAAGATTATTTTGCTTGTTTTAGGGAAAAACTCATTAATTTTGACTTTAGGTTTTATGAAGTGAAAAATATTGTTTTGTTTACATTTTTTGTTTGTTTTTTCTTCTTTAAACAAGCAAAAAAAAAAAAATTCTAATGGTGCAAATAAAATTTACTGTTTAAACGTTTTTAGTTTAAAATATTTTACACCATTGGCAGATTATTTTTCTTGCGTTGAGGGACAGATTCCATCATCTCGAGTTTCGTGACTGAATGAGATGTTTGTTTTTGCCAAATCCTGACCTTTAGATTAGTGAATGGAAACAGGATTCCCAGAGAAAACAGGCCCAGCACCGGCCCTCCGCACATGCCATGGATACTGAGAGCCGCCTGAGGGATAAAAGCAGAAAACACACTCTGTGATGGGAAATGGAGTGGAAATGGAGTAGGACTGCTTGATATTGGAAAAAATCTGATAATGCAATGTTTTATTTTTCTTTGATAAATATTGTGAATATGAATGCAGTTTCACTAACAGTACTCAGAAAAGCATTGCGATTACTCCGTTTACCTATCTTTGTTTTGTCTTGTTTCTAGTCCATTTATTAAATATTCTTAGTAAAAATATTTTGATTTCACCTTTAGAAAAACGTTTTGCTTAAAATAAGGAAAAAATTATTTGCCAGCAGGGTAAGTAAAATCAGTCACACTTTACGATAGGGTTATATTAGCTAATGCATTTACTAACATGAGCAATGCATTTATTACAGTATTTCTTCATGTTAGTTAACGTTAATCACAACACAGTTGTTCACAGTCAGTTGAGTGTTAGCTAGCATGCATTTATATGTTAATAATTCATTAGTAAATGTTGAACTATGATTAATAAATGCTGCACAAGTATTGTTCACAATTAGTCATGCTAGTAAACATATTAGCTAATGAAACCTTATTGTAAGGTATGACTGAAAGTCTTATTTTCGCTTTGACATGTAGATATTTGGACTAGAAACAAGACAAATTTCAAAGTAAGAAAGCAGGGGTGTCCAAAGTCGGTCCTGGAGGGCCGGTGTCCTGCTGACTTTAGCTCCAACTTCCTTCAACACACCTGCCTGGAAGTTTCTAGCATACCTAGTAAGAGCTTGATCAGCTGGTTCAGGTGTGTTTGATTAGGGTTGGAGCTAAACTCTCCAGTACACCGGCACTCCGGGACCGAGTGTGGACACTCCTGTTTTAGACTCTTAAAATGTTTAGTCACCGGGCTTAAAAACACATGCAGATAATAAACGTTCACTCTGTTATGGTTAAACTATAAATCACATGTGTTCTGTGGCTCCTGGTCAGCTATAATTCAGATTCAACATTGCATTTCTTGCTATGTGATTATTGCAGATGCACACGTTGCCATATCTATACTGAAACCCCATATTGTGCAGCCCTTAAACAGATCATCTGAGGCTGTTTTGAGAGAAACTTTACCTGCACAATTCCTCCCATGTATGATGCCGCCACGGCCATAGTAGTGCAGGCCACACCAAACGCCACACCTGCCAGAGAAAACAGACAGGCAAACATCCATATGGGTGATTTTTAGCATAACTGGCAACACTTTATTACATATTTTCACTCAGTGTGAACTAAATGTGCCCACTGACTGAATCCAGTTAATATTATTATTATATTTATTGTTATTAGGGATGTAACAATATTGTAAATACAGTCATACCGCAATAGTCATTGTTTTCAATATAACCGTAGGCGCATGACTCAATAAAACTATATTTCTGAGAAAAGTTTGCTTGGGCGAATGAAGTGAACGGGAGGTAGCGGGAACTACAATTCCCATCAGCCCAGGCGTGGCCATCATCCTTTGCGGTCTGTTGTCACTACAGACCCAGTAATGCGGAAATGGAGTGTGCTGCTAGTAGCGGGAATGAAAAAGAGCTGGAAATGATCGAACCTAAAGCGGGTTTTAAATCGGATGTGTGGAAGCATTTCAGTTTCTTTCTAAAAAGATACAAAAAAAGGAGAAAAGGTGACAGACAAAGACAAAAACAGTATGCAGGCACTGCCAGACTGTGGTGAAATGTAAGTCGGGGAATACGACTAATAACAGTCATGGGGACTGCAGAACACAGCACACTTGTTAGATTGATGCAGACATTGTACTGCAAAGAGACCTCTATCTCACTCATGGCTTGTCCTCTCAAGTGGTGGAAAAACAATGCACAACGTTACCCACTGCTGTCAACCTTGGCTAAATCATATCTCTCTGTCCCAGAAACCTCAGTCCCAAATGAGAGGGGTTTGTTTCTGTTGCAGGGGACATGCCCAGAGATTACCAGATTATAGTTATATGATAATTTTCCTTAAAAACCCATCTCTATCTAAGTGAGTGATTAAATGTTGAATGTTATGAGTTTTCAACAATACTAAATTAAAACTTTATTATTTGTTTTACATGGTTTAATAGTTTTTTGTTATTAAAATTGAAAAATTGAAGTTCCTGTTTCGAAACGTACAGATAGATGGTTGATTTGTATGTCATTGATATGTTCAGTGCTGAGGTAAATAAACACTTTTTGGCACTTTTTTCGAGTTTTTTCATTAGTTTTGTTTTTCCTGTAAATTATTTAATAAATACCGTACCGTGCCATTCATACCGAGGTATTATCGTACCGTGAAATTCTGATACCGTTACATCCCTAATTGTTATTTTTTTAATAAATTATTGTTCTCATTGCAAAAGTTTAAAAGAAAATGTGGACAGTCTCACTATTTTTTTGCTATTTCCTGTGTGTGTTTCTCACTCAAAAACACCACAGGATCACAAGTTAAAGGTATTTCTAAGTTCTCTTTTTACAAATTGTAGCTCTTCCCAACAGGGAAAACCACCAACAATCAAGAATGCATGATTGTCTTGTCGCAACAAATAATAACTTGACTTCCAGTTGATCATTTGGGATCAGAACTGACTCATATGAAAGGCAAATTCCTCTAGATTTTGCTTATTTGAGCACAATAATATATGATCATGCCTTGACTATTAATGATTTGATTAGGACAGTGCGGTCTGACTCTGCTTAGACTAAAGTCTCATCACTGAACAGGAATAATGTCCAGTATAGAATATAAAGTCCTGCTGCAGTGGAGACAGAATGAATATTGTGTCTGACTCCATCATGAGCTTGGAGGACTGCATCCATACATCTCTGACTCTAATCACTGATTAATAAAGTCATCTGGAATGGCGAAGAAAGCGTTCCTGCAGGACTCCCAGAGCTCATCTGTGTTCATCTCCAATGCCTCATTCTTCATCAGCTCAATAATGTTCATGTCTCGTGACTGGGCTGGCCAATCCTGGAGCAGCTTGACCTTCTTTGCTTTCAGGAGCTTTGATGTGGAGGCTGAAGTATAAGGAGCGCTATCCTGCTGGAGAATCTGCCCTCTCCTGTGGTTTGTGATGTAATGGGCAGCACAAATGTCTTGATACCTCAGGCTGTTGATGTTGCAGATCTCTCGTACGCCCCTATACTGAATGTAACCCCAAACCATGATTTCTCCTTCACCAAACTTGATTGATTTCTATGTGAATCTTGGCTCCATGCTGGTTCCAGTAGGTCTTCTGCAGTATTTGTGATGATTCAGCAAAAAAATGACCTGATGATGAACTAGAAGTCAAGCTATTATTTGTTGCTCTTACAACTGGGATTAACCACAAGACTTTTTGGCAGGTAGTGTGTATGCTGTCAAGACTTTGCAATCAAAAAAATGTGATTATAATGAAAGTCAATGGGGTAAAAACAGCCCCGAACATAACGAAAGGGTAGTCAATTTGCAAAGAGAGCAAAATATGTGTTTAAATGAGATTTGTCAGCAACATTTGCTGAACGTTGTGGCCAAATTAAGACTCAAAATCACCACAGAGTGGATGAAAACACCCCCAACAGCACACAAAGAAGTAAATTATTAAGTCATTTTCATTTTTGGATGAACAATTCATCTAAATGTGAAGTGGTGTCATCGTCAATTCTGAGTTTTAGGTGTTTAAAGCCTCATTGAGCTGCTGAGCTTTTATTTTGGCTCACTTTACTTCTTTATTGACCTACTTCAGCCTCTTAAAAGCCTTGCAGATCTGTCAGCTTTCCATTCAGAATAAACAGACCTTGCAGCTGTTTCATGTCGTCCCTGGCTGTGATTGATCATGACGAGTCTATTGCGCTGATTAAATCTGCTCTAATGCCAAACGACAGGATCAATGTTCTCTTTATGAGTGTGTGGATGTCCTGAGGAAAGTGAGATGTGTTTACAGAGCGCTTTGCTGATCCAGCTGGCCGCTCGGTTGGAGAGATCTGGGAAACACTGGCTCACAAAGTCCTCGTACATCACTGTGGCCAAAGCATTGATACTGGCGGCTACTGTGCTGAAAAGCAGAAGCAGAACAACAAGGCGTTCCTCTACTCAATCAGCCTACTTGATCAGCCAAGACAAAACATTTAGGATTGTTCAACAAATGTAAATACTGTCATTATTTACTCCCAAACTATACTGGAAGTATCTTTTATATACAATAGAGGAAAATATATATAAATTTTCTGTCTCCAAAGACAGTATAGCTGTTTCCATCCACATACTTTAACAGTTTTTTTTTTATGTTGCATTAAAAACCAGTAGATAGAAATGCTTAGATGTGTATGAAATCTTAAAGTGCATATTAAAAACACATACTAAAGTGAGGCGTTATGTCATCAAAATGATTTATGTTTAAAAAATGTTTGACGTGTGCTACTAAATTCTAGCAATAGATGCCTTAAACATGTTAAAAACATGTTAGAAACAAGCTAATCCATGTTAGCAATATGCAAACAACATACTAAGCATGTTAGGAAAATGCCAAAACATGGGGTGAAAAACATACTAGCCATTGTTAAAACATGTTAACTGTATAAGCATATGTTAGCGTTGTGCTAATTGATTGCATTACTGTTATTTTAGCATGTTTTAGCACATGGTTGCTGTACAGTAGTATCAATCATGTTTGTTTAATTGTGATGTTTGTGTTTTTATTCTGTCGTGTGTCATTATTAATCTGTTGTGATGGTTAAGCCAGATAGTTTCCACCCAGGTGGACAATCAAGCAAAAAAAAAACATGTTAGCAAGTTAAAACTTAGCTGTGCTCTAAAGATCCATGCTTAAAATGTTAGCTAGGTCTAAAACCTTGCCAATATGTTATTTAAAAAAAGTGTTAAAATTAAGCTACAAACGTGATAATACATGCTAGCAATGTGCTAACAATGGATAAAACATGCTAGCAACATGCGTAACGCAAAAGTGTTAATTCATGCTAGCAACATGGAATCCAAATTCTAAGCAGTAGCATGTTAGGAATAGGCTTAAACATGTGGTAAAACATGCTACTATAAAGTAAAACAAACAAAACATGTTAGCAAGTTAAAACATTGCTATGCACTAAAGATCCATGCTAGCAATGTTAAAATGATAGACAGGTGTTAAACCTTGCCAATATGGTTTTAAAAAGTGCTAAAATCACAAGAAAATGCAAATTCATGCTAGCAATATGCTAAAACATGCTAAAAATGAATAAAACATGCTGGAAACATGCTTAATGTTTGCAATTTGTTAATTCATGCAAGCAATATGTAAACAACATACTAAGCAGTAGCATGTTAAGAATATGCTAAAACATGGGGTAAAAAACATGCCAATCATTGTTAGAATGTCTTAATTACATTAGCCTATGTTATAAAATGCTAGCAACATGCTAATCCATTGCATTACTGCTATTTTGGCATGTTTAACACATTGTCAATTACATCAGGTTTCCCTTTAATCCGTGTGCTGGAATGTTAAAGCGGCCCTCCTTTGAATTGTCAGTCACTAAAATGAAGTTCTGAAAGTCATTAAACTTTACCTCAGAGTGCCGCTGAAGGCACAGGCCACAAATAACCCCGGCAGTCCCGGAAACGCACCCAGGATTTCCATAACAAAATATGGCATGAGCTGAAGAAGAAACCAACACAACAACAACAAGACCACTGCATTATTAACAGAGCTCACACATTCAGGGAGGGAAATGTGAATCTCCTAATGATGGATTGAGATGATCATATGCTAGAGACTATAGTTAATGAGATGAACATCACCTGATCTGGCGCAGAGATCAGTCCAGATGACCAGGGATCGCAGTGAGAGTAATAAGAGTACATGATCAGGCCAGAAACCACAGCGCAGAACAGAATAATCCACAGACCCAGCAGATTCAGATACAGAGCCCTGAAAACAGACACTCCACATTACCTGAAGCAAGCTTCTGTTATCACGGTCTACATCAGGGGTGGCAAATCCAGTTCCTGGAGATCTACCTTCCTGCAGATTTCAGTTGCAACCCTTATCAAACACACCTGTCTGTAATTATCAAGTGGATTTCAGGTCCCAATTAATTGGTTCAGGTGTGTTTGATCAGGGTAGGAGCTAAACTGTACGGGAAGGTAGATGTCCAGGAACAGGATTGAGCACCCCTGGTCTACATTCACTCACTGGCCACTTTATTAGGTACACTTGTACCTAATAAATGTACTCAACTGGCCTCCACAGTCACCAGAGCTCAATCCAATAGAGCACCTTTGGGCTGTGGTGGAACGGGAGATTGGCATCATGGATGTGCAGCCGACAAACCTGCAGCAACTGCGTGAAGCTTTCACTGAGCAAAATTCATTCATTTTCTTGTCGGCTTAGTCCCTTCATTAATCCGGGGTCGCCACAGCGGAATGAACCGCCAACTTATCCAGCAGGTTTTTACGCAGCGGATGTCCTTCCAGCCGCAACCCATCTCTGGGAAACATCCACACCCACACATTCACACACACACTCATACACTACGGACAGTTTAGCCTACCCAATTCACCTGTACCGCATGCCTTTGGACTGTGGGGGAAACCGGAGCATCCGGAAGAAACCCACGCGAAGGCAGGGAGAACATGCAAACTCCACACAGAAACGCCAACTGAGCCGAGGTTCGAACCAGCGACCTTCTTGCTGTGAGGCGACAGCACTACCTACTGCGCCACTGCTTCGCCCACGGAGCAAAATCTCTGAGGAATATTTCCAGTACCTGGTTGAATCTCTGCCACCAAGGGTTAAGGCAGTTCTGAAGGCAATAGGGAGCCCAACCCGGTACTAGTAAGGTGTACCTAATAAAGTGGCCGGTGAGTGTATATACAGCTCTAAACGTTATTTTTTTAATACACACATCAGAGTTGTGATTAATGTTGAACCATATTAATGCCATTCGAGTTTTGTCCTTCAGTCTGTATGCACTCACCAGCGTGCGTGACCTTCTGTTTTACACGAGATGCATCTCTGAATTGTGGACTGGTTTACTCCATAAATCCCCAGCCAGGTGAAGGTTCCTCCGACACTGAGTGTCCAGAACGTGTGTCTCCTGAGCGGACTCACGTCAAAGCTGCAAACAACAGCGATTTAACACGGTAGAAAGCGTCAGAAACATTGCAAACTTTCATTAGAAGGAAGAAAATGTGTGAAATTAAGAGAATAAAATAGGTTTTAGAGTGAAAATACTGGGCTCAATCCTATTAATCATGGCGAACGGCAAATACAATCTCTTTATATGAATCGCTGTTTGTTTAAAGTTGTTTGTTGCATCTGTAGAAACGATATAGCTCAATTCAGATATATTCATTTGAGCAGTCAGTAGTGTTTCATTGTTCAAGCACATGTTGCTGTAGAACATGACTGCAGTGTGTTTGTGTGTGTGTGCGTTTCCTGAACATACTCAAACACCTGCAATCGTCCTCCAGTGCGAGCGGTGCTCCAGACATTCTCGATCCCTCCAGCTCGACTCGAACCCTGGATCAGCACAGTGAGGAAGCCCACCACCATCACCACCATCTGGAAGGCATCGGTCCACACCACAGCCTTCAGCCCACCCTTAACACACACACACACACACACATACACACACCGAGAGATTTCATTGGGACTCTCCATATCTGTGATGTTTCTACGTCTAAACACCTCTCACAGGGAACAATCTGCATTTTTACATGGTCAAAATATTTAATTCTGGATATTTTTAAGACTTTTTCCTCATGGGGACCTAAAAATGTCCCCACAAGGTAAAATGACTGGTATTGCTATACTTGTGGGGACGTTTGGTCCCCACAATGTGACGAACACCAGGGATTACACACACATAAGCGCACATTCATACACAAACATAGTAACAAACATGCACAAACTCACACAAGCGTACACACACATGCACATGAGGATGCTCTCACATACAAGAACGCAGACACAGAGGTGCACACAAACACACACACAAACACTAACAAGCACATGCAAACACAAACATGCACACACACACATTCATAAGTTCATGCACACACAACACAACCACACACATGCACATGGATACACAAACAAACACGCACGCACACATTCGTAAGTTCATGCACACATGAACACAGCCACACACATGCATACACAAACAAACATGCACACACACATTCATAAGTTCATGCACATACATGAACACAGCCACACACACATGCATGCACATGGATACACAAACAAACATGCGCACACACATGCACATAAGGATGCTCTCACATACAAGAATGCAGACACAGAGATGCGCGCACAAACACACACAAGCACTCATATCCACACACACTGACAAGCGCATGCAAACACGAGCATGCACACACACACATACACATACACACACACACACACACACACACACACACGCACACACGCACACACGCACACACACACGCACACACACACGCACACACACACGCGCGCGCGCGCGCATGTATAAACAAACATTCACACACCCAAACCCACACAAGCATACAAACAAACACACACATGCAAAACCACCACAAGAACGCAAACACACAGCATGCATACAGAAACATACACACAGAAACACACACACACACACACAAGCACATATGCACAAACCTATTTGATACAAGTACAAACATACGCACATACATACGCAAACAAACATGCACACACACAGATAAGAGCACACATGCACAAGCACACAAACATACATAAGCACATGAGGATACTCTCTCACACACACACACACACACACACACACACACACACACACACACACACACACACACAGTGTTTCTGTCTGATCTCCATCCACCGAGTCCATTAGAACAGCCCGTTCACAAGAATCCAAACACTTCTCTCAGAATGAAGCACACAGTGATATTTCCCCATTAGCTTTCCCCAGAACTTGCTGGATATGAAGAAACTAAAAACACACTTCCACATGTGTGAATGTGGCCACAAACCCGTTTCAGATTTCCTGAAAGTCTCTTCATCTGACAATCCGGCAAGTAAAATGCTTTAAATAAATTCGCTTTAGTTTGGTATTTTTATATTAACAGTATTAACTGTGAATGATCCTAATCCATCATCAGAACCACAAAAACAACCACGATCAGCAGAAATAATCATCAATAATTAACGCAATATCATCCATTTCCCTCTGCTTTTGATCAGCTTGGACCGTCAAAATAGAGCCCTAAATCTTTACCAGCCATATCCACACCACTATCATAACGCATACCATCATCATATTCAAATTCTGCATGAATTAATTATATTAAAACTTGCTTTTTTGGCGAGACAAATTAATGATTAAAAATGACATGACAGTAAAATGATTAAATAATTATAGTATAATTATAATTTAAAAACAAATCCTAATAAGCAGTACATTTAACAACCAACCATCTAGGCCTCATTTCTAACAATAAACACAGATCAATTGTAATAAACATACGTATACGCCTATTAATCACTCACCAGTGTGCAGTAAAAAGTGCAGACAATGCCGGTGGCAAAGATAGATCCCCAAAGGTCAAATCCTGTCACTGATGCAGGAAAAACACACAGAAATATGGAGAAAACAGCTCATACATCAAATAAGATGAAGAGAGGTGCAAATGCAGAAATACAGATGCACTGTTGTCCATCCTAATACGCTAAAATCATTGGCTAATTTGTTATTAATTGGTTGTATTTTTCCTTCATGTGCGAGTCTGAACTACATGAATAAGTGTTCCCTATCTTTTTTCATTAGCATAGCATGCTAGTTATGAACATCAGTGGTTTACATGATGAGTGTTGTTGACAGTGTTCCTCTCAATAAGTCGTTATTGATTTAAATTTGACGCTACAGTATTTATAATAACATACCAACTCTCTAAAATTCAGCTAAACAAAGGGGGAAAGCCCCGCCCACAAGAGTCCACCTCTCCTTCATTAGCATAAACAGAGTGAGAAGCAGCCATTAGAGTTTCAAGAGTTGACACTTAGCTGATGATTGATTATGAAGCGTGTTTGGCATGCCGTCCCCGGAGAGAGCCCTGAGCTCAAAGGATCCTCGAGCACAGGGCTCCCTCCTGTTTGCAGGGCGAGAGGGGGGTTTGAGCTCAGGTAGATGTGGAGAACTCCCCTGCTGTAGTTGCTCATGAACAGATAGTGATCGCTCTTAAGAGATATCTACTTACTAGGAGCATGTCTATGGTGCTGATTTGGATTAGTCAATTAAGTGCATGTTTTTGGACGGTGGAAGAACATCGGGTAACCCGGGGGAAACCCACGTGAGCACAGGGAGAACGTGTAAACTCCGCACAGAAACGTCTGCTGGCTTGGTAAGGACTAGATCCAATGACGCTCTTGCTGTGAGGCAACAGTGCTAACCACTGGGCCACCGTGCCACCCATCTAGAAAAGTAGGAGGAGTAGAGGGTGAAAGGGGGGATTCTTCAAAACAAAGATGGCTGTGATATGGAACTGAGGGTATTTATAGAGGCTTAGAAGTCATCTGATTGGCGAATCATGAATTTAATAATGCGGGACCAGCTGCAAGCTATCATAAGCACAAGATCCTCTCCAAATTAGTTTATAAATAAACTTCACTTTGAGAGTTATCAGCCACTATGCTGACACAGAGGCATTTGTAGCTCCGCCCTCTTTTCAAAAGAGAACAATCTCATTTAAATTTAAAGCGACAGCCACCAAAACACCAATATCGGCATCAAAGCCTAACGTTCAGTTTCAGAAAGTTATAAGTAGGCCCACACGGAATCTGTGCGCGCAGAATTCCGCAGATTTTCCACAGAATTCCGCAGATTTTTAGCCCATAATTAATTCTGTTTATTTACTTGAGTAAATGTGTAAATCTGAATTTATTCAGTTTTTATTCAGTAATTTATTACTTATTATTTAATGTATTAAGGTTTTAGTTATGATACTCCGCTGGATACTCCCAAAGTAATTCCGCAGAAATCCGAAGATTTTTACCAAAATTCTCAGCAGAAATAGCAAAAAACGTCCGCAGATTCCGTCTGGCCCTAGTTATAACACATTATCTGTGTGCTGTTTTGAGCTGAAACTTCACACACACACACACTTTATGCCTAGTTTAGACTGCGTGATTTAAGCGCCGATTTTGGCTCGCCGACAGGTTTTGAGAAATCGCCGACAAATGCCTGAAATCACAGGCTAATCGCTGCTTGTGCACGTGAGTGACAATCACACAGTATGAACGATCAAAGACGCCATCTGAGAGAATCGCCGATGAGTCGCCGATGAGATATTTGGCGTGCTGAATATCTGGAGCTGTCGGGGATTTAAATCATGCCGTGTGAATTGAGTCTTGACTGAAAATAACATCGGCGATCGCCTCCAGCCAATGAGAGAGCGGCATTCACTTGCGTGTGTGTGTGTGTGTGTGTATACCTGCTGCAGGTCAGCGGGAGGCTGGGGGAGAAGTTAAAAGCGCTAATTTTCGGTTTATTTGGACCCAGGAAATGGAGGAAAAACTAGTGGAGGTTTGACAGGACTCAGGAGCAACCGTGTCTATTTGACGTTTCATACAGAAAGAAATTAGTTTATTATCAACGTTGAGGAGACATGGCTAATTCCCTTTAAACCCAGGTGAGCAAACATGTACATGTTCTACCCCATTAAAGGCTTCTTTATCATTATGTAGTTAATAACAAAAGATATACGACGTGTTTTTGGCTGTGAGACGTAGTTTGGACGAAGTTGTCGGCGATTCTTCCTATAGTAAAGTCATGCAATGTGAAAGTCCCCGTCGCCGATCCATCTTGCAGTGTAAACAAAGCAGCGACGAAACGCAAGCCCAGATAGTCAAGCAGTGTGAAAACATCTGTGACACGACTGCTTTGAAAATCATGCAGTCTGAACTCGGCATTAGAGACACCTGAAACTTATTTTACATCAGGGGCAATATAGGCCTCCTCTAAATGAATCGCTCAGCTTTAATGTGCACTGTAGCGGAATACTTCACAGACTGACCTTGATTGAGAGCTAAAGCAGGAGCATAAACCACCACACCAGTGTAGAGAATCTGAGGACATCAAGACACAGGAATGAGCATGAAAGCACAGTGTGTTATTCTGAGTGTTGGAAGGATTCATCACACTCACCGTCTGAATGATGTAAATTAGAGTGGCTGCGACGCGAACGAGCTTGCAGAAACGCAACTCCAAATACTGTAAGAAAAAGAAAATCAGAACGCAACAGAGCCTCTACGTGTCAAAAAAGAATGATTATTTCTACTAATAAACTCTAAATACTCTACCAGTCAATAGTTTTGGGATTTTTAAAATAAGCATTTATTTAATCAAAAATACAGTGCAGATTGTAAAATTGTGAAATGTTACTGCAGTATAAAATAACTGTTCAAAAGTAGTTTAACATTTAGTTTAATACTTTATTCCAGTTATTTTAAAGATGAATTTTCAGCTTCATTCCTCCAGTCACATGATTCTTCAGAAATCACTCTAATATTTATTCTTCTTATTATTATTTTTATTAATATTATTATAAATGACAATAGCAATAAAAGAAATAATGCCTGGAGTAATACTTTAATTTGTAACTACATACAATAAGTATATAATTATTTAACAATTTAACATTTTTCTTTTACATTTAATAAATGCCGCCTTGATGAACAGAATAATTTTCACACACAGAAATACAGTTGCTCAACATAAATTTGAAGTTTTGAAAATGACATCTTTAGAAATGGAAAGATGATTAATTTAACCTTGTGCGAAATATTGAAAAACTACACATATTACAAGATTTAATCTAAATTCTATACATTTTTGTTTGTTCGGTCAAACATTTGGGCTCAGTTTTTTTATTTATTTATTTTATTTAATAATTTAAAGAAAATTAGTCAGTTCATTGTCATCATGGCGGCATTTATTAAATGTAAAAAAAGTTACATTGTTAAATATTTATTTATGACATTTTATGTAGTTTGAACTGAAATTATTACTCCAGTCATTATTGCTTTTATTACTATTACCATTAATAATAATAATAATTATGATGATGATAATAATAATGCTAATAATAATGCTAATAATAATAATAATGATGATAATAATATTGTTGATGCTAATAATAATGCTAATAATAATAATAATGATGATAATAATATTGTTGATGCTAATAATAATGCTAATAATAATAATAATGATGATAATAATATTGTTGATGCTAATAATAATGCTAATAATAATAATAATGATGATAATAATATTGTTGATGATAATAATAATGCTAATAATAATAATAATGATGATAATAATATTGTTGATAATAATAATGCTAATAATAATAATCATAATAATGCTATTAATAATAATGCTAACTATAACGATAATAATAATGATAATAATAAAAATAATGATGATGATGATAATAATAATAATAATGCTAATTATAATGATAATAATAATAATAATAATAATGTTGATAATAATAATAATTATTATTATTATAATGATAATAAAAATAATGATAATTATAATGATAATAATAATGATAATAATATTAATGATTATGATGATGATAATAATATTAATGTTGATAATAATAATAATAATGTTGACAATAATAATAATAATAATAATAATGTTGATAATAATAATTATTATTATTATTATAATTATTATTATTATTATAATGTTAATATTATAATATTAGTAATAATAATGATAAAGATTATAAAAATAATAACAACATTAATAATGTTGATAATAATAATAATAATAATAATAATAATAACAACAATAATAATGATGATGATGATGATGATGAAGATAATGATGATAATAATAATAATAATAATAATAATAATAATAATAATAATGCTAGAGCAATTTCTGAAGGATCATTTGACAGAAGTTGGAGTAATGAAGCTAAAAATTCATCATTAAAATCACTGGAATAAATTATTAAATTCAATTAAAATGTAATTAAATTAAATTATAATCTGTACTCTATTTCTGATTAAATAAATCCTGCCTTGGTGAGCAGAAGAAGCATTTCAAAATCCTACAAGAAAACATTTTAAAAGCCTACTGACCCTAAACTTTTGACCGGTAGTGTAATGTGTATCCACAAATGTAATATTGTAAAGCTTCCTATAGAAAATAAGTTGATTTAAATGATAGACTTGTGAGGGGGTGAACATAAAACACCCACCCAAAAGCAGATACATCATACCTCATATGTGCTGGTGATTCCTGACCTGTAAAACACAGGCAGAAAGAGCTCAGCCGTAAAAAACACCACAAACGTGTAGGCGACCCCGAAGATGACGTACGAGGCCCCGAATCTGTAGACGTCTGCCGGAGCCCCGATCACAGTCACAGCAGACATGAAGCTGGCGGTGAGGGACAGAGCCACGGGCCCGCAGGACATCTGACGGCCCCCCACCAGAAACTCCTTGGACGGGGCTTTGTTTCTCTCCTTGATGGCGAAGAAGACGCCGATGCCGGAGGAGACCACGAACAGACACGCAAACACCACATAATCCCCGGCCTGGAACCTGCCCACGGTCTCCATGCTGGCTCAGAAGCTGATCTGAAGTGAGCTGCAGGATCCTGGTCCAGAAAGATCACACTCCTGTTAATCATTGAGGTTTAAACTGCTTAACAATGAAAACAGATTAGACTTTACTCACCTATCTGCTCACGCATTTACACTCAGTCATCTATCTGTCTGTCTGTCTGTTTATACTTTATTCTGTCTATTTATCTATCTGTCCATATCCAACATTCCATCCATATATCTTTACATCTGTAAATCCATCTATCCATATATATATATATATCTGTCCATCTATAGCCATCCATCTGTATATATATTCATCCATCAGTCCAAATATCATCCATCCATCTATATATCTGTCCATCTATAGCCATCCATCTGTATATATATTCATCCATCAGTCCAAATATCATCCATCCATCTATATATCTGTCCATCTATAGCCATCAATCTGTATATATATTCATCCATCAGTCCATAAATCAACCATCCATCTATAGCCCTCCATCTGTCCATCCATCAATCTATAGCATCCATCTGTATATATATTCATCCATCAGTCCAAATATCATCCATCCATCTATATATGTCCATCTATAGCCATCCATCTGTATATATATTCATCCATCAGTCCAAATATATATGTCCATCTATAGCCATCCATCTGTATATATATTCATCCATCAGTCCAAATATCATCCATCCATCTATATATGTCCATCTATAGCCATCCATCTGTATATATATTCATCCATCAGTCCAAATATATATGTCCATCTATAGCCATCCATCTGTATATATATTCATCCATCAGTCCAAATATCATCCATCCATCTATATATGTCCATCTATAGCCATCCATCTGTATATATATTCATCCATCAGTCCAAATATATATGTCCATCTATAGCCATCCATCTGTATATATATTCATCCATCAGTTCAAATATCATCCATCCATCTATATATCTGTCCATCTATAGCCATCCATCTGTATATATATTCATCCATCAGTCCAAATATCATCCATCTATCTATATATGTCCATCTATAGCCATCCATCTGTATATATATTCATCCATCAGTCCAAATATCATCCATCCATCTATATATATATGTCCATCTATAGCCATCCATCTGTATATATATTCATCCATCAGTCCAAATATCATCCATCCATCTATATATGTCCATCTATAGCCATCCATCTGTATATATTCATCCATCAGTCCAAATATCATCCATCCATCTATATATCTGTCCATCTATAGCCATCCATCTGTATATATATTCATCCATCAGTCCAAATATCATCCATCCATCTATATATGTCCATCTATAGCCATCCATCTGTATATATATTCATCCATCAGTCCATAAATCATCCATCCATCTATATGTCCATCTATAGACATCCATCTGTATATATTCATCCATCAGTCCAAATATCATCCATCCATCTATATATCTGTCCATCTATAGCCATCCATCTATATTTATATTCATCCATAAGTCCATAAATCATCCATCCATCTATAGCCCTCCATCTGTCCATCCATCCATCTATAGCATCCATCTGTATATATTCATCCATCAGTCCATAAATCATCCATCCATCTATAGCCCTCCATCTGTCCATCCATCCATCTATAGCATCCATCTGTATATATTAATCCATCAGTCCATAAATCATCCATCCATCTATAGCCCTCCATCTGTCCATCCATCCATCTATAGCATCCATCTGTATATATTAATCCATCAGTCCATAAATCATCCATCCATCTATGTATCGGTCCATCTATAGCCATCTATCTATATTTATATTCATCCATAAGTCCATAAATCATCCATCCATCTATAGCATCCATCTGTATATATATATTAATCTATCAGTCCAAAAATCATCCATCCATCTATTTATCTGTCCATCTATAGCCCTCCATCTGTCCATCCATCCATAGCATCCATCTGTATATATATCCATCCATCTATATATCTGTCCATCTATAGTCATCCATCTGTATATATATTCATCCATCAGTCAATATATCATCCATCCATCTATATATGTCTATCTATAGCCATCCATCTGTATATATTTATCCATGCATCAGTCCATATATCATCCATCCATCCATTTGTATATCTATATATCTGTATATCCTCCTTTCATTCTATCTATATATCCATCCATCTCCATATATGTCCAAACATCCATCTACCATGTTTATCCATCCATCCATCCATCCATCCTTTAATCTATCCTTTAATCTAGTCTATACATCAGTCTATATATTTATCCATCCATCTACATCCATCCATCTGTCCACATGTATGTCTTTCCATCTGTATATCCATCTATCAGTCAATCTATATCCATCTCTATATCTCCATCCATCAATTTATCTATTTATCTGTATATCAGAAATCCATCTATTCTTTTATCCACCCATCCTTTAATCTATCCATCCGTGTATCCATCCAAACATCCATTTTACCTATAAATTCATCCATCTATTAATTGGTCCATCTATATCCATCCATATATCTCTCCATCTGTATATCTATCCATCAGTCCATCCATCCTTTTATCTATGCATCCATCTATATCTCCGCCCATCCATCCATCAATATATTCATCCATCATGTATATGTCCATCCATCTATACCCATCCATCCATCCATCATTTTACCTATCTATCTATCTATCTATCTATCTATCTATCTATCTATCTATCTATCTATCTATCTATCTATCTATCTATCTATCTATCTATCTATCTATCCATTTATTGGCCCATCTATCTATTTATTCATCTGTTCATCAATCCGTCCATTCTTGCCTCCATCTATATATCAATCCACTCATCCATCTGTAGATCCGCCCATTTGTATATCAGTCCATCTATCTGTTCATTGGTCCATATCAATCTATGTCCATCCATTCATATGTATATCCCTCCAGTTATCTGTATGCACACCAATATCTGTCCATCTGTCTGTCTATCAGCAGATTCTGGTTGAGGGTTTTCTGATATTTCAAATTAAATTATATATTTAAATCACTGCATGTCTTCAGTATTACAGCAGTACTGCTGTGTGTCAACAAAGCAGTATATCTTACTTGTGCTACGTTTAGCAAGTAGTTCATTATTCCTCTCTCTTCTTAATTAACCAGTGACATGCTTTAATGGTGTGTGTAATAGTTCATCAACCGTGAAACTCTGTGTAACACAGTGCTGACAGAGTGCTTACAAACAGTGGAAAGAACAGTAAATACTGCTGAACAGCACAAAACGCTGGTAAAAAAAAAAAAAAAAAAACAGATTCCAGTAATTTGCATTCAGGAGATCACACTTATAAACTCATTAAATCATTAGTGTTCTGTAACTTGTTTTCCTTTTAATTATTTGCCATCCCACAAAGAATGAAGTCCATACTATATATGTCATTCATACGCACATATAATGATTGGTTAATAATTAAATAATTTACTCCCACTTTACATTAAGCGGCCTTAACTAATATGATCTAACACTGATGTGAATAATTCCCTAAAAAGTTCTTATTGTTCTTATTACACGTTTTTCCATTGTATTTATGCTTGATTAAGTACTTAATTAATGTCTGTAATTACATTTATATTACATTGTTGATCATACCTTACACCTTAAAACTAACCAGGAACACTAAATCTGTTCCTAACCTTACCCATACCCCACCTCTAGAGCACCAGAAGAGTTCTGCAATACATTTATGAGTACATTGTGTTCATCTCTTGATGCAAGTACGTAGTTAAGGACACTTACAACTCGGATGGGTTCAGGCAATGCCTCTGTCCTGTTGCGCTTAAGCCAGGGATGTCCAATCTCGGTCCTGGAGGGTCGGTGTCCTGCAGATTTTAACTCAAACTTGCCTTAACACACCTGCAAGGTTGTTTCTAGAAAGCCTAGCTTGATTAGCTAGCTCAGGTGTGTCTGATTTGGGTTGGAACTAAACTTTGCAGGACACCGGCCCTCCAGGACCGAGTTTGGACACCCCTGGCTTAAGCAAACTTCAGCATAACGAGCAAAATGACCACCTCGTCATATAACATATATCAATCAGTTCAGTAACTTAAAATATGAATTAAAAGTTTTAATGAGTGTTAAACACACCTGTTTAAGTTTTGATGGCAAAACTTGGTATTTCAAGTAATGTCAAGTTATATTAACTTAAATTCTTCAGTAATGACAACAGCAGTGTATATACACAAAGTAATGTACATAAATTAAGATATGCAAATAAACATAAGCTAGAGAATATTTTGGTCTCATTATTGCTGTGCTCATAAACACGAGAGCATGCAGCGGTGATTTAAGAGGGCGCAAAAGAGTACCAGAATTATTATTAATACATTATTTATTTATAATTAAAGTTTCAAAGTAGGGAACATTTTTTTTGGCTTAAACTGTCTATATTTAGATAAAGTAATACAAATGGGCAGTGGTAAATTTTTTGCAAAAAAAAAAAGGACACCAGAATTATTATTATTATTTAATAATTAACATTTCACTTTAGGGCTAATATACTTTTGACCTCTGTTTATATACATAAAATAATGCACAAATTAAGGTACACAAAAGACATATGCTACAAATAATGATCACATTATTACTGTGCTCAAAAATTGGGAGGGGGGGGGGGGGGGGGTGCAGAGATAATTTAAGAGCGTGCAATAAAGGGCACCGGAAATAATATTATCCTTATTATTATTATCATCATTGTTATTAATATTATTAATACTTTTGTTTCAATAATTAACATTTCACAGTAGGGCTAATACAATTTTGACTTCAGCTGTTCATACATAAAGCAATGCACAAAAATTAAGGTGTTACAAAACATAAGCTAAAAACATGTTGATCTCATTATTGCTGAACTCTTAAAAAGGAGGGGGGGGGTGGCTTGAGCAGTCCAGAGAGCATGCAAAAAAAAAAAAAAAGGCACCAAAATTATTATTATTATTAATACATTGTTGATTATTAAATAACCTTTCACTGCAGGGCTA